GGCCACGTTTTTGGAATTCAATTGCCATTACATCTGCAATGAAATAAATTGTCAATAATAATTCAAAATATAAATTATAGTGCGCGAACAGTTCACTAATTCAAGATGCTTAAAGTAAAGGTATTGAATATAACTTACATGCACACGTTTTCCCGAAAATTTTATTCTCCACAATTTCTTTGAGCAATTGATGTAGCTTTAGCTTGAAAACTCTTGCGAAGACATCAGCTCTATTAGGATCTTTCCTAGTAGTAGTCCTTATCAAATCAAGCATGGACTGGATCTCGGGCCAAGCAGGATTACATGTAAATGTAATGAAAAGATCTGGATATCCTGCCCATCTACAAATCGCCATAGCATCCTGGAAACTTTCATACTTATATCGAGGACTACCTGTATGTGATGAAGCCAAAATCACCTGTTTTCCAGTCATACTGGTATCTGAATCACCTCTCAAGTAAGAATCCAAAAGACCTTGGTAGTAATGTTGTCGCAACTTTGTTTGGTTGTTTTTAATCCAATCCAAACGCTCAGCCTCAACCAATGCATATGCATTTACGACATACTGTTGGAACAGCTTTCCACACAATAGTAATGCATTTGATTCTTCCAGTCTGGTCTGAAGTTTATAACTGTAGAAATCACATTGAGTCACATTCTTCTCATTATATTCATTTGCATCCTCATCCCCATCCACATTCCCAAAATATGGAATATTTGGGTGCCAACCATCTTCTCCATGTGGAAATAATATGGGATATTGCAAAGCCATCAAACTTGGATGATATATACTGATTTGTTCCAGTTCATGACTTTGATACTGGACAACAATATCAGGAGAAAATGTTTGCTCACCAGTATCATCAACAATTAACGCAGCGACCTCATTTGCTAATGGCAAATCATATTCTCTACCATCCCTTTCTCTTTTCGCAAGCAACTTTATTTCAACTTGTCGAACAGTATTGTCATTCAATCTATCCCTTGCATATCGAAATGTCTTTACCAATATATTACTTGAATCTAGCATCTCCTGTAATTGTTGGATAATTGATTCGCGCAAAGGATTTGAATCTGGATCTGTGGAGAAAAAGTCTAACCTGTTTCGGAGTTCATTGGCAGTATCATATATGTAGAGTTGAGCGAATTTGGGTCTGTTCCTTTCAGTAGGTATCAGGCTGCCGATTCGGTGATATACTTGCCCTCCAATTGAATATACATAGACGCCTCGCCCATCATTTATAGAGCGGTCCAGTTTACCTCCAATAGAAGTGAATGCTAAGACCCCATTATATCCTCTGATATATTCCAAAAAGTGACGTCCCATTGAAGAGTTTGCTTGCAATAGCATATTCAAAATCTCTGGCGGTTGTCTTCGAGGAGGGAGCTTCACTTTACCCTGTCTGCAACACAACGAAAATTTTGGTTGATTGGAATTCCTCGTTGATTTTGTACTTTCGCCCTTCCACATTATTGCTCCACAATATGCACATTTATATGATGGTTTTCCAATATCAAACACTTCAACCACTACAATAAAAAAAAAACTAAATTAGACACAAACTCTATTATTACAATAAAAAAAGATAAATAAAATCTCATAATTATAAAACAGGTATAGCTACAACCTACTGAAAGATTATTATTGTATAGTTGTCCCTTTATGCTAAAACCTACTAAGTAATGGATAACAGATGTGATATTGAAGGGAAATGTAATAACAAAAATATTAACAAACCTGGAAAGTCACCAGAACGCATCAATCGAAGATGATTATAACGATTTTCGCCTAATTTGATAGATCTCAATAATCTATTTCTCTTAGATTGTAACTTATCCATCTCACTTTGCAGCCCTGTATGGGAATTACTTAAAAAAATTAATCACAGAAGCATAACACATTAAACTAATAATAAATAAATCAAAAACATGGAACAAATGGATTACCGGAAGGAATGTTCACCATTCTGCCATATATACGCTTCTGCCTTATATAAATAGCACGTTTCCTTCTTGCTAATTTGGCCAACGGATGATTAATTCTCTTCAACTCTAACTTATGTGCATGAATTTCTAAAATTTACATTGAAGAGTAATGATTTTGTAAGTTCAACCATAGTGAAATAGTTAAAGAGAAAAACATTAAGTAGATAATCATACCATCGGAAATTTTATTCTGTGCTTCAGATAGAGACTGATTAGAATCCACTACACCTTCTGGTGGTAAAAAAACAGCTCTCTTATACCCTGAAAAACACGTGAAATGAAACATATTAAATTGCAAATCTATATAATTATGCTAAGATGAATATTTGTACTTACATTCAATCTTTAATGGTCGAGTTGACTCATTATTTGAGACTGTCGATGACTTCCCATGTGGAATACTTCTTCTTCGACGCATAGAACTTCAAAAAAGAACATGAAATTTGCCTTAATGTACAAATAATGAGCAAGTACTGAGCAAGACGAATGTTAAAGGAAAACTTGACAACCACTTACAGAGAAGGGATAGTAATAATGCACAAATAATGAGATTGAGAGAGGCATGATCAAGAAAGAACATTAAAGAACATAAGATTCGCCTTCGACAACCAATGCAAGCAAGTACATGTGTATCCTAACAAAATAATATATGGAGACAATTCATACAGGAGCAGGGATTCTAGGTCTGGCCGATTACTTATACTAATGGCAGAGCTGGAACTTGATTACGTCTACTCTCTGATTGCATGCAAATAAGAGTTGGGAGAAGGAGAAGAAAAAAAAAAGAAGGAAGACAATGAATTGATTAAGAAGCAAATCCGTTTTCATTATTCATATTCTGTTGAGCTGTATGTATAGAAGCTGCTGTTTGATGCTAATTAATTTCAGTTGGTTCATCATTTTCATTGACTAATTGCTGCCTGCTGCCCTGTTCTTCCCACCTAAGCTTGTTTAATTTCTAATGCTTTTGTCAATCATAAACATAGGTTCATCAGATATCGGCCATCAAAACTGGGAATCTCTCAAATAAGTAGATAGGAGCAGAAATTCTAGGTGCAGAAAAAGGGCATGACATGGAATAATATCTCTGCTTTTGTCAATGTGTCTACCTGAAGTTAAAAGAATATGGAAAATATTAGACTTGTGAGATAGGCACTTAATGTGGTCCGATATAGCTTTGAACTCTGTATGCACTCCCCCTGTATAAACTGCCTAATTCTCTTGGCTATTCATGATCAGTAGTATCATTATGTGTTTGCAAGTTTATTATAACAAATAATGGATCTGGGCATAGTGTCTCTGGATTAAGGTAAGAAGCACATAAAGCTTTTTCGGCACTTTAGTTATGCCAAAATTTCCATGCCCAAGTAAAAATCATAATCCGAAAATGAAGTAATTAGTGAAAATGGCTCTTCATCTGTCATACTGCTTGATGTTTTATATATATTTCTAACAGGTACAAAGAATACCAACTTCATGATTACAGTCCGTGGTTTCTTAAACAGGTATACAATATCAGACATCTTTAAGTAGACACTCATATTGTTTTTCTCCTTTAATCTCAGTTACACTGCTTGAATTCTTATTCCTGGGCGGTTTCAAATATCAATTGCATAAATTAAATTAGAAAGAGGGACAGAGGGTAACCTAATGAAGAGAACTTACAGAGGCAGAGTGATTGATTAATCTCTCGAACTGGGATGTGGAAAATTCGGCAGGCAGGGTGAGAGGCAGCAGACGCGAAAGACAGGAACAGAGAGACGGTGGAGAGAGGCAGTGGCGAGAAAGACAGAGAGGTCGACGTTAGGAGCTGTAATGGACTTCGGAGCTGTAATGGACTTCGAGGGAGGGGGAAAATTGACCGGCGAGGCGGTGGCGTCGCGGCGGCGAGCAGCAGTCGCGAAAGACAGGAACAGAGAGACAGTCAAGAGAGGCGGTGGCGATAAAGACGGAGAGGTCGATGTAAGGAGCTGTAATTGACCGGCGAGGCTGTGGCGTCGCGGCGAGGCTGTTTGGGCAGGCGACTGGAAGCTCGAGTTCGGCGGCGAGGTTAGGGAATTTCGGCGGCTGGAAGCTGGAAGTTGTGGTTCGTTTGGGAGAGATGGGAAGAGAGAAGAGTATCGATCCGTCCGGCAGCCCAATCCGACCCGTGACGGAGCCAGCAGCGACGACTGGAAGCTCGAGTTCGGCGGCGAGGTTAGGGAATTTCGGCGTTTGGGAGAGATGGGAAGAGAGAAGAGTATCGATCCGTCCGGCAGCCCAATCCGACCCGTGACGGAGCCAGCAGCGACGTTTAAGTTTTGAATTGGGCTTTGATTTCTACGCGGCCCATTTCAATGGAACAAAGCCATTTTAAGTTTGCAATGGAACGAAGCCATTCTATGCGGCCCATCTCAATGGAACGGAGCCATTTACCAAAATGGCCTCCCGTGAACTGCGCAGAGCGCAGGAAAACAGGAATTGCAGGCGCTGCGGGCAGGAATCTCCATATTATTTTGTTAGGATGTATATAAGTGAGTTGATATGCTCGTTTTTGTCTCATGATGTACGAGAGATTAACTAGGAGACAACCATGATATAGAAAAAATTGGTCGATGTGGCCTTAACCATATAGCTTGGCATCATTTGTGAAATGTCGGGGAAAAATATCATAGATACATAGTAGTTTAGGATTGAGGGATCAAACCTTGTAGCTAGTTAATAAATGAGATGCAAGAAGTTAAGAAGGCATTTGATTGATAAAAACGTAATGAAGGATTTTAAGTGTAAAGGTATTATGTAGGAAGTCAGACATCATAATTAATTAGGGCAAAGTTAAGTTTGAAGTAATAACCAATGAATCGCTTACCACTTCTTTTAAAGGGCATTACAAAGCAATGTCAAATTTACAAAATACCTCAAACAAAGATGAAAACACTAACAACAACATAAAACAAAATGGTGACAATTAAGAACATGTTGTCCAAAGACAATACTAGACTACAAATCATGGGAACAGAATTTATTACTAACATCTACAACTCTGAATGATCAACAGCAGAATTCTTCTCATTCTCAATGGCATTCCACACATTCTTCCCATATCCATGCTGCAATGCATACTTGTGCTTCTTCAGAACGCTCACCAGCTGCTGATGCAGTTGACCACTCTCAGCTCTCAAACAATTATCAACAAAAGAGTGTTTGAATAAAGCATCAACCAGAGTGTTTGATCAAAGATCATCAGATGATTGTAATATATTACCTTAGTAACTTGGAGTGCTTTCTGAACCACATAGTTCCCGAACTTATCCTTAGCAACTTGGATCAACTGATTGGTGTGCAATAGATCTTCAACCACATGCTCCATCATCTCTCTGGAACTTAAACACTTCTCAACCACATGGCTACCGCCTTTCTGCATCGACAGCCTCGCGTAATGCCCTTTCAGCTGGCTGCAAATATCCCTATTGCAGCATGGGTTCTCAAGTGCCAATGCATTCTGCACCACATAGTTCCTGAGAGAAAACATGAACCCTACAAGAATAAGCTGGCTTCCGACTTTCATGCTCTATATTTTGGCCTTTTATTAGCTTCAATTGGATTGTTGCTTACCCTGAAGGATCCTGGGAGAGATACACAACATGGTTGGAGATGGAGTTTAGTAGTTTGTATCTGTAGGGACCGTTGCTGCGGTTGATGAAGATGTTCAATGCTATGCACCCGAATTCGTTCGTGGCAAGCTCGAGACAGTGTTCAATGGATTTTATATACAGCAACTGCAATCAAGGCCAATTGCTCAATAAGGCTCAAGTTGGAGAATAAATAAGGTGGAAAGCGAAGGTCAGTTTTACCAACCTCGTTCTGCTGTGGTTGAAGGGTGTCTATGCACTCCAATATCACATGGCTTCCAATTGGATGAAGCATTAGAGGATAGAACTCATTCGCCAGGATGTTGATTAGGACTGCCAGCATTGGAGATTTCTGAAGTCGTTTAATAAGGCGCTTGAGCGATTTTGAGCTGTTTGGGAGAACAAGATACACACACACACACATTAAGCAAAGCCATTAGGGTCTGTCTAGCTCTCCAAGAACATTTGTACCAATGGAAGAGCTTATTCTACCCGGATCTGCTGCACGATAATTCGAGAAACGAAGCGATGTTCTGAACAATCTCAGCCATGATGAATCTCAACTGGGTATCAGAACAGAAGTCGAGCAGCTTCATGAAGACATGGCATCCATGTTGGTCCATCATGAGAGGCACAGTAAAGGGAACAGCTTTAATGTATGTCATCATTAACTGCATGTTATCGTTCGACTTGAGACTCTTCTGAATCTCAATCGAGCCGTGTTGGGTCTTGGCATTGGCCAAAAAGTTGTGATCTTTAGGCAATCCAAGGCTTGGAAACTGATGAATGCCATGATCCTTCAACTCTGCGCCACCATCCTGCGGCGGCCACATCAGCGGATTGTGAGGTTCAGCGAAGATTCTCTGCTCAAGGAATGGATTCTGAGCCGCTTCCATGGAATCCCGGAACCAAGCTGTGGGAACAGGCGTTTGTTGAGGAATTACATCATTCACTTGGTGGGTTCTTGGATAAGTACCGAGAAAAGGCTGCGAAGGATTTCCATTGCCATATCTATTGATGCTAAGCAACCCAATAGAGCGGGAGAGCGAATCGATGGAGGAGGATGTACTTGGCTGTTGCGGAGCTTCGAAGAAATTTGCAACTGGGCTGTTCATTGGGCTACTCGAACTGCAAGAACTACAAAAATACAATGAAGAAGAAGAAGAAACGGACGAACTGAATTCAGGCAGTTCGAAGTGTCGTAGTTTGCGGGTGATTGATAGAACTAATAGAAGGCCAAATTTAAAGCGATGGGAGTTGGAAGGAACTCTGCTTTCCATAGCTGTCGAGGAGAAGAAAAGGCGGCAACTATGAGAGGCTTTTCTTTTCGAAAACAGTTTTCTTTTTATTCTCTGTGGCATTATTCTAAATGGACTGGACTCAGGCCCAAGATAACGTTGGGCCCAGTCTGTATATATTTATAAAAAAAAATCAATTACAGTTACATGCTCGTAAAAAAAGTTATTGACTACCCAATCCCTACATTTCAATTTCCTAACAAAAAAAACTTATCCATGCTTTCTCTTCAGTTTCCTGCAAAATTCTGCAGAACAAAAGGTTTAAACTCAGAATATGTCCAAAATTTAAAAGGATTGAAGAAACTAGGTAAAAAAAAGAAAAAAATAACCTTGGCATATGTTTCTAATCAGAACTTCTTGGTGTAAAATGTTCCCTGAAGACACGGCTGAGTAAAAGGAGTTGCCCTTTACTTGATATTCAAGGTTCTTCTTGTCTGACATTGTCTGGATGAGGAACTTCAGGCTGATTGTGTTCTACTGTTTTGTTTTGCAGCTGATCTCCAGCTTTCTTCTTTGCATCAGAATGTAAGGACCTCGCGATCCTCTTGAGACGAGTGAATCTGATACCCTTTTGCTGCAGCAGACCTTGAAAAGAATGAATGATATCAATCATCATTGCAGAAGGATCACAGACGATTTCATGTAGTGGTTAGATCAGTGCATGATTTTTGGAGTTAAGTTCTTACAACTGAGTGCTGGATTGGTCTTGATTAGTAGGTCGATTGCAATTCTGTTGTTATCATTCCCATGGTGACCACGAGGTAGAGACCTTGCAAGTTGCTTTATGTGCTTTATTCTTGGCTGTTTGGGAAGTTTGGCCAATTCATGAGCTGCAACTTCCAAAGCTGTAGAGCAATACATGCAAACTCACAAAGTGAGGAATCCAAATTGTAGAAAGCATAAAGATTGTTGCATTTGGGTTAATGAGTGGGAATGACAATGAAGTACGTGTAGGTCGGATAATTATCATCCTAAACAGCTCAGGCTAAGGCTAGACTAATGAATCAGGTCGAAATTATAAACGTAATAAAAAAACTTACCAACAGGATTTGCATATGCTGCTTTGAAGCTGTCCTGCATTGGATCAACAACAATGTCATTTGAAGCCAAGCCATTGAAATGAGCACTATTACTAGCTTCAGGAACAGACAACAAAATCTGTTGTTGCTGCTGCTGATGTTGTTGTTGGTGTTCAACAACCCTGGCAATGTCTCCTCCTCCTCCACCACCACCACTAGCTGCTGCTAGAGCCGCCGTGGCTTGTTGATTGAGCTGAAGCTCAAGCCTAGCATTCTCAGCTCTTTGCCTCCGCAGCTGGTAGTTCCTCCGCCGCCTAGCTAGATGCCTCTCCCTCTCTTCAGCGCTCATCGACTGCCTCCGCTGCCTGTCTCTTATCCGCCGCCTCTCCCTCTCTTGCTCCTTCTGCAGATGCTTCAACAATGCCCTCTCTGATACGTTCTCCATCACTGCTCAACACTGCCAATTTGTAAACAGAGCAGCCATTGACAAAGAAAAAACATCAAGAGAAGAACCCATAGCAGCATTGCGGTTCACAAGCCAAAATGTGACATGAAGACTAATGGCCTAATGAACCAGTTGACCCAATTTCAATCCGGAAGCCATAGATTGTGTGGGCCCCACAAAGTTCTCTAGCTAGAATTTTAACCTCCAAATTCCATCCAGATGAAAGGCAACAGACGGAGACGAGCATAGGAAATTCCAAGCAGCCACAACCAGACAGATCCCATATTGTGAATTTTTTAATGGGAAATCCATAAAAGGGCACGACACGATAAGGACAAAGCATGTAACAACCACACAAAGAATCAATCTTTTTCATCGCTCCATAATCATGGAGAATTGATCATATTCATACCCCCCACACGCAATTCCAAGAGAATCAAAGCAATGTTCAAGATCGGTGCTATCCAAGAGAACCAAAGAACCGACCTTTACAGGTGTAACAATGGGTGATTATGGAAAAGGGTACGCAGGGAGATCAGAAATTGTCCGCGGGAAACGTCAAGCATAGGTCGCGCCTTTACGATGATTCAGAATCCGGGCTTTAATGGAATTGAACCGGCGACAATTAGAAGAGTTTCTCTGATTCTTCTGCCGCCTTCTTTTCTTCCTGCGTTTCTGTTTGTACTAATTATTCGCCATGCAAATGGGATTTGGAGCGGACGAAGAACACAGCAATGGCGATGGTTTTTTGGTGCGCAATCCCCTCCCGCGGTTCCCTTATTTTCCGTTCCTGAGCTGGAATCTTTTCTTTCTAGTTTCAGGTCACGGCCGTTTGCAGAAACTAATTATACCCTGATGATCACTGAATTTATGCGTAGGTTCAATATGGTCCCTGTATTTGTTTGTTCTCAGTACACAAGTCTCACTATGGGTGATGGTGAAAAGGAAATGAAACCGATTGTTCCTTGCAGAACCAGGACCAGAATCTGTAAAAATGGCCAATCAAGGTCGAAACATTCCGTCTCAACATACATTTTCTGCATCAGGAAAACACAACAGGCTAATCTCATTTCATTACCCTTTAAAAAACAGACAACGAAAACACCTTGACCAAAAAGAATTTACAGATGCCATCATTTTTTCATCACCTAATTGTAATGGGGTATCCTCATCGTTCACCTCCAAGCTGAACAAGTGGCCATAGCTCTTCTTGCCCAGTAAAGATACAACCCACCATTCCTCTCCTCAACCCTAAACTTCCTATCATACTCCTGCAGCACCTCTCTCACTGCACCACTCACCGCAGGACTCAACCCACACTGCTGGAATCCGGCCATCTGAAACCGCGACCTCCACTTCCCCAAAAGCTCGTGCCTTTCCACCCTCTCGCTACCCTCGCAGGCAATCATGTTCACAATATCTCTGGCAACGCAATGCTGCTCGGCGTTGATCCTCTCCTTGTCGTTTCTCGGTCGAGCCACGTCAGTCGACTCAAACATGGCTGTGTAGTAGTCCAGTGTCTCGTGGAACCTGAGGTGGAAGGGAGTCGTGTTTGTGTTCGACTCCTGCTCAACCAAAGTTACAACCACAGGAGAGAGGCTCTTCACTAGTCGGAGGAGTCTGTCCCTGTGGTTCCACGTGTCGACACTCTCATCTGGCATGTGGTGGAGGATGTACGGGAAGCTGACCACCACTGCTTCACCTGGTTGGACCATCAGATGCTCCCGATGGACTTCACAACCCGTCATTGCTGTGTCATGGAACTCGAACTGCACGTTGAGTGAGGCTGCAAGCTGGGAGAGCCTCTGGCCAACTATGTGCAGCCCGCCTCCACGAGCATAAGCTGATTGAGAATCATCGACTCCGGTTATATGAAGTACTGGCGGCCCACCTGGACGTTGTGATAGCCACTGGATGATTGGGATCCACTGACTTCCCTGAGCTATCTGGAAGTCGATGATGTGGATTCTCGGCTCGTACTGGATTGCTTCTCGAATGACTGCATTGGCTGACGCGTAGGCGAACTTGTAGTAGGGGCAAATCTGATAGAGTATCCCCATGTATGACATGAGATCCGAACTTATGGGAGAATCACATTTCAATGCTCGGTAGATTTTGCTTCCTGAGAGCTCTAATCTCGCTCGAAGGCCTTCAAGCATGTAAGCGCCAACTCGTTGAATTGGGTCTCCGGAGACCGATACCATTTGGTCCAAGACATGCATTAGCCCTGCTGCTCTGTTGATGTCGACTATGTCAACTGCTTGAGCACATGCTACCAAGACTTGCTTGATGTCTAGCTTGGGGATCATCGAGGTGGCAAAAGATGAGTCAGCTTGGTGGTGGGTGGCACCGGCGAAGCAGAAGTTGCAGCTGTCTGTGGCTTCAGATTCGGGAGCCATTAGTGACATCTCCATCTCGCGAAGCTTCTGACGGAGGAAATGGTCTTCGTCAGCAGAGGATGATCCACTCACAGGAGAGCCATAAGTATTATCAGGAGAATGGCGAGGATCAGTGAGGCAAGAATGTGAGGCTTGTGGGGAGATAGGGCTTCTGCTGCCAGAGGAGACACTCGCAGCTGGTGAATCATAGACGAAGAAGTTACTGATGGTGGTTGCTGGGGATGATTCGAGGGTGAAGTATTCTTCATCTTTGTAGGTTTGGAAGGAAATGGTGGAGCCTTGAATTGTGTCAACCGAGAACATGCTCTCGTCAAGGAGTTGGATCCGAGAGAGACTGTCCGGGTCGGTGTCTTTTGTGGGTTGGTGGTAAAAGCCATGGATGGCTGCTGAGCCTCTTCGATGCTTCTGTGATGTTGTCATCTTAAAAGGAATGCACGGAATGACTTGAAAAACTCAGGCAAGCAATGAGCCTCTTTTGAGCAAAATCACCAGGCAGCACCAGTGGCTCTCTCTAGGGGGTGAATTGGAAGGGGCTTCTTCGATGTCTGCAAGAAGAGAGAATTCGTAAGACTAGGTATACAGCATGAACATTTGATACAAACAGATTGCAAAGCACGTGATGCAGAAGACACATTTGACCAGGATAGATGGAAGAAACAAAGCTGGATAAAACCACTAGGGTCATATTTCAATTGGCTAACAAACAGTATATGGATTAATGGATGCTGGACCCAAGAAATTTCCCCCCAAAATTCTTCTCGAATTGTCAAACAAACAGTGAACAAAAGATTTACAAAAACAAGATATGCTTGCTGATGATGGTCACCAGCAAAGCAATTGACCATAAAGCTGGTCAATCCAAAACAGGCAACCATTAACAACAAGGTCTAAGTTTACGGGTGGAAATGATTGATTTCTAATGAATTGATGAACCATGATCAACAATGAAGGAAAATACGAATCAAAATAGCCAGTGTGGTTCACTAAGCCATCGTATCTTCACACGGAGTCACCCTAACTCAACATCAAGGCGAGAAAACGATTTCTGATTCAAACATGATTCACAGGACTTCAAAAACCAATCATTTCCTAAAACACCACTGTATTTCAGGACACCAGATTACTAAACTTAAACATTAACCACACATAAGCAAAAGGGATAAGCCTATGCAGCTATGCTATCAATCAAACAACCGTACGCACCAGAATTCTTGGCAGATAAGGACAGGAATGAAGCCACCTAATCATGGATCCAGAAATTGGGGAAGATTTTACCTTACTTGCTTAAATGAAAGCAACTTAGGTAAATAGCAAAGGGATGGGTAGAACCAAAATCTGAAATCTTCAGAATTCACTAAAGTAATCTACAAAAGCTGGACGGAGGAAATGTAAACCGCACTAGAAGAAACAGAAAAGGAAAGGTTGAAGGACAAAATCTGCTCTCGATGAGTTCTAGTCAGAGGTCATTCTCAGAAAAAAATCAATTTCTGAGTTCCAAAAATCAGAACCCAGAAAGCAACTGCAACAACGCGTTAAAGGAAGAAAACACTAGACTTTCGATTCAATCTCATGAACCCCAAAACTCCCAACCAAAACCCATCTCAAAACTCCTTCAACCCATCACAAAGAAACGAACTTGAACACAGAATCACAATGGGAACCAGACAAGAAACAGGATTTGAAGACAATCTAAGCCGAGTAAAGCAAAACCCAGATGAGAAATTGCAAAATGACGAGCAGTGGCTCCACTTCCTCACCTAAATTCTCCGCAGGATGGGCTGTCTCTCTGGTACAGATAATTCTCCTCTTCTCGAGTCAAGCTAACAGCGGAGTGTCGGCTTTTGCGTCTTCTAGTTACTTGCTTTCTAGCTTTTCTTTCTCAATTCATTCAATTACTCTGTCAATTCATTCGGGACTCCAGGTTTGCTTGCTTCTACCAGAGTATTTTAATGGAGGCTGGGTTGGTTATTTAACAATACTCGCCATCTCTGGTTAGCGGCAAATGCCCCTGGACGACCGAAGGATTTACGCTTGCTGCCATCGCAACGTGTGCGGGGATTTTTCTTTTGGCGCTTTCAATTCTAGAACTTGGCGCGGGGAATAAAAACAAACGTTTTACCGTCACCGTGTACGGCAGCATTACTGTTACATTTTTTTCACTCGGAAATTCTATGGTTTTCTTTATTGTTAAAAATGTCCAAAATTCCATTCAGTATTTTTAAATTGTCATACTATTAACAACGTGCCAATGTTAATGACTCATAATATTAACAATCGATTCAATTATATAGCATGAAGAGTCTATCAAATCAGCTAGTTATGAGTTTGTGACTTTGTATATTGAGTTTCAATTGAACAATACGTATAACAAAATAATATGAGGTTCGTCTTTTAACATACTACTCATAATTTGATTTATTGAGGTGCGACATTTCTCGCCGTCAATTGAATTGGGTTACAAAAGTATTTGAGGCATGCACGCCCACTGCCCAACCACCCAATATCATCCCCATAAGTGTTTAGAATAAAAGAAGACCATGCTGTTGATTTTTCTTCCTAAAAATCCAATCCTATAATACATAATTAGTTTATATTATCCTAACAACCCAACTTCACAAGCTTACAAATAAACTAAGCAGACCAAAATCAATGATTATAACATGATTCATCTAATACTATATATTCAATTGAAACAATGATTTCTATATAGTATTTGACATTTTTTCCCCTTCTAGTTATTAGCTAAGCAAGATGTAATCAATGACAAAATCTTCATATCCACTACCACAGTCACATCTTATCAAACATGTTCACTATAGCCCCTAAATCATAAAATTCCAGCAACTAATTATTATACTAATAGTATGCTAAAACACAAATGATATATACCTACACCGAGACAATCGGTTAGACATAAATGTAACGAGTTATATACCGAATTGAGAAAGTTGTATCAATATCTTATGCACAATGTGTTAGTGTGTGGTATATCATCCACGATTGAACCTCTCCCAACAACTCGAGTTATTGGGATCAACTAGTTCTTGACATGGTATCAGAGCCTTCTGTGACCGAGAGGTCTTGTGTTCGATTCCCGATAGCCCCCATTTGTTATATCACATGGTATTAAGACCTGTGCAAACTTCGAGTCCTTGTGAGTTGTGAGTGGCTTTCGTTTGAGGGGGCGTGTTAGTATATGATCCACGATTGAACCTCCCCCAACAACTCGAGTTATTGGGATCAACTGGTTTCACTCACTCGATTTATCGAGAGAGGTTGAGATACGATCAATACGATTTCATTTCACGTGGAACTTTGGAAGGTTGAGCTCGAACTTACTAACTATGAAAACGAGGTCAAAAAACACATGCACGAGCTATGAGAAGGAAAGCCGCGGGGAAAGGGACCCGCAATACCCAAAAAAAACGTCACTGACTACCGTTTACTTACTAACGAACGGGCCGGGAAGAAACCATGGGCCGCGGTTTCCCCCACCTGGATCTCGAGTGACGCGGTTTCGGGCTTCTCTAGTGGCAGAACCGTTATTTTGGAGAATATAAGGGGTGGTTCTTCTGTTCTGTGGGAGATTTCCCGCGCCTAAACCAGTGTGTCGGGTCGACCCATACCGACCAACCCATAGCTGACCCCTCCCCATTCCAAAAAGCAACCTCTCCATAATATAATAAGTCACATGCAAAAAATATTTGATTAACAAGTTGATGATGAGGAATTTATAAAGTTGGATGCTCGTTGGTATGACATATATATATCTTATGATAATCAAGACATAGCATAGTAATAATTTGTTGCACAGCAGAAACCATGTATCTGACATATTTGTTGGTACTTTTTTATTCGTTGATGGATTGTCAAAATAAACCGTAGAGCATACCGTATCAATCTTTGTATCTTACTATTTCGATTCTCTCCGTTTTCCTCTCTCTCTCGTGAAAGCTAAATCTTGGTGGCTACCCACATCTTGGGTTCAAACGGAAAAGAATGAATGAGAATGGAGAATGAGGAATGATGGTTGTAAAGAAGCAATTGAAAGAGAACGAAGAGAAAAGGAGAATCTATTATATTGGTGCTTTCTCTTTGGTTTAACTAGTTAATTACAATTAGCTAAAGGCACACCCACTTCCCCTTATCTTCAACTGTTTTACTGAAAAGAGGGATGGGAATTATTCCAAAAGAGGTGCGGAGGGGAATTGTGAAACCAAAAAAAAAGTTAATGGTTAGAAAGCAATGGGGATTGAGATCATCATCTTAAGTGATTTCCACATAAGACTTAGCCTTTATAAGGTTAGCAAATAGGCCCCTAGGAAGAAAATTCTTCTACTAGCTAGCTACTTGTGTGTTGAATGGAATGAATACTAATGGCTCATTGGTTTAGTGATATCATCAGCAATAAGATGATGATTTTGAGGATGTCAATTTGAGGTCTAGAGATTTTTAATTATGGGTGTCTTTTTTCTTGCAGTGTAATAAATAGATCGATGTACCAATTGGGACGGAATGGAAGGCAATGGTTCGAGTAATGCCCAGTTTGTCAGTACATTACTCTCCTAATTAAAACCAGTTTGTAGCTTCTCCATCGATTGAGCAATGTTCGGTTGGACATTATTCTTCACAAATTTTTTTTTCCAATTATTCTAAGTGGACAAAGTCGAACATATGATATACATTACATTTTTTACTCCGTTGCATATTGTGCTAATAAGAAGTCATAATGTGAATGGTAAAACTCTTTTTTTTATGACGATCATATTAGTCATATATTAACTACGTCATATCATGTAAATGATATATAGTGTGTGATCTAACTGGGTTTCCATCTTCAATACAATATTAACAACCATGTTTGACCGAGACCTTGAAGTTGCTAGCTTTGGCGTGTATAATTAGATATGAGGTTTAAGTTCCCTAGTGATGCTCCTTAAGGAGACCATAAGAATATATAACAGTCAATATTACATATATCCCATAAAATTTATATGGACGATCTAGACATCTCTCCCACTATTGAAAGTTTCAAAAGGAAATAGTTGCTCGACGTCACTAAGGTGGAACCCAGATGAGTCATGCCAGAGACTGAAGAAACACTGATTTCCTTGTCATTATCATCATCATCAGCAGCAGCATATTTGATTAGGACAAAAAGAAAATAATTGAATAAAAAACTTGGTTCCATTTCATTCAATCTTTCCTCAAAGAATGTGGGCTATCTATTGTTTGCACCTTTAGGGGGAAATACCTAGCAATTTCCCCTCCTTTTTGTTCGGTGCCTCGTGGTGATTAATATGGCTAAAACGATATGAATGGTAATTCGTGGTTATGGAGGTGGAATGATTTCTTAAAATTAGTCTGGATAATTAGTTCTTGATTTAGTACTAGGGTTTGGTTATTATAGATATGATGTATGCTTGACGCCATTTAACCTAATATATTTATGGAAGAACTCAAACCTAGCTAGTATTATATATTTATATGCTCCTGCACTTGAATAACTTATATGTTACTTTCATCCCTACTATCTAATCTATCCTTGTTCGATCCGTTGTTTGTTATAATGAGTTATCAACTAATATCGATAAGTGATCACAATGATTTTGACCCATTTACAAAACGAAAATACTTATATAATCAACACTCCTCCATTCATCAAATTCGATTCTGAATCGATTCGGATCCATACAACTCCCACCAAAATCTATCGACTAGTAAGATTTGCATTATCCCTTCCATGGAGTATCGACCACATTTGAAGAACAGAGAAGCATATAAAATGATCCCCTTTTGCTTTTAGTGGACGTGTCCGTGGGGTGGTGGGGAATAATCGTCTGCCTACCTTTTCTCTTTTGTTTTCATGATCACTCTCACATTATCATCATAATCTTCATGTGCCTTTGATTTTCTACCTTTCACCCACTTTCGTCCTTCCTTCCTTCTTTGGCTCTATTTTACTCTCATAAGCTGGATTTGTGATTTGATTTCAATGGGAAAAGCAAGTAAGGGCATGATATAACATGGTTGGTGGGTAATGGTGTCAGCCAGATCATGAAGCAGAAAGGAATTAAACAAAGTGAAACCATAGATCCTGTAAAATAAAAGTTGAACAAAAGCCAAACCGTGTGCCACAATCAAAATATAATGAAACTCGGTTTGGGGTATAAAGAGATCTATGTTTAGACGGTAACTTGTGGCACGGAAAAGTTTAAGAAAACGAGAACCATTTTGATCCATATATTAGTCAATCACTTATAATATCAGGCTCAAATTCGACGAGCTAAGACTGTGACACAGCCAAAGACACCAAGATCCTCCATCCTCCTTTTAGTCTAGAGCCTGCCTTGAATCTTCCATCCACATTTTAGCTTAAGTCATGATGATTGAGGAATAAATCTAAGTAAGAACAATTTTTTTTCCAGATTTTAGGAGAGAATATCATAGTTTTGGTATCATGTTATTGAATGGAACAAGAACTCATTTCTTTAAGTCATTTTCTCCCTTCCCTCTCCACTTTCCAGAGATTGCTTGCTGACTTGATTGCTATAAAGTATTCTCGAAATCCTACAACCATAAAACGGTAATAAGACACTTTCACACAATCCTTTTTTACACAATTTTAACCATTGTCTCAGTACGATTTGAGCTAAATAAAATTATAAGAGATATATATCTTTTAAGGGCCGCCCCTTTAATTGGACCTTAGTGTTATTGAGGAAAATATATCATTCTCAAACTTCAAATTATGTATATTTTTTTTAGAGAATAAATTAAGTTTTATGTATCATTGGTTAAATGGGAACTTGAAATTCTCTCCAAATACATTCGAGTGACGTGGGCCTAGAATTGGGCTTTTGAACTGTAATCTCAACGTGCCTTTTTGTTACCTGAATTGGGCCGCAGCTGCATCCGCATTGGGCCTAAGGATCGTGGTTTGTTTCCCAATCATATGCTATTTTTCACTTAACTCCTTGGGCCTTTCGTCAATTCGGCTAAACACTCCTTAATTAAATTTCCCGCTCGTTAATTAAGAAGAAAACCTAACCTCTTTCGAACATAGAATTCCATTAATGGTTTAGGACAACCCCCCAAGCAATACAAATACTTCTCTCCCGTCCCACCATCATTCCCACAACAACAATCCATCAATGGGGAAAGAAGAACAAGATCAAGAACCTCTGCTGAATCTCGAGGACTTGAAAGGCAAAATCGATTTCACCAGCGCCAAGCATTGGACCCCGCTCGACTACCTTCGCAACATCGCCTCCATCGCGCTCAGCAAACTCCTACGTCAGGAAGCCCGCCAAAAAGAAGGAACTGATCACCACGACCTCGTAACGTCCAAGAATAGGAAAACCCTATCTGGAACTGGAATTAGCGACGAGATCGGTGGTGACGATAGGATCTTTGTCGAAAGGAAAACGAGCCGGAGGAAAGTGGACGATGGCTACTTCGTTAGTGGGAACACACGGCTCCTGCAGCAAGCAGGAGCCGTGATCCCCGAAAGGTTCCGTCTCTATGTGGAGACGGAACTCGGAGGGAGGGAGACGAAGCTGATGATACAGAAGAAGCTGTTCGCGTCGGACGTCGATCCTTCGAAGGCTCGGTTGTCGATCCCACACAAGAAGCTGCTCCCCGGGGTTCTGACCGAGGAGGAAGAGGACATGTTACGAGGGGCCCACGGCGACGACGACGACGACGAGAAGGACACGTGTAGTGGTACGGTGGTGGGGATGAAGGTGAAGCTGGTGGATCCGTCGCTAAAGGTGTGGGAAGTGACACTAAAGAGGTGGAACATGCCTAAGAAGGGGAGCGGGGTGGTGAACTACATCTACGTGCTGAGCTCGGCGTGGAACGACGTCGTTAAGGCGAACGGCTTGTTGGAGGGTGAGGTGGTTCGGTTGTGGGGGTTTAGGATGGGCGGCGGGGACCCGGGCCGGCTCGGGTTGGCCTTGGTTCGGGTTGACCAGTTGGAAAGGTGACGATGGTGGCTAGTATATGCTGACGGAGAAAGTGGTGGTGGTAATAGACTAGTATATAGCCGTCGCTAAACAGCATTATTGATTAATTAAGTTTGAATGATCATTGGGGTTTTTTTGTGGTTTAGTTATGTTATTATTCTTAGTAATCTCTATTAGATCAATTGTTTGAATTATCGATGGATGTGAAATCGAAAAAATGGTACGAGAAGATTGTAATTTAGTATTAGTTAATTAGACTTTGATAAAGTCCACAATAATATTAGGCCTGTACGAAACTAAGTAAAGGAAAAAAGAGAGACAAAAAATATCAAAATTCCTAATCTCTCACATTTCCTTTGCCCCTTTTTAAACCAAGAGAAACCAAAGAAAGAAAGAAGAAGAAAAAAAAAATTGTTTCAAAGATGAAGAGAAGTATCAATATCATCACAGCCACTCATATGATGATCAAATCTCTTCACCATCTTCCGATCCACATGATGGACATTCCTCACAATATCATATTGTTTAACAACCTCTTCATCAAGATCACTACCACCATTATTATTTGCCTGCAAAAACTTGCCAATATCACAATAGTACTCCAAACTCCTCTTCTCCTTTTCATGACGATGATGGTTGTATAAACTTTTCTCCTTGTTTCGTCCCTGATAGTGATGAGAGTCGTTGCCGTTGTGTCTGAACGATAATGATGACGATGATGACGGTGACGATGGGAATATTGTCGACCTAGATTGGCTCGCTCCCAATGACTCGTTATGACGACCATCAAATCGAGCATTTTCAAACCCCAACATCATTGATTTGGATTTGGCCGCTGCAGAGGACGAGGACGAGGAGGAGGATTTGAACGGATGAGGATGAATATGAAGTTTACTAGTATGATTACCGGTAGGCTTCAATTTCATGGCCATCACCTTGGACATCTTCTTCTCTTCCCTCATCTCCTTCGCCCTTCGCAGCTGTCTGAACCTCTCCTGCAACAACGTGATCGACGACTGGCCTAACCCCGTAGTGGTCGTGCTGCTCTCTGGCTTCACCATGCCGAAAAAACCCTTCGAACGAAAACGATTGATCGTATCTTTTACAAATTAAATCTTGTCCAGAGCTATTTAGATGAAGTGGTTTTACGAGTAGTTTTTTCTTTCCTCTCTTTCTTCTTACACTATGTGGTATATATAGTGGGAGGTGGGTTGGGTGAAATGGAGGGGATCGGCAGGCAATGGAGGAAAATGTTGGGAAGAAAAGGGTGAGTGGAATTCAAAGGGAAGTGTCCAAATAGAAGGCATTGGGAAAGTGGGAAAGTAAAGGAGAGAGGGTGGGGTGGAAGAAACTAAAAAGAGTCCCAAAAAATTGAAGAGTGTGCTGTTAGAGGGGATTTGGGAAGTTAGCTAATGGAAGGGAATGTTTGGAGGAATCATAGGGTGGCTGCTGCCCTAGCAAAATTGCCTCTGGCCGATTAGATTCTCCATTTTAGTTTTTGAGCAGTTTGGGTGGTATCTTATTACGACCAAACAAGCCTTGAGTTTCTATTATGCTATTGTTTACAAATATTATTGGGTGTAAACAAGAAATTCGATTGCCTATGTAGTTGGAAGTTAGCGTGTAATCCGGTCATGTTATTCCAAAACCATTATATGGTACATGTATGATCATTGGGTAAATTAGTTTGGTATAATAGAGGTTAACGATGTTCAAAAATACTATATATATATAGTTGTAAATGGATATTATGCTTTGGGTTAGTGAATTGCGGACTGGGGTTCATCCATTATGGGTTAGAGTATAGTATTATGCCACAAACTCTGGTTAATTCATTGTCTAAATAGCAAAACTCAACGGGCGTACGGTAGGCTAGGGTATGTCCAGGCGTACGCTAGCCTTTGCCATGGTTCAGTCCGTTTGAGTTTTGCTATTTAGATCATGAATTAACCGAAATTTTGGACATGATACTATACCCTAACCACTAATGAATAACCCAGTCCCTAGTTTTCTAACCCATATATATATAGATTTCAATTATCACGAGTCTTGAGACATATTCCTAAACCACCATGCTCGGCCGAATCCAATGTTGGAATTATCAGAAAACGTCCTCTAAATGAATCGTATATCATCGTTCTCAAATTAAACGATCAAAGGTAACAATCGACTACCACAAAAATATCAAGTATTCACGGGTTCAAAATTGGCTTCAAACATACCTATCCCGGCGATAAATAATTCATAAAAAAATGTCGACGATGTTGACGTTTGGCATTCCCAAAGAGATACAATAGAATTGAATTGCTGGCTAATGTTCATATCATAAAGACCGGCAGCCAGCCGATTAACAATCTGCAGCAAAGCAAGAGGAAGAGATTCGGTCTTGTCGTGGAGGGAATGGAAAGAAGCGGCGTGCTGAAATCAAAGCTGCAAATGATAAGAGAGAAAGAAATTGCTATATACTATTTACCCTAATACACAAATGATAATATCGTTTTTATAGATTGGAAATCGATGGCAGGTTCTGTTTGGAAGCTTCGACGGCGGACAAGAACCTCGTTCCAAGAATTCCCCCGAAAGATAGATAGATGGATGGGTTAGTTGGGAACCCTTTGGTGGTATTTCAAAGAGATAACTTATTAATTAATTAGATTAGATTAGATTAATGTGGGTGGAATTCGTTTATCGGTAATTTAATAGGAATTCATTAGCATTATTATAAAGGTTTGATTTCAATATAAAATCCAGAACTGTAAAACCCACAAAATTCTGTGTTTTATCACACATGATATGAACGAATAATAATGCTTTTGGTCGGTATTTGGAAAGATATATAAGGGAGGTATATCTTTGGAAATTCGATAAAAACCGTATAAAAATAATACAATGTTAGAGCCACTTATGTTACATTGCAACTGCTTTATATTGAAGGAAAAGATTAGTCTTCACTCCATGGATCAATGACCAAAGTCCATGTTGTATTAATATCAGAATTACGAAAATTCAAACACAGAAATCTTTGAATTCTAAACACTATCATATATTAATCATGATTCATGTGGGTGGAAGGAAAGATGATGTACATGGGGTTGTTTGCTATCAGCCGGTTTTTATTCCCTTTTGCATGATGAGAGATAGATTTCGACGTAAACACACATATATATGTACAATGCAAAAAGAGACAAAATTTAGTATATGCTAATAGTTGCTTACAGGAAAAAAAAATATAAATACCAAATAAATTCACGAGCTATACACAGGCACAAATTTTAAAATTATTATAGATATTATTAATTTTGTCTAGGCGCCGTGCAATTGATGTGGAATAGTTAATGAGACAAATAAATAAAAACACACACAAACCTTCCAAAATTCAACACTTATACTTACTGCCTACGTTACTTACAAGTAATTTACATATTAATGTGTGATATATATTGTGGCTGTTTGCTGCCAAACTTTTCTGTTCTGTTGGCCAACCGGGACAATTTGTTTTTTATTTATTTTTTTATAAATTTATTATATTTTATAATATTTGTTTATTTGCATTTTTTTGGTTATGTGTTTGTAGTGACAAGACTGTTGTTAACTCTGTTTGCCGGTGGAATCTCCATCGGGTAGTTAGAAGCCATGAAAGAATTGAAACGCTCGCAAGAAGGTGATGTTTTGCTCCCCAAAGGTAGCATAATTAGCACCGAACGGGTCGTAGGGGGCGCTGAATTTCCCGTTTAGGTTGCAACAAAGGAGACTTAGTTGGAAGAAACAACGTACTTGGTGGAGGTATGAAAGCACACTGCTGGAAATTAGATTGGAGAGTTCAACAACATATGAGTGTATTATGAATGTTGTTATATACAACTGCATGATCTCCGGTTCAAAGCTTCACTACTCTCACTTTTATCTTCTTTTGTAAAATTTTGGGCGATTTTTTTTCATTTGTACATTTTACTTGGATTTTCAAGGCTACAAATCACAGATTCGGCACACGAGACTATTCTTCAAAGATGATTAAGTCCATTAAGACCGATTTGAAAATATTTATTCCGGGTCCATTTTTGTCAGATTTCAAAGGGGTACCATCACTGATTTCGGGCAATTTTCCCGAAATGCCATTTTCTTTCGATTTTGAAGGCTATGGATCACGGATTCGGCACGAGACTATTCTCCACCGATGGTGAAGTCTATGGATTCTATTCTCCACCGACGATTAAGTCCATTAAGCAACAATTTGGGGGAATTACTTTTAGGATGACATTTTCGTAATTTTTTGGGCGATTTTTTTTCGAAGGTCCATTTTACTTGAAATTTGAAGGCTACGGATCACAGATTCGGCCTGAGAATATTCATCAAGGATAATTAAGTCATTGAGCACCAATTTGGGCGAATTTATTCCGGGTCAGTTTTTGTCAAATTCGAAAGGGGTACCATCACAGGTTTCGGGCGATTTTCCCGAAATGTAATTTTCTTTCGATTTTGAAGGCTACGGATCACAGATTCAGCTCGAGGCTATTCTCCTCCGAAAATGAAGTCTATAGCCTTCAATATCCGAAGAAAATGGCATTTCGTCGCCCAAAAATATTACGAAAATGCCATCAAAAAATATATTGACTCAAATTGGTGCTTAATGGACTTATCATCCGTGGAGAATAGGATCAATAGACTTCATTATCGACGGAAAATAGCATCAGCCTGATTCCGTGATATGTAGTCTTCAGAATTGCAAGAAAATGACATTTCAGAAAAATCGCCCGAAATCTGTGATGGTACCCTTTTAGAATCTGCCAAAAATTGACCCGAAATAAATCCGCGCAAATCGGTGCTTACTGGACTCAATTATCGTTGAAGAATAGCCTTCGGACAAATCCGTGATCTGTAGCCTTCAATATCCATAGAAAATGGCCTTTCGTCGCCCAAAAATATTACGAAAATGCCATCCGAAAATAAATTAGCCCAAATCAGTGCTTAATGGATTTATCATCCGTGGAGAATAGTGACTTCATTATAGGTGGAGAATAGCCTCTGCCTGATTCTTCAATTTGTAGACTCCAGAATCGAAAGAAAATGGCATTTCATAAAAATCGCCCGAAATCTTTGATGGTACGGTACCCCTTTGGAATCTGCCAAAAATTGACACCGGAATAAATCCACCCAAATCGGTGCTTAATGGAATCAATCATCGTTGAAGGATAGCCTCTGGCCCAATCCGTGATCTGTAGCCTTCAATATCCAAAGAAAATGACATTTCGTCGCCCAAAAAAAATTACGAAAATGCCATCCAAAAATAAATTGGCACAAATCGGTGCTTAATTGACTTATCATCCATGGAGAATAGAATCAATATACTTCATTATCGGTGGAGAATATCCTCTGCCTGATTCCGCGATCTATAGCCTCCTGAATCGAATGAAAATGACATTTCGTAAAAATCGCCCGAAATCTGTGATTCTACTCCTTTGGAATCTGCCAAAAATTGACCCGGAATAAATCCGCCCAAATTGGTTCTTAATTGACTCAATCATCATTGAAGAATAGCTAAGGCTGAATCCGTGATCTGTTGCCTTCAATATCCAAAGAAAATGGCCTTTCGTCGCCCAAAAAAATTTATGAAAATGCCATCCGAAAATAAATTGGCCCAAATCGGTGCTTAATGGATTTATCATCCGTGGAGAATAGTGAATTCATTATAGGTGGAGAATAGCCTCGGCCTGATTCCGTGATCTGTAGCCTCCAGAATCGAAAGAAAATGGCATTTCGAAAAAATCGCCCGAAATCTGTGATGGTACACCTTTGGAATCTGCCAAAAATTGACCCGGAATAAATCCGCCCAAATCAATGCTTAATAGAATCAATCATCGTTGAAGAATAGGCTCAGACCAAATCCGTGTATCTGTAGCCTTCAATAGCCGAAGAAAATGGCCTTTCGTCGCCCAAAAAATTACGAAAATGTCATCCGAACATAAATTGGCCCAAATCGGTGCTTAATGGACTTATCATCCTTGGATAATAGTATCAATAGACTTCATTATCGGTGGAGAATAGTCACGGCCTAATTTCGAGATATGTAGCCTCCAGAATCCAAAGAAAAGGGCATTTCGAAAAATAGCCCGAAATCTGTGATGGTACTACCCCTGTGGAATCTACCAAAAATTGACTCTGAATAAATCCTCCCAAATCAGTGCTTAATGGACTCAATCATCGTTGAAGAATAGCCTCAGGCCCAATCCGTGATCTGTAGCCTTCAATATCACAAGAAAATGGCCTTTCGTCGCCCAAAAAATTACGAAAATGCCATCCAAAAATAAATTGGCTCAAATTGGTGCTTAATGGACTTATCATCCATGGATAATAGGATCAATAGACTTCATTATCAGTGGAGAATAGCCTCAGCCTGATTCCGTTATCTGTGGCCTCTAGAATCAAAAGAAAATGATATCTCGAAAAAATTGCCCAAAATCTGTGATGATACCCCTCTAGAATCTACCAGAAATTAACCCGGAATAAATCCGTCCCAAATCGGTACTTAATGGACTCAATCATCGTTGAAGAATAGCCTCAGGCTGAATCCGTGATATGAAGCCTTCAATATCAGAAGAAAATGGCCTTTCGTCACCCAAAAAATTACGAAAATTCCATCTGAACATAAATTGTCTCAAATCGATGCTTAATGGACTTATCATCCGTGGAGAATAGGATCAATAGACTTCATTATTCATAGAGAATAGCCTCGGCCTGATTTCGTGATCTCTAGCCTCTAGAATCTAAAGAAAATGACATTTCGAAAAAATCGCCCAAAATCTGTCATGGTACTACCCCTTTGGAATCTGCCAAAAATTGACCCGGAATAAATCTTCCCAAATTGGAGCTTAATGGACTCAATCATCGTTGAAGAATAGCCTCAGGCCCAATCGGTGATATGTAGCCTTCAGAATCCAAAGAAAATGGTCTTTCGTCGCCCAAAAATTACGAAAATGCCATCCAAAAATAAATTGGCTCAAATCGTTGCTTAATGGACTTATTATCCATGGAGAATAGGATCAATAGACTTCACAATCGGTGGAGAATAGTCTCGGCCTGATTTCGCGATCTGTAGCCTAGAGAATCGGAAGAAAATGGCATTTCTTCAAGGATGACTAAGTCCATTAAGCACCGATTTGTGAGGATTTATTCCGGGTCAATTTTTGGCAGTTTGCAAAGGGGTACCATCACCGATTTTGGGCAATTTTTCCGAAATGCCATTTTCTTTCAATTCTGGAGGCTACAGATCACGAAATCGGATCGAGGCTATTCTCCACCGATAATGAAGTCTATTGATCCTATTCTCCATGGATGATAAGTCCATTAAACACCGATATGGGCCAATATATTTTCGGATGACATTTTCGTAATTTTGTGGACGTTGAAATGCCATTTTCTTTGGATTTTGAAGGCCACATATCACGGATTCGGCCTGAGACTATTCTTCAACGATAACTAAGTCCATTAAGCACCGATTTGGGCAGATTTATTCCGGGTCAATTTTTGGCAGATTGCAAAGGGGTACCATCACCGATTTTGGGCGATTTTTCCGAAATGCCATTTCTTTCGATTCTGGAGGCTACAGATCACGAAATCAGGCCGAGGCTATTCTCCACCGATAATGAAGTCTATTGATCCTATTCTCCACGGATTATAAGTCCATTAAACACCGATTTGGGCCAATTTATTTTCGGATGGCATTTTCGTAATTTTGTGGCCGTCGAAATGCCATTTTCTTTGGATTTTGAAGGCTACAGATCACGAATTCGGCCTGAGACTATTCTTCAACGATGACTAAGTTCATTAAGCACCGATTTGGGCAGATTTATTCCGGGTCAATTTTTGGCAGATTGCAAAGGGGTACCATTTCCGATTTTGGCCGATTTCCGAAATGCCGTTTTCTTTCGATTCTGGAGGCTACAGATCACGAAATCAGGCCGAGGTTGTTCTCGACCAATAATGAAGTCTATTGATCTTATTCTCCACGGATGATAAGTCCATTAAATACCGATTTGGGCCAATTTATTTTCGGATGGCATTTTCGTAATTTTGTGGGTGTCGAAATGCCATTTTCTTTGGATTTTGAAGACTACAGATCACGGATTCGGCCTGAGACTATTCTTCAACGATGACTAAGTCCATTAAGCACCGATTTGGGGGGATTTATTCCGGGTCAATTTTTGGCATATTGCAAAGGGGTACCATCACCGATTTTGGGCGTTTTTTTCGAAATGCCATTTTCTTTCGATTCTGGAGGCTACAGATCACGAAATCAGGTCGAGGCTATTCTCCACCGATAATATAGTCTATTGATCCTATTCTCCACGGATGATAAGTCCATTAAACACCGATTTGGGCCAATTTATTTTCAGATGGCATTTTCATAATTTTGTGGGCGTCGAAATGCCATTTTCTTTGGATTTTGAAGGCTACAGATAACGGATTCGGCCTGAGACTAATCTTCAACGATGACTAAGTCCATTAAGCTCCGATTTGAGGCGATTTATTCCGGTTCAATTTTTGGCAGATTGCAAAGGGGTACCATCACCGATTTTGGGCGATTTTTCCGAAATGCCATTTTCTTTCGATTCTGGAGGCTACAGATCACGAAATCAAGCAGAGGCTATTCTCCACCGATAATGAAGTCTATTGATCTTATTCTCCACGAATGATAAGTCCATTAAACACCGATTTGGGCCAATTTATTTTCGGATGGCATTTTCGTAATTTTGTGGCCGTCAAAATGCCATTTTCTTTGGATTTTGAAGGCTACAGATCACGGATTCGGCCTGATACTATTCTTCAACGATGACTAAGTCCATTAAGCACCAATTTAGACGGATTTATTTCGGGTCAATTTTTGGCAGATTGCAAAGGGGTACCATCACCGATTTTGGGCGATTTTTCCGAAATGCCATTTTCTTTCGATTCTGGAGGCTACAGATCACGAAATCAGGCCGAGGCTATTCTCCACCGATAATATAGTCTATTGATCCTATTCTCCACGGATGATAAGTCCATTAAACACCGATTTGGGCCAATTTATTTTCGGATGGCATTTTCGTAATTTTGTGGGCGTCGAAATGCCATTTTCTTTGGATTTTGAAGGCTACAGATCACGGATTCGGCTTGAGACTATTCTTCAACGATGACGAAGTCCATTAAGCTCCGATTTGGGCAGATTTATTCAGGGTCAATTTTTGGCAGATTGCAAAGGGGTACCATCACCAATTTTGGGCGATTTTTCCGAAATGCCATTTTCTTTCGATTCTGGAGGCTACAGATCATGAAATCAGGCCAAGTCTATTCTCCACCGATAATGAAGTCTATTGATCCTGTACTCCATGGATGATAAGTCAATTAAACAGCGATTTGGGTAAATTTATTTTTGGATTGCATTTTCGTAATTTTGTGGGCGTCGAAATTCCATTTTCTTTGGATTTTGAAGGCTACAGATCACGTATTCGGCCTGAGACTATTCTTCAACGATGACTAAGTCCATTTAGCACCGATTTGGGAAGATTTATTCCGGGTCAATTTTTTGGCAGATTGCAAAGGGGTACCATCACCGACTTTGGGCAATTTTTCCGAAATGCCATTTTCTTTCGATTCTGGAGGCTACAGATCACGAAATCAGGTCGAGGCTATTCTCCACCGATAATGAAGTCTATTGATCCTATACTCCACGGATGATAAGTCAATTAAACACCGATTTGGGCCAATTTATTTTCGGATGGCATTTTCGTAATTTTGTGTGCGTCGAAATTCCATTTTCTTTGGATTTTGAAGGCTACAGATCACTGATTCGGCCTGAGACTATTCTTCAACGATGACTAAGTCCATTAAGCACCGATTTGGGCGGATTTATTCCGGGTCAATTTTTGGCAGATTGCAAAGGGGTACCCCGATTTTTCCGAAATGCCATTTTCTTTCGATTCTGGAGGCTACAGATCACGAAATCAGGCCGAGGCTATTCTCCACCGATAATGAAGTCTATTGATCCTATTCTCCACGGATGATAACTCCATTAAACACCAATTTGGGTCAATTTATTTTCGGATTACATTTTAGTAATTTGTGGGCGTCGAAATGCCATTTTCTTTGGATTTTGAAGGCTACATATCACGGATTCGTCCTGAGACTATTCTTCAAGGATGACTAAGTCCATTAAAAACCGATTTGTGCGGATTTATTCCGGGTCAATTTTGGGCAGATTGCAAAGGGGTACCATCACCGATGTTGGGCGATTTTTCCGAAATGCCATTTTCTTTCAATTCTGGAGGCTACAGATCATGAAATCAGGCCGAGGCTATTCTCCACCGATAATGAAGTCTATTGATCCTATTCTCCACGGATGATAAGTCCATTAAACACCGATTTGGGCCAATTTATTTTTGGATGGCATTTTCGTAATTTTGTGGGCGTCGAAATGCCATTTTCTTTGGATTTTGAAGACTACGGATAACGAATTCGGCCTGAGACTATTCTTCAGCGATGACTAAGTCCATTAAGCACCGATTTTGGCGGATTTATTCCGGGTCAATTTTTGGCAGATTGCAAAGGGGTACCATCATCGATTTTGGGCGATTTTTCCGAAATGCCATTTTCTTTCGATTCTGGATGCTACAGATCACGAAATCAGGCCGAGGCTATTCTCCACCGATAATGAAGTCTATTGATCCTATTCTCCACGGATGATAAGTCCATTAAACACCAATTTGGGTCAATTTATTTTCGGATGGCATTTTCGAAATTTTGTGGGCGTCGAAATGCCATTTTCTTTGGATTTTGAAGGCTACAGATCATGAATTCGGCCTGAGACTATTCTTCAACCATGACTAAGTCCATTAATCACCGATTTGGGCGGATTTATTCCGGGTCAATTTTTGGCAGATTGCAAAGGGGTACCATCACCAATTTTGGGAGATTTTTCTGAAATGTCATTTTCTTTCAATTCTCGAGGCTACAGATCACGAAATCAGGCCGAGGCTATTCTCCACCGATAATGAAGTCTATTGATCCTATTCTCCACGGATGATAAGTCCATTAAACACCGATTTGGGCCAATTTATTTTCGGATGGCATTTTCGTAATTTTGTGGGCGTCGAAATGCCATTTTCTTTGGATTTTGAAGGCTACAGATCACGGATTCGGCTTGAGACTATTGTTCAACGATGACGAAGTCCATTAAGCACCGATTTGGGCATATTTATTCCGGGTCAATTTTTGGCAGATTGCAAAGGGGTACCATCACCAATTTTGGGCGATTTTTCCGAAATGCCATTTTCTTTCGATTCTGGAGGCTACAGATCATGAAATCAGGCCGAGGCTATTCTCCACCGATAATGAAGTCTATTGATCCTGTTCTCCACGGATGATAAGTCCATTATACACCGATTTGGGCCAATTTATTTTCGGATGGCATTTTCGTAATTTTATGGGCGTCGAAATGCCATTTTCTTTGGATTTTGAAGGCTACAGATCACGGATTCGGCTTGAGACTATTCTTCAACGATGACGAAGTCCATTAAGCACCGATTTGGGCATATTTATTCCGGGTCAATTTTTGGCAGATTGCATAGGGGTACCATCACCAATTTTGGGCGATTTTTCCGAAATGCCATTTTCTTTCGATTCTGGAGGCTACAGATCATGAAATCAGGCCGAGGCTATTCTCCACCGATAATGAAGTCTATTGATCCTGTACTCCACGGATGATAAGTCAATTAAACACCGATTTGGGCCAATTTATTTTCGGATGGCATTTTCGTAATTTTGTGGGCGTCGAAATGCCATTTTCTTTGGATTTTGAAAACTACAGATCACGGATTCGGCCTGAGACTATTCTTCAACGATGACTAAGTCCATTAAGCACTGATTTGGGGAGATTTATTCCAGGTCAATTTTTGGCAGATTGCAAAGGGGTACCATCACCGATTTTGGGCGATTTTTCCGAAATGACATTTTCTTTCGATTCTGGAAGCTACGGATCACGAAATCAGGCCGAGGCTATTCTCCACCAATAATGAAGTCTATTGATCCTATTCTCCACGGATGATAAGTCCATTAAACACCAATTTGGGTCAATTTATTTTCGGATGGCATTTTCGTAATTTGTGGGCGTCGAAATGCCATTTTCTTTGGATTTTGAAGGCTACAGATCACGGATTCGGCCTGAGACTATTCTTCAACGATGACTAAGTCCATTAAGCACCGATTTGGGCGGATTTATTCCGGGTCAATTTTTGGCAGATTGCAAAGGGGTACCATCACCGATTTTGGGCGATTTTTCCGAAATGCCATTTTCTTTCGATTCTGGAGGCTACAGATCACGAAATCAGGCCGAGGCTATTCTCCACCGATAATGAAGTCTATTGATCCTATTCTCCACGGATGATAAGTCCATTAAACACCGATTTGGGTCAATTTATTTTCGGATGGCATTTTCGTAATTTTGTGAGCGTCGAAATGCCATTTTCTTTGGATTTTGAAGGCTACAGATCATGGATTCGGCTTGAGACTATTCTTCAACGATGACTAAGTCCATTAAGCACCGATTTGGGCGGATTTATTCCGGGTCAATTTTTGGCAGATTCCAAAGGAGTACCATCACCGATTTTGGGCGATTTTTCCGAAATGCCATTTTCTTTCGATTCTGGAGGCTACAGATCACGAAATCAGGCCGAGGCTATTCTCCACCGATAATGAAGTCTATTGATCCTATTCTCCATGGATGATAAGTCCATTAAACACCGATTTGGGCCAATTTATTTTCGGATGGCATTTTCGTAATTTTGTGGGCGTCGAAATGCCATTTTCTATGGATTTTGAAGGTTACAGATCACGGATTCAGCCTGAGACTATTCTTCAACGATGATTAAGTCCATTAAGCGCCGATTTGGGCGGATTTATTCCGGGTCAATTTTAGGCTGATTGCAAAGGGGTATCATCATCGATTTTGGGCGATTTTTCCGAAATGCCATTTTCTTTCGATTCTGGAGGCTACAGATCACGAAATCAGGCCGAGGCTATTCTCCACCGATAATGAAGTCTACTGATCCTATTCTCCACGGATGATAAGTCCATTAAACACCGATTTGGGCCAATTTATTTTCGGATGGCATTTTCGTGTGGGCGGCGAAATGCCATTTTCTTTGAATTTTGAAGGCTACAGATCACGGATTCGGCCCGAGACTATTCTTCAACGATCACTAAGTCCATTAAGCACCGATTTGGGCGGATTTATTCCGGGTCAATTTTTGGCAGATTGCAAAGGAGTACCATCATGATTTTGGGCGATTTTTCCGAAATGCCATTTTCTTTCGATTATTGAGGCAACAGATCACGAAATCAGGCCGAGGCTATTCTCCACCGATAATGAAGTCTATTGATCCTATTCTCCACGGATGATAAGTCCATTAAACACCGACTTGGCCCAATTTATTTTAGGATGACATTTTTGGTAATTTTGCTGGCGTCGAAATGTCATTTTCTTGGGATTTTGAATGCTACAGATCACGGATTCGGCGTGAGACTATTCTTCAATGATGACTAAGTCCATTAAGCACCGATTTGGGAGGATTTATTCCGGGTCAATTTTTGGCAGATTACAAAGGGGTACCATCACCGATTTTGGGCAATTTTTCCGAAATGCCATTTTCTTTCGATTCTGGAGGCTACAGATCATGAAATCAGGCCGAGTCTATTCTCCACCGATAATGAAGTCTATTGATCCTGTACTCCATGGATGATAAGTCAATTAAACAGCGATTTGGGTAAATTTATTTTCGGATTGCATTTTCGTAATTTTGTGGGCGTCGAAATTCCATTTTCTTTGGATTTTGAAGGCTACAGATCACGTATTCGGCCTGAGACTATTCTTCAACGATGACTAAGTCCATTAAGCTCAGATTCGAGGCGATTTATTCCGGGTCAATTTTTGGCAGATTGCAAAGGGGTACCATCACCGATTTTGGGCGATTTTTCCGAAATGCCATTTTCTTTCTATTCTAGAGGCTACAGAACACGAAATCAAGCAGAGGCTATTCTCCACCGATAATGAAGTCTATTGATCCTATTCTCCACGAATGATAAGTCCATTAAACACCGATTTGGGCCAATTTATTTTCGGATGGCATTTTCGTAATTTTGTGGCCGTCAAAATGCCATTTTCTTTGGATTTTGAAGGCTACAGATCACGGATTCGGCCTGATACTATCTTCAACGATGACTAAGTCCATTAAGCACCAATTTAGACGGATTTATTTCGGGTCAATTTATGGCAGATTGCAAAGGGGTACCAACACCGATTTTGGGCGATTTTTCCGAAATGCCATTTTCTTTCGATTCTGGAGGCTACAGATCACGAAATCTGGCCGAGGCTATTCTCCACCGATAATATAGTCTATTGATCCTATTCTCCACGGATGATAAGTCCATTAAACACCGATTTGGGCATATTTATTTTCGGATGGCATTTTCATAATTTTGTGGCCGTCAAAATGCCATTTTCTTTGGATTTTGAAGGCTACAGATAACGGATTCGGCCTGAGACTATTCTTCAACGATGACTAAGTCCATTAAGCTCCGATTCGAGGCGATTTATTCCGGGTCAATTTTTGGCAGATTGCAAAGGGGTACCATCACCGATTTTGGGCGATTTTTCCGAAATGCCATTTTCTTTCGATTCTGAGGCTACAGATCACGAAATCAAGCAGAGGTTATTCTCCACCGATAATGAAGTCTATTGATCCTATTCTCCACGAATGATAAGTCCATTAAACACCGATTTGGGCCAATTTATTTTCGGATGGCATTTTCGTAATTTTGTGGCCGTCAAAATGCCATTTTCTTTGGATTTTGAAGGCTACAGATCACGGATTCGGCCTGATACTATTCTTCAACGATGACTAAGTCCATTAAGCACCAATTTAGACGGATTTATTTCGGGTCAATTTTTGGCAGATTGCAAAGGGGTCGTACCATCACCGATTTTGGGCGATTTTTCCGAAATGCCATTTTCTTTCGATTCTGGAGGCTACAGATCACGAAATCAGGCCGAGGCTATTCTCCACCGATAATATAGTCTATTGATCCTATTCTCCACGGATGATAAGTCCATTAAACACCGATTTGGGCAAATTTATTTTCGGATGGCATTTTCGTAATTTTGTGGGCGTCGAAATGCCATTTTCTTTGGATTTTGAAGGCTACAGATCACGGATTCGGCTTGAGACTATTCTTCAACGATGACGAAGTCCATTAAGCTCCGATTTGGGCAGATTTATTCAGGGTCAATTTTTGGCAGATTGCAAAGGGGTACCATCACCAATTTTGGGCGATTTTTCCGAAATGCCATTTTCTTTCGATTCTGGAGGCTACAGATCATGAAATCAGGCCGAGTCTATTCTCCACCGATAATGAAGTCTATTGATCCTGTACTCCATGGATGATAAGTCAATTAAACAGCGATTTGGGTAAATTTATTTTCGGATTGCATTTTCGTAATTTTGTGGGCGTCGAAATTCCATTTTCTTTGGATTTTGAAGGCTACAGATCACGTATTCGGCCTGAGACTATTCTTCAACGATGACTAAGTCCATTTAGCACCGATTTGGGCAGATTTATTCCGGGTCAATTTTTGGCAGATTGCAAAGGGGTACCATCACCGACTTTGGGCAACTTTTCCGAAATGCCATTTTCTTTCGATTCTGGAGGCTACAGATCACGAAATCAGGTCGAGGCTATTCTCCACCGATAATGAAGTCTATTGATCCTATACTCCACGGATGATAAGTCAATTAAACACCGATTTGGGCCAATTTATTTTCGGATGGCATTTTCGTAATTTTGTGTGCGTCGAAATTCCATTTTCTTTGGATTTTGAAGGCTACAGATCACTGATTCGGCCTGAGACTATTCTTCAACGATGACTAAGTCCATTAAGCACCGATTTGGGCGGATTTATTCCGGGTCAATTTTTGGCAGATTGCAAAGGGGTACCATCAGCGATTTTGGGCGATTTTTCCGAAATGCCATTTTCTTTCGATTCTGGAGGCTACAGATCACGAAATCAGGCCGAGGCTATTCTCCACCGATAATGAAGTCTATTGATCCTATTCTCCACGGATGATAAGTCCATTAAACACCAATTTGGGTCAATTTATTTTCGGATTACATTTTAGTAATTTGTGGGCGTCGAAATGCCATTTTCTTTGGATTTTGAAGGCTACATATCACGGATTCGTCCTGAGACTATTCTTCAAGGATGACTAAGTCCATTAAAAACCGATTTGTGCGGATTTATTCCGGGTCAATTTTGGGCAGATTGCAAAGGGGTACCATCACCGATTTTGGGCGATTTTTCCGAAATGCCATTTTCTTTCAATTCTGGAGGCTACAGATCATGAAATCAGGCCGAGGCTATTCTCCACCGATAATGAAGTCTATTGATCCTATTCTCCACGGATGATAAGTCCATTAAACACCGATTTGGGCCAATTTATTTTTGGATGGCATTTTCGTAATTTTGTGGGCGTCGAAATGCCATTTTCTTTGGATTTTGAAGACTACAGATAACGAATTCGGCCTGAGACTATTCTTCAACGATGACTAAGTCCATTAAGCACCGATTTTGGCGGATTTATTCCGGGTCAATTTTTGGCAGATTGCAAAGGGGTACCATCATCGATTTTGGGCGATTTTTCCGAAATGCCATTTTCTTTCGATTCTGGAGGCTACAGATCCCGAAATCAGGCCGAGGCTATTCTCCACCGATAATGAAGTATATTCATCCTATTCTCCACAAATGATAAGTCCATTAAACACCGATTTGGGCTAATTTATTTTCGGATGGCATTTTCGTAATTTTGTGGGTGTCGAAATGCCATTTTCTTTGGATTTTGAAGGCTACAGATCACCGTTTCGGCCTGAGACTATTCTTCAACGATGACTAAGTCCATTAAGCACTGATTTGGGCATATTTATTCCAGGTCAATTTTTGGCAGATTGCAAAGGGTTTGGGCGATTTTTCCGAAATGCCATTTTCTTTCGATTCTGGATGCTACAGATCACGAAATCAGGCCGAGGCTATTCTCCACCGATAATGAAGTCTATTGATCCTATTCTCCACGGATGATAAGTCCATTAAACACCAATTTGGGTCAATTTATTTTCGGATGGGATTTTCGTAATTTGTGGGCGTCAAAATGCCATTTTCTTTGGATTTTGAAGGCTACAAATCACGGATTCGGCCTGAGACTATTCTTCAAGGATGACTAGGTCCATTAAGCACCGATTTGTGCGGATTTATTCCGGGTCAATTTTTGGCAGATTGCAAAGGGGTACCATCACCGATTTTGGGCAATTTTTCCGAAATGCCATTTTCTTTCGATTCTTGAGGCTACAGATCACGAAATCAGGCCGAGGCTATTCTCCACCGATAATGAAGTCTATTGATCCTATTCTCCACGGATGATAAGTCCATTAAACACCTATTTGGGTCAATTTATTTTCGGATGGGATTTTCGTAATTTTGTGGGCGTCGAAATGCCATTTTCTATGGATTTTGAAGGCTACAGATCACGGATTCAGCCTGAGACTATTCTTCAACGATGACTAAGTCCATTAAGCGCCGATTTGGGCGGATTTATTCCGGGTCAATTTTAGGCTGATTGCAAAGGGGTATCATCATCGATTTTGGGCGATTTTTCCGAAATGCCATTTTCTTTCGATTCTAGAGGCTACAGATCACGAAATTAGGCCGAGGCTATTCTCCACCGATAATGAAGTCTACTGATCCTATTCTCCACGGATGATAAGTCCATTAAACACCGATTGGGCCAATTTATTTTCGGATGGCATTTTTGTGTGGGCGGCGAAATGCCGTTTTCTTTGAATTTTGAAGGCTACAGATCACGGATTCGGCCAGAGACTATTCTTCAAAAATCACTAAGTCCATTAAGCACCGATTTGGGCGGATTTATTCCGGGTCAATTTTTGGCAGATTGCAAAGGAGTACCATCACTGATTTTGGGCGATTTTTCCGAAATGCCATTTTCTTTCGATTCTGGAGGCAACAGATCACGAAATCAGGCCGAGGCTATTCTCCACCGATAATGAAGTCTATTGATCCTATTCTCCACGAATGATAATTCCATTAAACACCGATTTGGGCCAATTTATTTTCGGATGACATTTTCGTAATTTTGTGGGCGTCGAAATGCCATTTTCTTGGGATTTTGAAGGCTACAGATCACGGATTCGGCCTGAGACTATTCTTCAATGATGACTAAGTCCATTAAGCACCGATTTGGGAGGATTTATTCCGGGTCAATTTTTGGCAGATTGCAAAGGGGTACCATCACCGATTTTGGGCAATTTTTCCGAAATGCCATTTTCTTTCGATTCTTGAGGCTACAGATCACGAAATCAGGCCGAGGCTATTCTCCACCGATAATGAAGTCTATTGATCCTATTCTCCACGGATGATAAGTCCATTAAACACCGATTTGGGCCAATTTATTTTCGGATGGCATTTTCGTAATTTTGTCGGCGTCGAAATGCCATTTTCTTTGGATTTTGAAGGCTACAGATCACGGATTCGGCCTGAGACTATTCTTCAACGATGACTTCCTTTGGAATCTGCTAAAAATTGACCCGGAATAAATCCACCCAAGTCGGTGATTAATGGACTTATCATCCATGGATAATAGGATCAATATACATAATTATCGGTGGAGAACAGCCTCGACCTGATTCGGTGATTTATAGCCTCTAGAATCGAAAGAAACTAGCATTTCGAAAAATTCCCCAAAATCTGTGATGGTACCCCTTTGGAATCTGCCAAAAATTGACCCGGAATAAATCCTCCCAAATCGGTGCTTAATGAACTCAATCATCGTTGAAGAATAGCCTCAGGATAAATCCGTGATCTGTAGCCTTCAACATCCAAAGAAAATGGCCTTTCGTCGGACAAAAAATTACGAAAATGACATCCGAAATTAAATTGGCTCAAATCGGTGCTTAATGGACTTATCATCCATGGAGAATAGGATCAATAGACTTCATTATCGGTGGAGAATAGCCTCTGTCTGATTCCGCAATCTGTAGCCTACAGAGTCGAATGAAAATGGCATTTCATTAAAATCGCCCGAAATCTGTGATGGTACCCCCTTTGGAATATGCCAAAAATTGACCCTGAATAAATCCGCCCAAATCGGTGCTTAATGGACTCAATCATCGTTGAAGAATAGCTTCAGACTGAATCCGTGATCTGTAGCCTTCAATATCCAAAGAAAATGGCCTTTCGTCGGACAAATAATTACGAAACTGCCATCCAAAAAATAAATTGGCTCAAATCGGTGCTTAATGGACTTATCATCCGGGGAGAATAGGATCAATAGACTTTATTATCGGTTGGGAATAGCTTCGGCCTGATTCCGTCATCTGTAGCCTCCAGAATCGAATAAAAATTGCATTTCGGATAAATCGCCCAAAATATGTGATGGTTCCCCTTTGGAATCTGCCAAATATTGACACGGAATAAATCCGCCTAAATCGGTGCCTAATGGACTCAATCATCGTTGAAGAATAGCCTCAGGCCCAATCCGTGATCTGTAGCCTTCAATATCCAAAGAAAACGGCATTTCGTTATGAGTGATCTGCAGCCTTCAATATTAAAAGAAAATGGCCTTTCGTACCCAAAAAATTACGAAAATGCCATCCAAAAATAAATTGGCCCAAATCGATGCTTAATGGACTTATCATCCGTGGAGAATAAGATCAATAGACTTCATTATCGGTTGAGAATAGCCTCGGCCTGATTCTGCGATCCAGAATCGAAAGAAAATGTCAGTTCATAAAAATCACCAGAAATCTTTGATGGTACCTCTTTGGAATCTGCCAAAAATTGACCCGAGATATATCCACCCAAATCGGTGCTTAATGGACTCAATTATTGTTGAAGGATAGCCTCAGGCCCAATCCGTAATCTGTACCCTTCAATATCTAAAGAAAATGGCCTTTCGTCGGACAAAAAATTAAGAAAATGCCATCCGAAAATAAATTGGCTCAAATCGGTGCTTAATGGGCTTATCATCCATCGAGAATAGGATCTATAGACTTCATTATCTATGAAGAATAGCCTCAGCCTAATTTCGCGATCTGTAGCCTCCAGAATCGATAGAAAATGACATTTCATAAAGATCCCCCCGAAATCTGTGATGGTCCCCCTTTGGAATCTGCCAAAAATTGACCCGGAATAAATCCGCCCAAATCGGTGCTTAATGGACTCAATCCTCGTTGAAGAATAGCCTCAGGCGGAATCCATGATCTGCAGCCTTCAATATTAAAAGAAAATGGCCTTTCGTCGGACAAAAATTTACGAAAATGACATCCGAAAATAAATTGGCCCAAATCGGTGCTTAATAGACTTATCATCCGGGGAGAATAGGATCAATAGACTTCATTATCGGTGGAGAATAGCCTCGGCCTAATTCCGTGATCTGTAGCGTCCAGAATCGAATGAAAATAACATTTCATAAAATCGCCCGAAATCTGTGATGCTACCCCTTTGGAATCTGCCAAAAATTGACCCGCAATAAATTCACCAAAATCGGTGTTTAATGGACTCAATCATCGTTGAAGAATAGGCTCAGGCCCAATCTGTGATCTGTAGGCTTCAATATCCAAAGAAAATGGCATTTCGTCGCCCAAAAGATTACGAAAATGCCATCCGAAAATAAATTGGCTCTAATTGGTGCTTAATGGACTTATCATGCATGGATAACAGGATCAATAGACATCATTATCGTTGGAAAATAGCTTCCGCCTGATTCCATGATATGTAGCCTGTAGAATCGAAAAAATTGGCATTTCGAAAAAATTACCCGAAATCTATGATGGTACCCCTTTGGAATCTGCCAAAAATAGACCCGGAATAAATCCGCCCACATCGGTGCTTAATGGACTCAATCATCGTTGAAGAATATCCTCAGCTGAATCCGTGATCTGTATCCTTCAACATCCAAAGAAAATGGCCTATCGTCGGCTAAAAAATTGCGAAAATGCCATCAGAAAATAAATGGGCCCAAATTGTTGCTTAATGAACTTATCATCCATAGAGAATAGGATATATAAACTTCATTATCAGTGGAGAATAGCCTCGGCCTGATTCCGTGATCTGTAACTTCTAGAATCGAAAGACAATGACATTTCGAAAAAATTGACTGAAATCTGTGATGGTACCCTTTGGAATCTGCCAAAAATTGTCCCGGAATAAATCCTCCCAAATATGTGCTAATGGAGTCAATTATCGTGGAAGAATAGCCTCGGGCAAATTCTGTGATCTGTATCCTTCACTATCCAAAGTAAATGGTCTTTCGTCGCACAAAAAATCACAAAAATGTCATCCGAAAATAAATTGTCCCATATCGGTGGTTAATGGACTTATCATCCGTGAAGAATAGGATCAATAGACTTCATTATAGTTGGAGAATAACCTCGGCCTGATTCCTTGATCTGTAGACTCCAGAATTAAAAGAAAATAGTATTTCGAAAAAATCGCACCTTTGAAATCTGCCAAAAAATGCCTTGTAATAAATCCACCCAAATCAGTGCTTCATGGACTCAATCATCGTTGAAGAATAGCCTCAGGCCCAATCCTTGATTTGTAGCCTTCAATATCCAAAGAAAATGGCCTTTCGTCGGACAAAAAATTATGAAAATGTCATCCGAAAATAAATTGGCTCAAATCGGTGCTTAATGGACTTATCATCCATGGAGAATAGGATTAATAGAATTCATTATCGGTGGAGAATAGCCTCATCCTGATTATGCAATCTTTAGCCTCCAAAATCGAAAGAAAATGACATTTCATAAAAATCGCCCGAAATCTGTGATGGTTCCCCTATGGAATCTGCCAAAAATTGACCTGGAATAAATCCACCCAAATCTGTGCTTAATGGACTCAATAATCGTTGAAGAATAGCCTCAAGCCCAATCTGTGATCTGTAGCCTTCAATATCCAAAGAAAATGGCCTTTCATCAGACAAAAAATTACGAAAATGACATCCGAATATAAATTGGCTCAAATCGGTGCTTAATGGACTTATCATCCAAGGAGAATAGGATCAATAGACTTCATTATCGGTGGAGAATAGCCTCGGCCTGATTCCGCGATCTGTAGCCTCCAGAATCTAAAGAAATTGGCATTTCATAAAAATCGCCCGAAATCTGTGATGGTACCCCTTTAGAATCTGCTAAAAATTGACCCGGAATAAATCCACCCAAATCGGTGCTTAATGGACTCAATCATCGTTGAAGAATAGCCTCAGGCCCAATCCGGGATTTGTAGCCTTCAATATCCAAAGAAAATGGCCTTTCGTCGGACAAAAAATTATGAAAATGTCATCCAAAAATAAATTGGCTCAAATCGGTGCTTAATGGACTTATCATCCAAGGAGAATAGGATCAATAGACTTCATTATCGGTGGAGAATAGCCTCGGCCTAATTCTGCGATCTTTAGCATCCAAAATCGAAAGAAAATGGCATTTCTTAAAAATCGCCCGAAATCTGTCATGGTACCCCTATGGAATCTGCCAAAAATTCACTCAGAATAAATCCACCCAAATCGGTGCTTAACGGACTCAATCATCGTTGAAGAATAACCTCAAGCCCAATCTGTGATCTGTAGCCTTCAATATGCAAAGAAAATGGCCTTTCATCAGACAAACAATTACGAAAATGCCATCCGAAAATAAATTGGCTCAAATTGGTGCTTAATGGACTTATCATCCAAGGAGAATAGGATCAATAGACTTCATTATCGGTGAAGAATAGCCTCGGCCTGATTTCGCGATCTTTAGCCTCCAGAATCTAAAGAAATTGGCATTTCATAAATATCGCCCGAAACCTGTGATGATACCCCTTTGGAATCTGCCAAAATTTGACCCGGAATAAATCCACCCAAATAGGTGCTTAATGGACTCAATCATTGTTGAAGAATAGCCTCAGGCCCAATCCGTGATCTGTAGCCTTCATATCCAAAGAAAACGACATTTCGTCGCCAAAAAAATTACGAAAATGCAATCCGAAAAATAAATTGGCTCTAATCGGTGGTTAATGGACTTATCATACAAGGAGAATAAGATCAATAGACTTCATTATCGGTGGAGAACAGCATCGGCCTGATTCTACGAGCTTTAGCCTCCAGAATCGAAAGAAAATGGCATTTCATAAAAATCGGCCGAAATCTGTGATGGTACCCCTATGGAATCTGCCAAAAATTGACCCGGAATAAATCCACCCAAATCGGTGCTTAATGGACTCAATCATCGTTGAAGAATAGCCTCAGGCCCAATCCGTGATTTGTAGCCTTCAATATCCAAAGAAAATGGCCTTTCGTCGGACAAAAAATTATGAAAATGTCATCCGAAAATAAATTGGCTCAAATCATTGCTTAATGGACTTTTCATCCATAGAGAATAGGATCAATAGACTTCATTATCGGTGGAGAATAGCCTCGGCCTGATTCTGCGATCTTTAGCCTCCAGAATCGAAAGAAAATGTCATTTCAATAAAATCGCCCGAAATATGTGATTGTATCCCTTTGGAATCTGCCAAAAATTGACCTGGAATAAATCCACCCAAATCGGTGCTTAATGGACTCAATCATCGTTGAAGAATAGCCTCAGGCCCAATCCGTGATCTGTAGCCTTCAATATCCAAAGAAAATGACATTTCGTCGCCCAAAAAATTATGAAAATCCCATTAGAAAATAAATTGGCTCAAATCGGTGCTTAATGGACTTATGATACGTGGAGAATAGGATCAATAGACATCATTATCAGTGGAGAATAGCCTCGGCCTGATTTCGTGATCTGTAGCCTCCATAATCGAAAAAAATGGCATTTCATAAAAATCGCCCAAAATCTGTGATGGTACCCCTTTGGAATCTGCCAAAAATTGACCCGGAATAAATCCACCCAAATCAGTGCTTAATGGACTCAATCATCGTTGAAGAATATCCCTAGGCCCAATCCGTGAGCTGTAGCCTTCAATATCCAAAGAAAATGGCTTTTCGTCGGACAAAAAATTATGAAAATGTCATCCAAAAATAAATTGGCTCAAATCGGTGCTTAATGGACTTATCATCCATGGAGAATAGGATCAATAGACTTCATTATCGGTGAACAATAGCCTCGGCCAGATTCTGCGATCTGTAGCCTCCAGAATCGAAAGAAAATGGCATTTCATAAAAATCACCCGAAATCTGTGATGGTACCCCTATGGAATCTGCCAAAAATTGACCCATAATAAATCCAGCCAAATCGGTGCTTAATGGACTCAATCATCGTTGAAGAATAGCCTCAAGCCCAATCTATGATCTGTAGCCTTCAATATCCAAAGAAAATGGCATTTCATCAGACAAAAAATTACAAAAATGTCATCCGAAAATAAATTGGCTCAAATCGGTGCTTAATGGACTTATGATCCGTTGAGAATAGGATCAATAAACTTCATTATCGGTGGATAATAGCCTTGGCCTGATTTCGCGATCTGTAGCCTCCAAAATCGAAAGAAAATGGCATTTCATAAAAATCGCCCGAAATCTGTGATGGTACCCTTTTGGAATCTGCCAAAAATTAACCCGGAATAAATCCACCCAAATCGGTGCTTAATGGACTCAACCATCGTTGAAGAATAGCCTCACGCCCAATCTGTGATCTGTAGCCTTCAATATCCAAAGAAAATGGCATTTCGTCGCCCAAAAAATTACGAAAATTACATTCAAAAATAAAATTTGCTCTAATAGGTGCTTAATGGACTTATCATGCATGGATAATAGGATCAATAGACATCATTATCGGTGGAGAATAGCCTCGGCCTGATTCCGTGATCTGTAGCCTCGAGAATCGAAAGAAAATCGTTTTTCAAAAAAATTGCCCGAAATATATGATGGGACCCCTTTGGAATCTCCCAAAAATTAACGCGGAATAAATCCGCCCAAATAGGTGCTTAATAAACTTAATCATCGTTGAAGAATATCCTCGGGTTGAATCCGTGATCTGTAGCCTTCAATATCCGAAGAAAATGGCCTTTCGTCGCCCAAAAAATTACGAAAAATGTCATCCGAAAATAAATTCACCCAAATCGGTGCTTAGTAGACTTATCATCCGTGGAGAATAGGATCAATAGACTTCATTATCGGTGGAGAATAGCCTCGGCCTAATTACGTGATTTGTAGCCTCCAGAATCGAAAGAAAATGGCAGTTCGAAAAAATTATCCAAAATTTGTGATGGTACCCCTTAATAATCTGCCAAAAATTGACGCGGAATAAATCCACCTAAATTGGTGCTTAATGGACTCAATCATCGCTGAAGAATAACCACAGGATAATCTGTGATCTGTAGCCTTCAATATCCAAAGAAAATGGCCTTTCGTCGCCCAAAAAATTACAAAAATGCCATCCGAAAATAAATTGGCCCAAATCGGTGCTTAGTGGACTTATCATCCGTGGAGAATAGGATCAATAGACGTCATTATCGGTGGAGAATAGCCTCGGCCTGATTCCATGATCTGTAGCCTCCAGAATCGAAAGAAAATGAAATTTCGGAAAAATCGCCTGAAATCTGTGATGGTACCCCTTTGGAATCTGTCAGAAATTGACCCGGAATAAATCCACCTAAATCGGTGCTTAATAGACAAAATCATCGTTGAAGAATAGCCTCTTGCCCAATCCGTGATCTGTAGCCTTAAATATCCAAAGAAAATGGCCTTTCGTCGCCCAAAAAATTATGAAAATGCCATCCGAAAATAAATTGGCTCTAATTGGAGCTTAATGGACTTATCATTCATAGATAATAGGATCAATAGACATCATTATCGATGGAGAATAGCCTCGGCCTGATTCCGTGATCAGTAGCAGACAGAATCGAAAGAAAATGGCATTTCGAAAAAATTGCCCTAAATTTGTGATGGTAGCCCTTTGGAAACAGCAAAAAAATGACTCGGAATAAATCCGGCCAAATCGGTGTTTAATGGACTCAATCATGGTTTAAGAATATCCTCAAGCTGAATCCGTGATCTGTAGCCGTCGACATCCAAAGAAAATGGCCTTTTGTCGCCCAAAAAATTACGAAAATGCCATCCGAAAATAAATTGGTTCAAATCGGTGCTTAATGGACTTATCATCAGTGGATAATAGGATCAATAGACTTGATTATCGGTGGAGAATAGACTCGGCTTGATTCTGTGATCTGTAGCCTTAGAATCGAAAGAAAATGACATTTCGAAAAATCGTCCAAAATCTGTGATGGTACACCTTTGGAATCTGCCAAAAATTGACCCAGAATAAACCCACCCAAATTGGTGCTTAATGGACTCAATCATCTTTGAAGAATAGCCTCAGGCAGAATCCATTATCTGTAGCCTTCAATATCCAAAGAAAATGGCCTTTCCTCGCACAAAAAATTACGAAAATGCCATCCGAAAATAATTGGCTTAAATCGGTGCTTGATGTACTTATCATCCGTGGAGAATAGAATCAATAGACTTATTATTGATGGAGAATAGCCACGACCTGATTTCGTTATCTTTAGTCTCCAAAATCAAAAGAAAATGGCAGTTCGGAAAAATCGCCTCAAATCTGTGATGGTACCCCTTTAGAATCTGCCAAAAATTGACCCGGAATAAATCTGCCCAAATCGGTACGTAATGAAATCATTCATCGTTGAAGAATAGTCTTAGGCCAAATCTGTGATCTGTAGCCTTCAATATTCAAAGAAAACCCAAAAATTTACGAAAATGACATCCGGAAATAAATTGGTTCAAATCGGAGCTCAATGGACTTATCATCTGTTGATAATAGGATCAATAGACTTCATTATCGGTGGAGAATAGACTCGGCTTGATTCCGTGATTTGTAGCCTCAAGAATCGAAAGATAATGACATTTCGGAAAAATCGCCCGAAATCTGTGATTGTATCCCTTTGGAATCTACCAAAAATTGACGCGGAATAAATTGGCCCAAATCAGTGCTTAATGGACTCAATTATCATTGAAGAATAGGCTCAGGCCGAATCCATGATCTGTAGCCTTCAATATCCAAAGAAAATGACATTTCGTCGCCCAAAAAATTACGAAAATGCCATCTATAAATAAATTGGCCTAAATCGGTGCTTAATGGACTTTTCATCTGTGGAGAATAGGATCAATATACTTCATTATCGGTGGAGAATAGCCTCGGCCCGATTGCGTGACCTGTAGCCTCCAAAATCGAAAGAACATGGCACTTCGGAAAAATCGCCCAAAATCTGTGATGGTACCCCTTTGGAATCTGCCAAAAATTGTTCGGGAATAAATCCGCCCAAATCGGTGCTTAATGGATTCAATCATCGTTGAAGAATAGCCTCATGCCGAATACGTGATCTGTAGCCTTCAATATCCAAAGAAAATTGCATTTCGTAGCCCAAAAATTTACGAAAATGTCACCCGAAAATAAATTGGCCCAAATCGTTGTTTAATGGACTTATCATCCGTGGAGAATAGGATCAATAGACTTCATTATCGGTGGAGAATAGCCTCGGCCTGATTTCGTGATCTGTAGACTCCATAATCGAAAAAGATGGCATTTCAGAAAAATCGCCCAAATTTGTGATGGTACCCCTTTGGAATCTACCAAAAATTGTCCCATAATAAATCCGCTCAAATCAGTGCTTAATGGACTCAATCATCGTTGAAGATTAGCCTCAGGGCGAATCGGAGATCTATAGCCTTCAATATCCAGAGAAAATGGCCTTTCGTCGCCCAAAAAATTACGAAAATGCCATCCGAAAATAAATTGGCCCAAATCGGTGCTTAATGGACTTTTCATCCGTGGATAATAGGATCAATAAACTTCATTATCAGTGAGAATAGCCTCGGCCTATATTCCGTGATCTGTAGCCTCCAGAATCGTTTGAAGGCTACGTATCACGGATTCTGCCCGAGGCTATTCTCCACCGATGGTGATGTCTATGGATCCTACTCTCCACCGCAATTAAGTCCATTATACATTAATTTGGGGGAATTACTTTTAGGATGACGTTTTCCGTTTTCGTAATTTTTTGGCCTTTTTTTCGAAGGACCATTTTACTTCTATTTTGAAGGCTACAACCTACAGATCACAGATTGGGCCTGAGAATACTCTTCAAAGATGACTAAGTCCATTAAGCACTGATTTGGGCGGATTTATTCCGGGTCAATTTTTGTCAGATTCCACAGAGGTACCATCATTGATTTCAGGCGATTTTCCCAAAATGCCATTTTTCGATTTTGAAGTCTATGGATCCTATTCTCCACCGACGATTAAGTCCATTAAGCAACATTTTGGTGGTATTTCTTTTAGGTTGGCATTTTCGGAATTTTTTGGGCGATTTTTTTTCGAATGACCATTTTACATTGATTTTGAAGGCTACAGATCAAAGATTCGCCCTGAGACTATTCTTGAAGGATGACTAAGTAGTCCATTAAGCACCGATTTGGGTGGGTTTATTCCCGGTCAATTTTTTTCATATTCAAAAGAGGTATCATGACAGATTTATGGCGATTTATACGAAATGCCATTCTCTTTCAATTTTGAACACTACGGATCACGGATTCGGCCAGATGCTATTTTTCATCGATGGTGAAGTCTGTGGATCCTATTCTCTCCCGACGATTTAGTCCATTAAGCAACAATTTGCGGGAATTACTTTTTGGATGACATTTTCGCAAATTTTTGGGCGATTTTTTTCGAATGGACATGTTACTTGAATTTGGAAGGCTACAACTAACAAATTCGGCCTGAGAGTATTCTTCAAGGATGACTAAGTCCATTAAGCACAGATTTGGGCGGATTTATTCCGGGTCAATTTTTGTCAGATTCAAAAGGGGTACCATCACAGATGTAGGACGATTTTTCCGAAATGCCATTTTCTTTCGATTTTGAAGGTTACGGATCTCGGATTTGGCCTTAGGCTATTCTCCACTAATGGTGAAGTCTATGGATCCTCATCTCTACCGATGATTAAGTCCATTAAGCACAATTTGGGGGAATTCTTTTAGGATGACATTTTCGTAATTTTTTGGGCGATTATTCTTTCGAAGGGCCATTTTACTTGGATTTTGAAGGCTACAGATCACATATTCGACCTGAGACTATTCGTCAAGGATGATTAAGTCCATTAAGCACCAATTTGGGTGGATTTATTCCGGGTCAATTTTTTATCAGATTCCAAACCATCACAGATTTCAGGCAATTTTCCTGAAATGCCATTTATTTCGATTTTGAAGGCTACGGATCATGAATTTGGCTCGAGACTATTCTCCACCGACTATTAAGTCCATTAAGCAACAATTTGAAGGAATTACTTTTAGGATGATATTTTCGTATATTTTTTTGGCTGACTTTTTTCCAAGGACCATTTTTGTTGGATTCTTCCCAATAATAAGTTCAAACTCATATGGTTTTCCAATGTTCATTCCTTACTTGTATGGGCCTAGTTACAGCTCACTTAGCCCAAAAAGGTGAAAGGAAAGAGCACAATTTGTCATTAGAAGCTCTGGATATCTAGCTTATGTACACTAATCTCAAATGATGATGACTAACTACAAAGGAAAAGAACGAAACAGCCTCTTCTAATGACAGGCTAATCACACTTAACGAACACAGCTAATCCACAATTCAGTTGAACGGCATCCTCTGGTCCTCCTCGCCGCCGTGCGCCATGAATGGCGGCGCCCCAAAAATTCCCCCCACAAAATCCCCCTCAATTCACATACCCAATCGAACCAAAACCAGATTCAATTCCCCGCCGCCTTCATCGCCGACCCTAAAGCTCCACAACTGAATCGCGTCGTCTTCCTCAAACTTCACTTCCTCCACCACGCTGTTCCACCGCGACGTCAGAACGTAGTTCCCCATGCCGCCGACCGTGCCCCATTGTTTCAGATGCACGACCCATTCTTTCTCCCCCGGCTCCACAATCAGCCGCGCGTCCACCCCGCTCAGCCGGCACCCATGCGTGCCCCAGCGCTTCCCCATCGCCGCAGCCTCCTCCGCCGTCAGGAACTCTTCCTCCACCGCCCGGCGCGGGATCGACAGCCGCGATTGGCTGTGGTCCAGGTCGCTCCTCGACAGCCGCTTCTGTATGACCATCTTCACTTCCCTCCCTCTCACTTCGTCGATGTACCTCGCGAATCGCTCCGGCAGCGGCGGACAGAAACCCATCCCGCCCAAAGCCTCTTCTTGGGTCTTTCTTCCCTTCCTCCCCCGCTTCTTGTTCTTCTTCTTCTTGCCCATTTTACCCATTTCGATTTTCTTCTTGGGTTCGGCGGCAATCGAGCGGAAACAGCCAAACTTGCGGCGCCCGGTCGGTGGCAGAGGAGGCAAATGGGAGAGGCGGCGGCGGAGATGAAAGTTCCGTTGCTCTTCTTCTTGCCGTAGCTTCTTGAGTGCAAATTTGGCCACGGCGAGCAGGTAGTCGAAGCGATTCCATTTCCGTTGCGGGATCACGCTGGCAAAGTCGTCCGATTTCAGCAGCAGTGTGCTCTGTTTCCTCATTTCTCTCTGTTCTTGTTTCTTTCTCGGAAACCCCCTTTCAAAACCACCCCAACGGAATGAATAGAGGAAGAGAAGAAGGCATTTGCGAGGGAAGAAAAGAAACAGAAAACAAAAAATGTGGTAAGAATTAGGGATTTGGGTGGGTAAAATTTGGGGATTTTTGGGTTTCTTGGTTATCAAGTTACTGCCTGGCTATTATATGACGACGGGTACTGCAGGGTAAACAGAGAGGTGACTGCGAAAGCTGCAGGAATTACCCAAAATGACCATTTTGTGTTTCTGTAACAAGAAAATAAGTCCGTCCTTTTGCCCATTTTCGGCCCGTCCATTATGGGCCATTTCAGGCTTTCTCGAGCCGGGCCCAATTGTGAAAGTCGAGCCCATGGCCTTGTTTCCGGTACCAGGCAGCTGCGATTTTCTTTAAGCTCGTCCGTCGCCATTCTCACGACTGGTTCGAGCATTTTTTTGGATCAGCAGCTGAAGAACAGAGAAATCGAGTGAAGAGCGAGAAGCCGCCGGAGGAGAAGAGAAATGAACACCGACATCACAGCGTCGACGAAGCCGGAGTACCCGGTGGTAGATCGGAATCCGGCGTTTAGCAAGGTCGTTGGCAACTTTAACACTTTGGATTACCTCCGTTTCACCACCATCACCGGCATCTCCGTCACCGTGGGCTACCTCTCAGGTTCGATCCCTGTCTCTCTCTTTCCCCCTCCCATTTAAGGAACGGAAATGAATTCCTCGTCTTTGTGTTTGGATGCGGACGAATTTCTGATGGTAGCGCTTGTTGTTGTTTTTAATCGAATTAGGGATTAAGCCGGGTTTGAAGGGGCCGTCAATGGTGACTGGGGGATTGATTGGGTTGATGGGAGGGTTCATGTACGCCTACCAGAACTCGGCGGGGCGAATGATGGGGTTCTTTCCTAACGAGGGTGAGGTTGCTCGTTATCAGAAGATTGGTTTCAAGAACTGAAGAGGGTGGGGGAAATTTTACAAATGCAAATGAATTTGCTTTTCTGTTCCATCTTCTTTTTTTTAGTTTGTTTCATGGTGGAAATGGTTAGGATAATGATGCTTGTGAATCAATTAATAATCTTCAAATTCTGGGATTCCTGCAATGTGAAAAATTTCCTCACTTTACTCTGTTATTGCTTGGATTGCAAATGGCCATTTGTGCTTGTCTTGGCAGCTACTGAAATGGAATATGTCAGTATGGCTTCCTTCATTGGTTTCTTTGCATTTTGTTAGCTTTGGTCAGTTTGAACAAGAATTCTGAACTCTTCATTGATACCTGCAAGTGGCAGCTTGGAATGTGCTTGAGAGTGTGTCATTTCGTGCATTTCATACATTTTGTACAAGCATTCTCGTAAATGGTTGCGTAATTGCTCTTCATTTGGCTACAACTTCTGTATGTTGAATTAAGGTGCTGTGTTATTTTAGAGTTATTCATGGATCGTGATGCACCTCGGTTGCATTGTGCTTGTATAAGCATTGGTGATAGTCTTCGGCTGCTATAGTTGAAGAAAGGCAATGCAGAACGTTTCGGTGCATTTCTTGATAGTCATTGTCCTTCTGTTATTCTTAGTTGCTAGTGGAAACAGGATGGCAGTGGTTTCGGTTAGGGAATTAGTAGAAACTGGACAAGAGGCTTTCACAAATTCCAGCAGCTTTTGCTCTAACGACTTAGCTTATGAGGGCAGGTTTGAATTCTGATGTGATCATATTTAAGCTGTCCTGAAACCCCCTTTTGATGCTTTATGGTATCGAATTATCGATTGAGAACATCCCTTGTCTTGTGCTTCGGTAGGGTTTACCATTTTTCCTATCAAAGAGTTAAAAACTTCCTTGTGTGTTATGGTCAAATGGACTGCAATTCTCCATTTCTTTCGCTTTTGCTGTCTTCCTTCTGTTGTAGCAGACATGGAAGGTTGAGCTGATGAGTTCATTATCACAAGACCTTCCATCCTTTCCATCTCTTTCTCTCCCCGTTGTTAATGCTACCTAGATTGTGTTTTTTTCAAGTTGGAGCTATGCCTGGCTCTCTAGTTTATGACCAACTTTTGGAGAGTTGGGAATGGCCCTTAGGCTTTTTAACCAATGGGAAAGCGATGCGTTCTCTAATATTTGAGTGTTTAGTCAGCTTTTCCTTGTGCTGAAATGGTGATATACTTGTTTTAAATTGTATCAATGGCTGGTCATCCCAATTACTTGGAGCGTAAGTGGCTACCTTTGTCTTTAAAGGCTTGATAAAAGCTTGAGATAATTTTAATATAAGCTAATAAACTCGGTGATCAATCAAATTTACGAATGTATCCATTACATATGTATACTTAGACGAATCTCAACCATGAGTTTTATTCTTGTTATAAGAATCGGATCAGATCGATTGAACAAACCTGTAGAACAATCAACCAATGAATTCATTGTCCAATCAAATATAACTAATACTCCAACCCTAACCCTAGCTAGCCACAATTCTATGCTCCATCACATGATCATCAACTACTACTACTCAAACCTCACCACCATTTTCCTTAGAGAGCCTAACCAGAGCAAGCCCTAACCTCCCTGGCTCATCCTCTCCCATCCTAAACCCCCACACTTGAACCACTTCCCCTGTCTTAAGTCCATTCTTCTTAACCACATGGTTCCAGTACCGGGCCAATACGTACATATAGCTCGTCGTCCCGTTCGGCTTGTTCATCTCCCAGAGTTTGAACACGATCTTGCCTTCCCCCAGCTCAGGGTCCAGAAGCAACAGCTCCATCGCGGGAACCGCCTCCCCGCGGTCACGAGTCCTCAGCCACTCCTCCTCTTTCCTCGTCAGTAGGCCTTGGCACATCTTCTTCGCCGGGATGGACAGCCGTCCCTCGCCGGTTTTCAGGTCGGACTCGTACAGCCGCTTCTGCACTATCAACTTAATGTCCCTCCCGTTCAAGTTCGTTTCGATGTGGTGGCGGAACCTCTCGGGGATCGTGGCTCGCTCGAGCCGTGGATCGTCGACAAAGTAGTCCCGGTCGATCTTCCTCCTCATACTCGACACGTTCTTCTTCTTTCCGTCTTCTCTAGTACGTTCGAACACGTTACGTTTTCGCTTTATCGACGGTGTCTGATGTTGATCATGATCCTGCCCTAGGGTTGTTGTTTGAGGTACGATGGGTTTTTTGAGTTGGCTCTCTTTGGCGAGCCTTTGGTGTTTTTCTTGGCGGTGGAGCTTCTCCAAGGCGATGGGAGTGATGGCGAGGAGCCACTCGAAAGGAGTTAACTTCTTCTTTATGTTCGAGAAGTCGAGCTTCTCGTCCACGTCGTCCATGGTGAGCAACATGATGATCGATGGAAAGGTTACTACGATGGTTCTTTCTTCTTGTGTTGTTGGTTCGATGAGTTAATGTTGATTGAAGTGGAGTGGGAGGGTGTAGAGCTATTTTTTTAAAATTATTTATAGAGTTTGATTGTATTGTTTTTCTAAAATGAAAAGGGAAAGGCACGTGTTAAAAATGCATTGTGAAATCCATTTCGTATTTGGAATTTGGTATGCAGCAATGAATTAGGAAAGCCCTGCATCCAAAGTCCATATCCAATGAGAAATCCCACAATAGAATACGTGGATAATTAACATATTTTTGGTATATTAACAGGATGGAATATGAGGCTAATTTTCACAATTTTATTTCGTAATTTATGCGTATTTTTATAGTGGGCTGAGTTTTATTGAGTGACAAACCATTATTACTATACTATAAAGTATTGGTGTTTTAATGTACAATTTGAAGTTGTACGCGAAGTGAATTTGTACATTTATGTTATGATACGACTTCAATTGTACTATAATATAAAGGTACAACTTTAGTTTGTACCATAAAGAGATTCATACAAAGAAATTTAGGTACAACCTAAAATTGTACCGTAACGTTAAATGTACAACTTCAAATTGTACCATAAATATAAAAAATAATAATACGCCAATACTTTGAAAGCCATGTAAAATTCCTCAAGAATATTCGAATTTAGATTTAAAAAAATGATGTAGGAATCAAAGACAAATGATTATGTCCACTTTTTACTTTGGACAAAGACCCACAAAATTAGCAGCTCTCTGTATAAAATCCAACTCAACACATATGCCTACCTTGGGATTGAAGTAAAGCAAACATATGGCAACAGGACAGGAATCTTTGCTAAAACTTTTGTATGAACACATATATATAAACCATGCCTCTACATAGTTTCCAATCCTTTCCTCCAAATATATATCACTACATTCCCATCTTAATAAGAACCACCACCATGTCTCTGTCTCTGGCAACTTCATTCAGAACCCCTTCTCTAATAGCATCTCTGCTTTTGCTTCTCCTCCTGGCTTCTCATTTCCCACAGAGATCAGGTAATAACTACACAACAACTACCAATATCATACATTTGTCAGTCGAACCACGTAAATCTCTGTGTCTTCTTGTATTTGCTGATAACGCCTTACAACAGTCGAAATTGATCATCTATGGATTTGATCTAATGATTGTGTTTGAATGTGGAGTACTGCAGAGGGGAAGGAGGACGATGAATGGGAAAACTTCAAAGAATGGTGCATAGCAGATGAGCAAACCCCAGCTGACGAGCTGCAGAGGGCAATGGAGTGGGCGTGTGGGAAAGGAGGAGGAGATTGCTCCAAGATACAAAAGGGCCAGCCTTGTTACTTCCCTGACTCCATCAAGGACCGTGCCTCTTTTGCTTTCAACAGCTACTACCAGATGTTCAAGCGAAAGGGTGCTACCTGTTACTTCAATTCTGCTGCCATGGTTACTGATCTTGATCCAAGTAAGTCCAAATCCACATTCTAAGATTGAGTTTTCAATGGTATCTATTGAGATGTTTTGATACATTTCGAATGCCTTCTGATCCTCCAATATTGTATGATCATTCATGGCAGGTCAAGGTTCATGCAAGTTTGAGTATCTGCCTTGACTGCTTCCTTAAGGCCATATTTTGCTAATAGAGTTTTCATCAAATTTGTGGAGGTACTAAATCGAAATGGGTTCTCTGAAATGTGCCTAAATATGTTTGATTCCTTATAGTTCCTTGTAGTCTTTCATTATATGATAATGATGAGCCTCATCTAAAAAAGAGAGCTTGATATTAAGCAATTCCTTGATCCATGAGAGTATAAAAATACCATAATAACTTCTCATGCAAAAAAAAAGGTCTAAAAAGTACCATACTTTATTCAAAGCCACATGAACTAACACAGAACATGCATCAAATGACAATACTCATGAGACAATCAAACCTCTAATTAAAAACATCCTCAAACGCAAGTTATGGTTTCTTCAACACAACTCGAGCCTTCAAAGCGACACTGAATCTCTTGATAAGACACGTTTGGCAGCTCGTTTTCTGGGTACCGAATCTTCAAAGTCTTCAATCTTGTAAAATCAGAAACCGTCGATTTCACTGCAGTAAGAGGAAACTTGGATCGCTTGCAGTGCTCTAAATCTACCGACGACTGCCAAAACGAAAAACACAAAACAATTACAATCGTGCAAAGTGCAAACATGTTACATGTACCAAGATATATTTATGACTACGTACAACTTCGCGGATGAGTATTTACGTATACGTACCTTTTTGTCGAGGTCAAAACACAGGTCGAGAGACTCCGCATTGCGCAGTCCAGCCATCATATCTCGAAAAGCACGACCCAGCACTCGCAACTGCTCATCAACCGGCTCCGACAAAACAAGCTCAACCCTAGCACGCTCGAGAGAAGGAAACCTAACCTCCCCACCAAGCAACAACACCGACGGCAAGTCGCTCACCCGACCCGAGAACCTGAACGACTCCAGCCTCGGAGCCGACACCTTCCCCAGCTGGAGCGGCCTCTCCCTCTCGAAGCCCATGTCGTGGCCCAAAACCACCGCCGGGCCCACCGTCACAATCTCCAACGTCAACAGCTCGGGCCCAGTCACCCTCACCGGCCCGCTGGATATGCAGTTCACCATCTTCGCGTGCTTCAGTAGAGGAAGCGTGGCGAAAGGATCGACGTCGAGCACCGTTTGGCCGTCGTAAGGAGAGTAAAGACGGCAGTCATGAAGCTCCAACGTCGTCAGCTTGTTGAAACCCTCGTAGGAGTCCGTACCTTCGACGAACCCGCAGTACGCTCTCTCCAGCCTGAGAGTCTCGAGGGGATCATACTGCCGGCGGTGATGGCGGATGTAAGGCGCGATCACGCCCAAGTCGTAGCCGTCAACGCCGAGGTTGACCGACAAGGACTTCAGCTCAGAAGCGTGTTCGAGGACGAAGTACAGATCACCGAGGTCCACCCTTGCAAAAGATCAGAGTAGAGAGTAATCAATCAAATAATCGTATTATTGTCATATCATGCATGTTGTTACGACACAAAATATTTTTGCGCGTGTAGGTTGGTTCACTAACACGGTGTATGTTAACAGGGGTTTATTATTAAAAAAAAATACCTTTCCGGACGGTGGTCGATGTGAACGGTGGTGATGGGTTGACGGCGGCGGGACAGCATGGAGGTAAGGAGGGTGTAGAATTGCGACTTGGAATGGTCGTCGGCCGGAAGGGAGGAGGAGAAGCTGCGGGAGAGAGTGAGGTGGACAGGGACGATCACTTCCATGATTCTCTTTGTTTTTTTTTTAAGTTAAGAAGAGAAAGATGAAAACATTTCACTTTCTTATAGAAGTTACTAATGACTAACGAGGGATTGAAATCCCATGGATCTCGAGTAAGTTTCCTTTCGTGTGGCCATTACATCTTCCAAAAGAAGAAAGTATGTATTCGATGATGATACTAAAGTCTCTCATCAAATCTCTCCTTTCCTTACATTGCACCCTAATTATGCGAGGGTTAATTGCACGTACGGTTAAGCTTCTTTCTTTTGCTATTGATATAGTTCCATAAATGGTAAAAAAGTAAATAACATATGATTATTAATACCGATGTACGTGTGCTGGTTAATTTACGGATTGGAGAGACCAATTTTGTTATACTTGAAGATATACAGATTATAGCGATTGAGAAAATGTATATGGTGAGAACTCACAATTTTCGGTACAACAAAAAAATCTATTTTCAAACCATAGCAACAGGTGACATTATTTTAGGATGACATATACATTTGTGCCATAACCATAACAACGTGTTGTGCAATTTCCGATTCCATTCATTCATTGCATGGGCCAATACATAAAAACATGCATGTGCTCACCCTTCAATTTATTGCCGTTTCCCCATATCATCGCAGCAATCAAGTTTCAATGAGAGATTGGTTTCGTCACCACCACACTCTTCCAGAAGAAGGGAAGAGAGAACACGATATATCGCCGTGTAATAATTCGCAAAGGAAAAAGAGGACAAGAACCAAACCAAAAAGTATGTTTGGTTCATTTGGTTCGATTCAATCCGGTTTTTTTACCAAAATTGAATCGAAATATATATGATCGGATTCGATCCAAATATTGATTTAGACTGTACCGAATCGTTGCACGCACCTAGTGTTATGTATTTGTTTGATTGCCAGAAGATAGAATGCCAGGCTAGAGTTTCATCACTTTCATATTAATTAATGTAAGGCAATCGCTAGCACATTTATTTGATTTGCTATTTATTGCCCTTATGATGAAATTTTTGGCAGAAGTTATGGGCACTTGTCATGGAAAGTGACGAACCCCTTAGATCAGAATCTCTAGATTTCCACATTCCATTTATTAGCTTTGCCTCAATTTTTTCCTACCATGAGTTAAATCGTTTGAAAGTTCATTAGGAAAGCAATGAATTTTGTTAGTTACCATTTTGGTATGGTTTGATTCTGTCGCGATTTTATGTGATACTTTCTGAATTAATATCTTTACACGATTCATTTTCAATAAAAAAAAAATCTCTCAAATACGAAGAACGATCATCGGGATGATGCTGATAATTTGTGTTATAATGCATGCACATAATTGACGTAATTTATATTTTATATGATGAAAAAAAAATTGTATGACAGTAAACCGAACTGTCAAACAAAAATGTCATTAAATTAACGATAAGCATGCTCTCGTAAACTTGATTAAGGGCATGAATCCTTTATTTGTTGAATTGGGAATTTTGGGTGGCTCACGTTGGTGGAGTGGAATGAAGTAGTTGGCTGCCTCGCCCAGGAATGACACGTAGCCTGACCCATGGCCCACCACCACCATCACAATCTGAGGCCCAAATCACTTGCCCGGGCCCAGTGCCCCGCTGGCCCACGAAGATAAACTATTGGTTTCACATTACCGATCCCATCAGTAAATGAAATCCGTTCTTCTTTAACCCCGTTCCCACATTTGTCTCGAGAAATGGAAAACAGAGAGAGAGTAACTTGCATTGGAAAAACTGGAGAGACAGCACAGAGGAAGAGAGTTAAAAATGGTGATGGGGCCTCATCTAATCAGGAAAAACCATTACCCATTTCCCCCCTCTCTTTCTCTTTTGTCTTGGGGCGAAGAAAAAAAAAATTCCTACGGGACGGGTTAGAAGGAAGGAATGGGTATGCTCTGTTTCTCATTTCCTAGAGAACAGAGTCTGTCCATTAAAGGCAGAGGAAGGCAAATTTTTCATCTCGATAATGTGTTTCCACTTCTCTCTTTATTGCGATCCATCCTTCAATGCAAATTACTAGATCGCCGACCAACATGGAGTGTGTTGGTAAAAGTTATGTACTCGTTAGGCTAGGAGTAGAAAGAAAAATCCAACTTTGGTTTGAATGTACAGTACAGAACGTGGTGTGGAGTATGATAAATTCTAGAATTTGGGTGTATACAATATATTATTGTTATTTGTAAATGTCGATAAACGATTTGCTATTTTTGCAAATGCATGATTACGCGTAATTGATGTGTGGTTTATCAAACATTTATGCGCATTCACCGACTCATTGTTCATTCTTTACTAATGATAATGGTGTATTGTGTGCCCTTAAAATATACACAATGTTATTGGCATGAAATGATGCTTTAACCATGGGAAGCTCCAACTATTATGTGCAGTAAACTCACATACGATATGACTTCTCGTACTTGTATTGATATAATGACGTTTGTTATCAACTCTAATTCATAGTTACATCTTTTTTTAAACACAAATTGTATTGAACTTCTCTTAACTTAGGCCAGTAAAACGACATAGTGGGTTATGAATAATGATGATCCAATAGTAAACATATTACATAATCTGAAGATTAGGTCCCAATTCCCATCTCAGTTTTAATGGCCTAATGGCCCTTTCCATCATTTTGCGTTTGCCCCACCCTTTACTGTACGGCTCGGCTAGTTGCAGTTTTTGACCAAATGGCACCCTCACAGGCTTCCCCACAGAACTGTCAGCCATCATTTACCTCTTCAATTTGAGAAAAAATAGATTTTTTTCTTCTTCAGAAAATGGGGAGAAAAAAAAAAAACTCCCACCTCAGAATGGTTAATGCGCTTGTGGGTTCTCTATATAAAGCCTCCAACTTTGGCTTTGTTCTTATTCAGTGATGTGAACGAGAAAAACTCATTACTTCACTCTTTTAGTAAAGGAAAGAGAAACCCATCTTCCTAATTTTTCTTCTTCTGAGGTTATCTTCTGTGCTTTACCTGTCCATCTTCTTCTTTCTGTTAGCTTGGCATTTTGGGAGGTAAAGATGAGTTATTTGGGAGTTGGAGTTAGTCCCGGAAATGTCCCAGTCTACCATGGCAAAAGCTTGAAGGTGATTGACAGAAGAGTGAGGCTAGCTGAGCTGGTTCTCAGAATCTTGACTTGTGGGCTTGCTGTTCTCTGTGCTGTTCTTGTAGCTACTGATAGCCAGACCAAGGAGTTCTTCTCCATTCAGAAGAAAGCTAGCTACACTGACTTGAAAGCCCTTGTGTAAAGTTCTTTTTGGCCTAATTTCCCTCTAAGTAGTTGTTGGATTTCAATTGTGGGGTTTATTTGTAAGATGAAAAGTTTCTTACTTTGTCTCTTTTGGCTTGGTGGGCAGGTTTCTGGTGGTGGCAAATGCAATAGCAGCAGCCTACTCTTTTGTCCAAGTGGTGAGGTGTGTTGTGAGTATGGTTAGTGGGAATGTGCTGTACAACAAGCCCTTGGCTTGGCTCATCTTCTCTGGAGATCAGGTGATTGAGAAACTAAAGCTAGTTCTTTATAAGCCATGTTTGGTAGCATGATTCTCCAACTCTCAGATTGTAGTGGATGTTTTCAAAGTTGGATTTCAGGCATTTTGAAGAATTCCTAGATGTTTTTGTTGTTCTAAGAGAACTGTCGAGGGAGGTTGAAAATGTAGGTGAATCTATAATGGTTAGGTTTATGGATCCCAGCTAATGCAATTAAATAATTAATGCTCTTTCTGAAGAAGCTCCCATCCCATCTAGTCTCTGAACTATGGAAACTGCAACCAATCAATGTGGGGTCTACTACTATGTTAGAGCCAAATTGTTAGCTGTGTTTACTAGTTAAGTAGTTATAATGAACACAGTAAAAACCAGTTTTTCACACTAGAAAACTGTGTGCCATGATTGAAAATGACCTATCAGTAATCTTTAATTTATGAATCTTCCCCAACTCTTTTTTTTTTTTTTTTGTGAACAGATTGTGTGTATGCCAGATGGGTACATTAATTGCTGATAGTTACTGCTCTCTTTCCTTCCTGGCCCTGTTAGTGTTAGCAAGTGTCAAACAGTACAAAAGTGTTATAAAAAAGAAAAGAGAGTTTGGTGGTTAACTTCCTCTTGCTCAAACTTAAGATTTTATCAGAAAGAGAGATGAGTAAGGCTACTCTTATACGATTCTAGTAAAACTAGAGGATGGTTTACATTATTGCTATAAGGCTCCTACTTGTGAAACAAGGCATGTGGGTAGGCTGGGGAGAGGAGTAGATGGGTGAAGTATTTAATGTTTACCAACTCATAACCAAAAGCCATTGAATGATATGTGTATAATAAAACTCTGCAACTAGAGCTGCTGGGTGGTAAGTGAGCTTCCCTTGCAAAAGCACCATTTTGTGATGACATTTGTTTTTCTTTCTATTACGTGTCAGTGAATCCTTCCTGGAAATGGCATGTCGGTTTGTGGTGGAACCCTCTACATTTACCATGCTTTAAATCCTTTGCATGCATCTGTGTCGTGTGATTGTCTGTAGAGCATAAAATGGGCAGCTTTTTGGAGTAGATCACGGTTCATTGCAGACTGGCACTTTACTTCCATTCCATTCTAGTCTGTGACTGAGTATCTAACTACCATGTAGGCATCTTTGGTGAAGTGTCATGCCTATTTGACAAGATGAATCATTCGATATCGCCACATACTACTCGGAGCGATTTTCCTTAGCACAAATCTCTTTGTTTTTTGTTAAGATCTTTAGTCAAGTAACGAATTTGTTGTGAAAATCATAGTTTAGTGACCATTTAACTATTTAAGCTCCATTGATCTAGAGCACAATCAACTACTAATTTTGCTGTTTCCTTTCATTTGCAGGCCATGGCTTACATGACTGTGGCAGCAGTGGCAGCTGCAATCCAGTCGTCTGTGTTCGCAAAGACAGGACAGCCTCAACTTCAGTGGATGAAGACTTGCGATATGTACGCCAAGTTCTGCAACCAAGTCGGAGAAGGATTGGGGAGCGCGGTCATAGCCTGCATCGGCATGGTGGGGGTTTCCTGCATTTCAGCCTTTGGCCTCTTCAGGCTGTACAACAACAAGGGCAAGAGCGACGCGAGGTGGTAGGAAGGATGTATCCAGCTCGTATTTTTCGCCTGCTCGGATCCAGCCTCAAAGACCTGCTCTTCTTGTATGCGTGTGTGTGTCTGGTCTTCAATGATTCTGAATGATAAATGTAGGTTTATGTTTGTTGTTCTTGCTGTAATATAGAAGGTGAAAGTTTTAAGGACAGAGAGTGGGAGAGGGGTAACTTTGTGCAACTCTTGTCTTGATGGTTTAGTGGAAATAATATCAGTAGTATATCTGTGTGTTCTTTGTGATTTCCAGTCTCAATTTCATTACCAACATGAGGACTGTGGTCACAGTAACTTACCTTTTCTTACTGTCAATGATCACACAAAGCGATAAATGATCATAGACACAGTAACTATTGTTCTTCAACAACCTTCAATGACAATGTTTGGGCTCGGGCCTGTCTACAATCTATGGGCTTTGAGCCCCAAATGCCACAACCCACCTTTGTTCCTCCCGCCCCAACCGTCGTCAGCAAACGGTGGCCTCGCCGGCCGGCAAAACCGTGGTGGACACGTGCCCTCCACCAACCCCAACGGCTGAGATCAGTCCGCTTTCCTCACGCATCTCAAGACGGGCAAAAAATCAGAAGCCCAGCCCAAAAGCATACCGACTCTGCCGCGAACTGGTTTTCCTTCCGCCATCCCGCCGCCGCCTCTTCCTTTTTCCGCCTCCTTTCCTTTGTCTCCACACTTCTCGCGGCGGAAAGCAAAATCCAATCCACACAACCAGCTTCAAGTCTCCAGTGAATTCCCAGCACCCAAAAACCCCTAATTTCTCCTTAGCGTGGCTTCGTGATTTTTTTCCCGGCGTGCTTTCGCGCCAATTTTTAGGGAAGGAAGGGAAGTAGAAGAGATGTCGGAGAAGTTCTCGCCGACGCTAAGGATCGGGGATCTCAATGATTTCATAGCTCCGTCTCAAGCTTGTGTGGTCTCTTTGAAAGGGATCAAGGCTAATATTAATGTTACCAAGAAGCCTGCTAGGCCCGAGGTAACTTCTAGTTCTTTCGTTTTCCCAAAACTGACTTTTGGGCTTGCGGCTGAATAACTGTTGTGGCGAAGTGTTGGTATAAAGCTTTCTGATGTGTTTTGGGGTTTGCTTTGGTTAAATTTGGTGAAGGTGGCGGTTGGGATCAATCGGGAGACGGAGCCGGTGAAGATTTCTCTGAAGGACTGTTTGGCATGCAGGTGAATTGTCCTTTCTGTTTCCATCTTAGCTTGCCCCACTCGGAAATTCATGTCTTTGTTTCTGTTTTGGCAATTGCTGGCTACCCAGTTGCCAAAGTCGGTTTCTTTGTACTTAAATTCGGCTTAGTGTTTGGTTGCCATGATTTGTCTAAGCTTGAATGAGCTTCTGCAACTTATGGTTTGTTACGTTGTTGTTGTGTGCAGTGGATGCATTACTTCAGCGGAGACAGTAATGCTGGAGAAGCAGAGTTTGGATGAATTCCTATCTAATATCGATAACGGCAAAGCTATCATTGTTTCCCTCTCACCACAGTCCAGAGCTTCTCTTGCTGCTCATTTCAGCCTCTCTCCACCTCAGGTTTTTAGTTGTTCTTATTCATGTTCCAAGGGTAGACAATGCAAGTGTTTCTGTCAGCATGTCTGATGTAGTTATCTTATTTTGCTTTCCGTGTATATCATTAGGTGTTCAGGAAACTCACGACATTTTTTAAGTCCTTGGGAGTAAAGGCTGTATTTGATACAAGTTGCAGCAGAGACTTGGCACTAATTGAGGCTTGCAATGAGTTTGTCAGTCGATATAAAGAAAGCCTCTCGAATCAAGCTGAAAAATCCAAAGTATTATTGCCTATGCTTTCATCTGCATGTCCAGGTTAATCTTCTTAGCCTATCCATTTTGCTTTCCTGTTTGTTTGCTTATGTTCCTATCATTCATGATGCCAAAAGTGAAAAAGATGTAGGCTTAGATTCTGTTATTGGTATGGGTTATACACAAGGCAGGAGGCCTTGCTTAGAGATACTCAAGAATGGAAACACAATATCTGAAATGTCTCCCTCCTGTTACAGGTTGGATTTGCTATGCCGAGAAGCAACTAGGATCTTATATTCTCCCTTATGTATCTTCTGTCAAGAGTCCCCAACAAACGATGGGGACGATCATTAAGCGTCATGCATGCTATAGGATGGGTCTTAGGTGATTATTCTATCTCTCTTCCCCCTTTTATGTAGTTTGAGGTAAAGGTTGTATTGATCTGATTGGTGTAAACTTGTTTATAGACCGGATGATGTTTACCATGTCACCATAATGCCCTGTTATGATAAGAAGCTCGAGGCATCAAGGGATGACTTCACTTTCGAACTTGAATCACCGGAACAAACCAATGACAACGGAGCAACTGTTACAGAGGTAGACTCGGTTTTGACATCTGGTGAAATTCTGGATCTGATAAAGGTGAGAGGTTTCAGAATGCAGTGGTTTTTATGATCTTCTTTCCTTTTGTTCTTTTGACGCTGTGAGTTCTGTAGTTCTCATCTTTTGTTCATTTATTTGCAGTTGAAAGCAGTGGATTTCAAAGCCCTAGAAGAATCTCCTCTTGATAGAATGTAAGAGAGACCACAATGATTTCTGAAAACTAAATTCCTTTTTCTTAATTGCTTTGGCCATGTAACTACCAAAAGCCGCCAAGTGAAGCTTATAATTTTCATCATATTCTGCAGGTTGACAAATGTTGACGAACAAGGGCATCTCTATGGGGTAGCTGGCAGTTCTGGGGGTTATGCAGAGATAATTTTCCGTAATGCTGCAAAAACCTTGTTTGGAAGAGAAATCGAAGGCCCGCTGAACTTCAGAACTATAAGAAACACAGATTTTCGCGAAGTGTCTCTGGAAGTAAGTTGCTTCTCTGTTTTTACTTCTCATAGTCATAGAATCTTATATGCGGCTAGATTCTAGTCCTCATCGTCCTCCAGTTTGCTTTGCATGGATTTGAGTTTATCCGCAGTATAGCAAATTCATTTTGCTTGCTCCCTATAGAAGCTTATGAATTTGGTGGCCATTGAGGTGTAATGCTGTTGCTTCGTGATTGTTAATGTACTGTTTTGATCTATATCAGGTGGATGGGAAAACTGTCTTGAAGTTTGCCTTATGTTATGGTTTCCAGAACCTGCAAAACGTTGTGAGAAAAGTCAAGATGGGAAAATGTGATTACCATTTCGTGGAGGTTATGGCATGCCCTGCAGGTCTGTCCTCTTATTTGATTCAGTCTATGCCCCATTTATCCCGGAATTTGGAAATTGAAAATTTGAAATCTAGTAAGTGTTTGTTGATTGCTTAATGCTTAATCAGGTTGCTTAAATGGTGGTGGTCAAATCAAGCCAATCCAGGGGCAGTCTCCGAAAGTGTTGCTTCAATCGATTGAAGCCGTTTACATGGACAATGTGAGTAGTTAAAGATCATGAGTAGGATTTCCTAGTGGGATTGAAATAACCTTGCATGCTATGCCATCAGTAGGGTCGTTGAACTGTGAACTAATCATATCATTTCACAATAGGTTGTGAATGCAGATCCATACAACAATCCTCTTGTTCGAGGTTTATATGATGAATGGCTTGGACAGCCTGGTTCCGAGAAAGCTAAGCTATACATGCACACAGAATATCATCCCATCGTCAAGAGCATAACTGCACAGTTACACAACTGGTAAAGCACTTGCTCACTTCCCGAAATCAGATCCCTTCGATGAACAACGAAAAATAGTCATCTGCACCTCCTGCTCGGGATCTCTTCCTTCCGTGCTATATATTTATAGGCACTGGAATCTTTGGCATGAGAGAGCCATGGCTGGTTTTGCCATGGACAATTTATTCTAAGGATGAGAAGCCATTTAAAGGCCAATTTTGATGAGGTAAACTTACACTTGTTCACTGGGCCGTCGTGCACTGCTTGTGTACATTATCTATGGTAGAAGAAGATGATTAAGAGGAAGAACACAGAATGTGAAGTCTTTAGGAAGAAGGCATTTTATACTTTGTAATCTGCTCCCCTAACACTTTTTGCCCTCTGTCGGTGTTCCCTTTGAGATTGGTGTACATGCCTTTTTGTTTAGGTAACTCTGTTCCTGTTTCTGGGTGTTGGATATCATCCAACAGGCAGTTTTGTCAAGTTATACTCCAAAGAGAGCAATAGTATTGTCCTGATGTGTATCTAAATTATAACCAAGTATGTGAAGGAATACCACAAGTTTTTGAGTCCTTACAGGATGTATAATGTATTGTAAGATCTGCTCTGAGGGTTTCTGTTTATCTCTTCTGTAATTGTAGCTTACCCATGGTAAAATGGAAGAAAAAGGTAACATTTTCAGTATCTTCTCTTAAGGTAAAAAAAAAGTACGGCGTAATAAATTGGAACTCATCTACCAAAAATGGATTAGCAAAAGGGAATTCCTTCAAAAACAGGAAATTTAATTTAATAAATTGATTTCTTACTACGTTTGTTGCTGTGATGGATTGCATGCACGTCCCTTTGTCAGAAAAAAAAATTGACATTTTCTGGGTTTCTTAGGAAACTGAAACTGATAAAGTTTTGAATATCCATTTATTGCAACAAAATCCCTCGACAAAAGCGGATAGAAAGTCGCAAACGTTTCATTCAGAACAATAGCCCATCAGAAACCCACTTCTGCCTCTCATCAGCTCCTTCCCAGTCCCAGAGAAGCACCAGAATCTGAGACGAAATGGTAAGAAGGAGAGGACTTTGTTGTTTGTTTTAATATTCTGGATTCTGGGCTTTGCATGGCTTCATTTTTAACGATTTGGATGTGGGATCTGTGCGTTGAATCATCAGACGACGTCAAGGAGGGTTTCGGAGAGGAAGAACGAAAGGTTCCAGAGGAACATAACGAAGAGGGGATCAGTCTCTGGGTCTTCATGGAAGAAAGGGTTTGACCTCCCTGTTGGCCCGATTGTGCTTGGATTCATCGTCTTTGTTGTTGTTGGATCATGTATGTGTTTCTCTCTCCCTCTCCCTCTGCAATGGTTTTCTTCTTAATTGTCAGTAGCTGACGATCCCCCTCTCTCGCTGCATGCTCTGTTTTGTGTTTCTTCTACATTGATTGGGATTGTTTGGGTTTTGCATGGCCAACGTTCCTCAAGGTACTGAACTGAACAGAATTGGCGTAGGACTGGCCATAAAAGTGAAAGGGAAAGAAAGGATAAAAATCAGAACAAAAATTCTATACATAGTCTTAAATTTCAGCATATGAACAGAAATTTGCTTTTGCACATTGATATGGTATGATCCGATTCATATGTTGATTCGATTTGGTTCATTTTAGTCTAATCCGAAATGTTGAGCTAGACTCCAGCTAGGGTCTTAGGTGGGCAACTCCTGCTAGGTGAACTAAATTACTTGTAGCCCCATATAACCATCAAGAGTCTTCAATGGTTTATGCTCTTTCACTCACTGAGTGGATTTCAGCTTCCTAATTTATGGTTCATCGGACGACATTCTGGCCCTGACTTCGCTTCATATCTTTGTTCATTTTCACAGCTCTATTTCAGATCATCAGGACAGCGACTTCAGGTTGAATGGCTTAAACGAGCTCTTCGAGTATAAGTAGATCAAAGCGTGGGTTGTCAGGGGGCAGATCATTTAGCCTGTTTGATGAGATGATGATACAGTGAAATGAAACAATCCAAACAAACTCAAAACCTCATTTGTGCTTAAGTTCAACCAGTTCCTTAACTCTGTTGCTGTTTCTTCCCCAGTGTTCTATGCTCTTTCTATGAATCCATTTCTCAATTCAGGGCCGTCTGCTGGCATCAGGACATGTTCCTGTACTGAAAAGCATAAATCTTTGCATGCACTTTGCTATCTTCACCTCACCCTCAGAACATAAGAAAGAGGCAATACTTGAAATTGCTTCATTTATGTGGACAAAGATGAAATCTTTTCAGAGTCCATGTACAACAACAGCAGCTAGTAGGTACTGGTTATGGACCTCCCAGTTCTAAGAAACCAAGGGTGTTGCAAAAAAAGAACAAAAAGCAAGATCGGTAACAGGCAAACAAAGATGATCAGAAAGCTCATTGGTGCAGTTGTCGCTTCCCATATTTGGATTTGCTTTCGTCTGATCTTCTAGCAGCTCTGGCAGCTGCTGCTGCTACATTGGGGCTCTTGTACCGGTCAGAGCTTCTAGACAGCTTCCTGAGACTGGAACTGAAAGTAGGCTCATCTGAGAACTGCATTGTGGTCTCTGGCAAGTGTTCTTCATACGAAGAAGAGCAATCATACCCCATCGCATCGAATTCCTGCATGAATGTAAGTACATTGATGAATCTCATTAAGCACTGCAATAAAGAGATTCCAGACATTTCAAAGATCATATGCTACCAACCTTGGAATTTGCCTTGGCAACATAAGGTGTCAAACAAGGATTTAGATCCTGAACAAACATATCATCATCGGGGCTGCCTGGAATCGTAGCACCGCAAGAACTGAAGTCCTGCAAGAGAATTGGAATGTGCTTTAAGGTTACAAAAAAGAACTTTCATTGGATCGTTAGTCTTTGATTTTAGCTAAAGTAACTTAAGAGTTGCCAATGTTCTTCCTCACTAGAGAATTTGCAGATGCTTCACAATCGAATGTTGGCGTCTTCGGAGAGTTGCTCCAACGAGCTCTCCCATATTTCTCAGCCTTCACCTGGTTGAATTGGACAAAGTATTAGCTATTCCTTTTCATCGCGACCAAGCTTCAACATCAGTGATGAACGATATGGATAGTGTTACCTCAGCTAGACCCTCGGCAAGGCACTGTAACTGGCCTGTGAGGGAAGTGACCTGCCTCTGGAGATTTGGGATGAGGGTTTTGGCTTGCTTCAACTCTGATCCTTGCTGTTCAAGGATATCTTGAAGCTCAGAATTCGACAGATCGGGAAATAGTACCGCGTTCTTCAATGACTTGATCTCTTCTCTCTGCTTCAAGCACAAGTCCTTCAACTTCTCCACCTGCAACAAAACTCGATTGAAAGATCGGAATCAGAAAAGAAAAGTAGAGTCTTTGCCAAGTTGAGAACTTCTTAAGGCTTGAACTTTAACCTCGCTTGCTTACCTCTCTGTTTCTGGTCTCAAGCATCGACTTGAGCTGACCAATCTCTTCCTCCATCTCCTTATTAGCACCCAAGAGCTCCCTCTCGCTCCTCAAAACCATCGCCAAAGTCCTCGTATTGCCAACATTGCCACTCCCTTTCACCTCAGTCAAAGCCTTCACTTCCTTCTTGATACCACCCTTCTCCTTCCCAAACAGCTTCCTCTGCAAACCCACTAGCCCGGCCCCTCTCTTTGCCGCCGGCGTCGTCCTCTTCAAGTCCTCCGCTATCAAATCCGCCGGAATCACCAACCCACCAATTGCATTCTTCTTCTTCGACGACGACGACGCTAAAGTGGTCTTCTTCTCCATGAACTTCTTGACCATTGCTGTAAAATTGTGGTGGGTGCCATTGGGCTTGGATTTGTTGGGATTGGATTTCAACTGGGAGAGGTCGGACGGCTTGGATTTGACCAGAGCTCTGGATGAGGAGGAAGGAGTGACGGAAGAAGGGTTGAATTCAGCTGAGGAAGTGAATGAAGAGGCGGAAGAGCGGGTGGAATCGTAGGAGTTGTAGCGAGACGCCATTCACGAACAGGGGATGGCAAAAGGTCAGAGCTTTGAGATTAGTGGATGGAATTAGGGAGGGAAGGGAAGCGACGGAGAAGGCTGAAGAGAGAGCGAGACAGGGCAAGAGGGAAAATTGGAAAAGTGACTGAATGGAAAGAAAAAGGAATGGGCTTTTCTTTGTTTGTTTATTTGTTTATGTAAAGTTTGAATTCTGTGTAAGCTCCTTTTGCCGCTGCCGATGGAAGTTCCGATTCAAAAAAATTTGGGCGAAACTGGGGTTTATGGAGGCGCGGAGGAAAAGCTGGATTTTGGTTGGTCGAATGAGTGTAGAGAGAGATGGTGGCTGACAGAGAAAGGTAGAGAGAGAAATGGCGGGCTCAATGCACTTTGAAAATTGGGCTTTTGCGAGAAGCCCAAATGATTCTTGAACCAATTTGGTAGCCCCTTATACACTATTTTTTGTCCTCGTTCGTCTTTGTTTTGTGATAGCGTTTTAATTATTTTCAATATTTGTATGTGAGTACATTTTTCTCTTACTTGAGTGATCAATTTCAAAAGAAAAAACTTAACCAATGGGTTAGTTCTTACTAGATTGGTGGTTGAACATCTTGAATTTTAATCATGAAATCAAAGGTTCGACCCGTCTCGTATTTGAATCATGAAATTATGAATTTAATTGTCAATCATGAACATATATATCTTATTTTGTGACTATATGTTTAGCATTTTGTACAATCACCAATAATATTAGTTAGTACCATCAACGATTAATAGTCTAATAATACCCCAAAACTCGTATTCTATGCTCATAAATTTGATATCATTTTCTTACAAGTTACAACCATAATGCTAAAAAAAATAATGAATCAATTTTTTAGGCTGCAACATTACCCAACATTATGCTCTAAATCATGAAGTATTGTTATTTTCACCCAACTTAAGTTTCCATCTTTAAGGAACTAATCTACTCAGTAGACTTTGGTGACTAATTAATCGATTAACACTCAACCTTGACCACCTCCATTTCAACACCCACACTATCCAAATCCTTTGCCTCATAAGGCTTGGCAACCAAATACAACTGATCCTTCCTAGCCACAGCAAGTCCAAAAACCTCACTCATATCCAAATCCTCAGCCCTCAGTCCATTTGGAAGCTCCCAATCGAACCAATACAATAAATGCGTCAAAAGCAGCTCGATGTTAGCGATTGCATACGATATTCCTGGACATATCCTCCTTCCAGCACCGAACGGGATCAACTCAAAGTGCATCCCTTTGAAATCGATCTCGCTTCCATCAAACCTCTCGGGAACGAAGCTCTCCGGATCCTCCCAGGTTTCGCAGTCCCTCCCTATGGCCCAAGCATTGACTATGACTCTTGTCTTGGCGGGGATTCTGTACCCAGAAACGACACAATCTTGGTTGCTTTCCCTTGGAATTAGGAGAGGGATTGATGGGTGAAGTCGGAAAGTTTCCTTGATCACTGATTTTAAGTAGGTCAAACCTTGTAGGTCTTTATCCGTTATTGTACTTTTACCCTTTAAAGCTTGTCGTATTTGGGATTGTGCCTTGCTTAGAACTCGTGGGTTTTTCATCATTTCTGACATCGCCCATTCCACCGCTACCGATGAAGTGTCGGTTCCGGCGACGAACAAGTCCTGCAAAATCAAGTCAAACAACATATGAAGTTACGTGATCTAACCCTTTTCTTGTCCTTCCATTAAAATTTTGCTTTACTTACCACAAGGACGGCTTTGATGCTTGTATTCGTAATGGGACACTGCAACCCTCCACCCTCCTCAAGCCTAATCAACACATCCACGAAATCCTCACCGTCCTCGGATTCCACATCATCAATCCCACCGCCGCCGTCGCAGCCTCGCCGTCTCTGCACAAACCTCTGTTTATGCTCTGCTATAACTCTGTCCAAGATCACATCTTTATGGTCTCTCATTCTCAGGATCTTCGATTTCAGCCCGCTCAGCCCGTGTAAGAACTCCAGCGAAGGGTAGAAATCGAGCACGTGGAATCCTCCGGCCACCTGCGCAGCCTCCCTCATCGACTGTATTATGTCGTCTTCTTCCCAATGCGTGCCAAACGCGGTCTTGCAGATTACGACGTTGAACAGACTGTAAATCTTTTCACTGATGTTAATTGGGGTTTTCCCGTTTTGAGATGAGGTGCGGATTGAGTCTACTAGATTCGAAACCTCTGTTTCGCGGATTGATGAGAAAACTTGTACCTTTCTCGCGCCTGTAATTAGGAACAGAGTAAAATGAAATCAGGAAGAGAAATTGAAAGCTTGTGAAAAGGGATGACTGTTTTTTGTTAGAAATTTAACTACCCAGAAGCTCGGTTAACGAAATCCGCTTCATCTGCCGCCAGTAATCGCCGAGCGGGCAGAAGGCGATGTCCTGGCTGCCCCAAGTGCCGATATCCACCGCCAGAATCCTTGGCCTGTCGGCGAAAACGTGGTCGTGGATCTTCATAACCTCCCTGGCGATCTCCGGCGAGGAAACGACGACGGAGGGAACTTCCCCGAGCTGGAGGTGGAACAGAGGGCCGTACTCGTCGGCGAGTTCCCGGAGGGCGTGGTGTGGCAGAGGTGACCGGCCAATGAACAGGTTGTGCAGGTTTCCGATCAGGGGGAGCTTTGCCGGTCCCGGCGGGAGATGGTGGTCGTGGCGTTGCTTTTTGCATGAGATTGCTATGGAGCTTCTTTTGATCGTTCTGTTACGGAGTGTAGGAATTGGAATTGGCAGAGGGAATGTGAATGTACCAATTGAAGCCATTGATGGGAGTTTGGTAGGAAGAAGAGTTGGAGATGGAGAGCTCCAATTTATGTGCAATGGATTGCATCGGCTATGAGTTTCATTCAAGAAAATATCACTAGATTGCAAATATTAACCAAATGATGACTATACTAAGAAATTTATAACAATATAGTCACTATACTTTATTTCGTATGATTGAATATATCGATAATTAATTTGGTAGATGAGTTTGTAACTTGCAATCAGATTTACAAATCCCAAATTAATCCAGGTTGAATATTTGTAGTTAGCGTCAATAACCAATTGATCCCAATAATTCGAGTTATTGGAAGATGTTTAATAGTGAATCTTACATCACACACTAACACGCCCTCCTCCCACCGAAGCCACTCTCATAGACTTGAAGTTTGCACGTGCATTAGACACTATGTGCTTACCAATGAGGGTTATTAAATTCGAACAGAAGACATATCAGTTACAGAAAACTTTGATACAATAATAACATGTCAAGAACCAGTTGATTCCAGTAACTCGAGTTTTATAAAAAGATTCAACAAATAATCTTATATCACAAACTAACAGTTGGATCGTAGATACAATTACATGCAAAAGGTAATGGAGGGGTGTGACTTTGGTGAAGCATGGAGTCTATTTGATATGTTGACTAATGGGACAAACTAGTAACATTTTGTGATGTGATTTTGGATGACTATTTGTTGCAACTATTTAGTTTTGTGAGCATTCTGTTAAGACTTTAAGTTGGATGGCCACTTTTTGTTTCAAATCTCTTAGTTTAGTGATTCATTCTAACATTTAACCAATATAGTAAATGGTTGGCAAAAGTAATGGTAAAGCTCATAATTTGTCATATTATTAGTTGTCTTTCCATGACAAGGTAATCAAATCGTATTGAGAATATCCCGTTCATCCGAAACAAAGACAAATTATCTCCACTATATTAGTATATACCATTAATGTAACTCTCATCAAATTTTATATGTAGATCAAATATGTTTCTTTGATTATATGAAAAAAATACATATAAATTTTTTTCATAATCAAGATAAGCCAAATTAGAGGATTGATAAGAATAATACAATTATAAGCGAACTATCAATGAATGATCTCGTAAGTCCCTTGTTGTTGCTTAATTCATAAAAAAGTAAGATGGTCCGGTATTTATGAATTGACATTTCTTATTTTGTTGTGTGCTATTCCAGTTACATGTTATTATGTGAAATGGGTACATTGCAAAATCAATCTCACGTTTTATAAAGTAAGTAATTTCTAAATATTCTCTATCCTCGACTGAGTCGTTTAGTTTCTTCGATTGTTAAATTGTTGATGTATTGTGAACAATACATGCATTATATTATACATGTATTGTTGAATCTAGTGTATTGTAGATTACAACGTTTGGTATTTGTAATTGTGTTTTCAATAGATAAAAGAGAAAGTAACTTTTTAACAAAAATGCCATTTGTATCTCTCATTGTCAATGCAAAAAGTAATTTTCAAAGGTTAAAGTTGAAAGAAATAGACAGAAAACAATCTCAAATAGCACAATCACAACAATCTCAGCTAAAAGCTAAGATTGTACAATCATTCATTATGAATGATTGTGTCTGTCACATCAAATAAACAATACATGCATTGTTTGTGTATAAAAATCAGAAAACAATGAATTGTAAATAATACAATCATTATAACAATCTCAACAAAACAATCACAAAACCAAACGACACGAAATTTCATTATTTGATGTAATTCTCAAACAACAAGATACATCTGATCAATTGCAAGCAATTTTCAAGCTCATCCTATGGATTGCACCCAACCAAACACTTCAAATAGAATATTCATCTTTGCCCATTGTAACTATCTACTTGGCAAGTCACTTTTTTTTTTTCATGCATACCAAAAGCCGATGGTTATAGCTGTGATTTCCTCAAAATTAACTGTGCTTCTTAAGGTTTATATGCAAATAGAAAAAGGCCATGCCCACAATTAAGTACAAAGCAACCATAATCAAGTTTTACTATACGGTAACTAAGTGGATTGCACGCAAAAAAAACTGTCTAATATGGTAAACATGAGATTGTTTCACGTAACATGATAGTTCCTTAAAAGTTAGAACATAGGATTAAACCGTGACATGGAATTACAAGAATACGATACGATATCTTGATGAGTACGTAATACTATAAGTTTCGAGTTTTATTTTGTTTAGGGTAAATATGGTTTTGCAATTAGATACAACTTGTTCTTTTTACTCACGGAGAGTCCAAAGAACTCGTCCATGTCCAGAGTATCAGTCGTTGTTCCTTCGGGTAGTTCCCAATCAAAATGATACAGTAGTTCCACGAGAGGGAGCTCAATATTGGCGAGAGCAAAACCAATCCCGGGACATATCCTTCTTCCGGCTCCAAACGGAATGAACACGAAATCCGTTCCTTTGAAGTCAATTTCACTACCGTCGAACCTCTCCGGAATGAAGCTTTGGGGGTCGTCCCAGATGGTAGGATCTCTGGCTATGGCCCAAGCATTGACGAGGACCCTCGTTTTGGCTGGGATCTCGTATCCGTTGATCACGCATCTCTCGTTGCTTTCCCTTGGAAGTAGGAGAGGGATTGGAGTGTGCAGTCGCAGAGTTTCCTTTATCACTTGTTTCAGGTAAGATAGACCTTCGATGGTGTCGGTTTTGGTTGCGGTGGCCTCTTGATGTTGAAAAGCTTCTCGTATCTCGATTTGGACTTTGTTAAGGATTCGTCGATTTTTCACCATTTCCGCCATTGCCCATTCTATTACCACCGATGAAGTGTCGGTTCCGGCTGTAAATACATCCTGTAAAAACACACATAAAACACACGAGTAGTTGACTATGAATAACAAGTTAACTAATTTGTACATTAATCCTTAGATTCCTAGAGAATTCCAATTAAATAATTAATTTATTAGGGCCTACAAATTATTTTATTTTTCTTTCTTCCCACAAAAGGAACAAATTGTTCGATTAAAAACATATATATGCTGTCTTGTTATTTTCAAGACCGAATTGGAATAATTAGAGACTTGTTTACACATTGGAGCCAACTAGATCAAAATGAAAATGATTTTGGCTAGTTCAATTTAAACATTTTTTTTTAATAATATAACTAATTGAAGTTGTTTGGTTGGATATTCTCTATGACACCTTAATGCAATTGAACAAATAATTGATTTTCGCTTTATATTTGTGGTTTGGAATATCGACTGATAATATATCATATTAGTGAGACGAGTTAATTTGGTTTAATTGATTCGACTTAACTAGCTAGTAGTAGGGGTGAACAAACACACCCGCAAACCGACCCACCCGTCCAACCCGACCCAACCCACCCGTATTTGTCGCTAAATCGAAGGTTTTGGGTTGGGTGAGGGTTTTCTTTTGTACAACCCGCCTCATTTGGGTTGGGTTTGGATTTTAGATTACACAACCCGTAGAACCCGACCCAACCCGTGTTCCAATTATTGGTATGAGTTCGTATCCAAAAAAATAATTATGTCGTATATAGTCATACTTATGAGAAAATTAAGATATTTCGCCATGTTTTTCTATTAAAGTCTCACTAATCTAATGCATTCTTCGACTTAAAGTTTAGACATATATTTAATATAGCTATGATTCACGTATTTTTTTTTTCTTGTGTACAATTTTAAAAGAATATCATATTATGGATGCGTTCATTTGTAACCTTTTTAGCCTATTTCAACAAATGGCATGAAAAAAACTAGACATAAGTTGAAGTAAATCAAGTTTTATTAAAATTCAAACAATATTTGTGAATTTTGATACCTTTCACCTCGGTTTATTCGTTTGAATTTTTAATTTTTTATAAAATATTTTTATGATGTAGAATAATTACATATTTTGTGTTGGGTTGGGTTTTTACTTAAAAATATCGCCAACCCGACCCAACCCAATTAGAAACAAACCGTAGGGTTTAGATTTTTTTGGGTGGGTTTGGGTTTAATATTTCCCAAACCGTAGTGCATTGGTCGGGTGATTAAAATGCCTAAACCCGGACCACCCGACCCATGTACACCCCTAGCTAGTAGTAGGAAGAATAGTCTATTTCGTTATACATTTGTTGATGGGAATTAAATGTGGATTAGTAGTTGACAACTAATGAACTTGAATTTGATTTAGTTACCGTAAGTAGGGCCTTGATGCTTGTGGTCGTCATTGGACATTGAAGGTCACGGCTACCTTGAAGCCTAAGCAAAACATCCACGAGATCTTCCTCGCCATCATCGCACTCACAATCGTCCGGCCGTCGTTCTCCGCCGCCGCCGCCGATGATCCTCTGCCGATGCTCCATTATCGTCTTGTCCAAAATCACGTCTAGGTAATCCCTGAGCTTCTGAATTTTCGACTTCAACCCGTCGGCACCCGGCACCGACTCCATCCACGGGTAAAAATCCACCAAATTGAAACCACCGGCCACCGCCGCCGTCGCCTTCATCACCTCAATCACTTCCGAATCCCCACCTTCGGACCCGAAGGGCGACTTGCAGACGATCGCATTCGTCAAATCGTAGATTTTCGCGCTGAGATTGACCGGGCGCCCGGCGGAGCCCCGAACAGAGTCCACCAATTTCGACACCTCTGCCTCCCGAATTGCGGATAAAGATCGGATCTTTCTCGGACCCAGAAGCTCCGTCGTCGCGATCCGCTTCATCTGCTTCCAGTAATCGCCGAGAGGGGAGAAGGCGATGTCCTGGCCGCCCCACGTGCCGATCTCCGCCGCCAGAAGCCGGGGCCTCTGCGCGAAGACGAGGTCGTGGGTCTTCAGAATCTCCTGGGCGATCTCCGGCGAGGAGACGACGACGGCGGAGACTTGGCCGAGCTGAAGGTGCATTATTGGGCCGTACTCGGATGCGAGGCTTTGAAGGGCGCGGTGTGGGAGTGGCCCGCCGGCGGTGGTGACGGCGGCGAGGGCTAAGTTGTGTAAGTTCCCAATGAAGGGGAGCTTCGCCGGCCCTGGAGGCAGAGGAGGCCTTTTATTAGTAGTGTTGTTTAACGTGGTTTCCGAGTTCGTCTCCCAGCGGGAAATGATGTTGAGCGGAAGTGAAGAGAGTTGGAAAGACGAGGGGTATCTTTTGGCGGGAACCGCCATTTTTGGACTCGAGGAGGTCAAAGTAAGTGATACCATCTCCCCCCTACCCTTGAGAAATGGAACTGGGGAAGAAGCCAATGGAGGTATAAGGTATTAAGGTCCAAAGCAGCAAGTTCACTCATTGAAATTTAAGAAAAATGGCAAACAATATTTAGGTTCTTTTCACAACACATGAACATGACGAGTGTGAGCACAATAACTTCTACGGATTGCCTTAGCGACACTATGGTGGATGGCAAGTGTTTGGTAGCTGGCTACTCAGAAATCCATTGTTTTCTTCCTCACATGCGCCATATCCAAACGTGTAAGTTCACCTGCAGTGTAATGAATTGAGAAGAGCACTGTTCTTGTCCATGTGCTGGGATCTTTTGGGCCGTTTTGCCGCAGAACTGGCTTCCCAGAAAACGAAGCCAGCCCAAGTAACGAGCCCAGTTTAAATGGGCGGGTCCAAAATAACAAGAAGATCCATATCGGAAAAGGAAAATGCAAAAGAACGGCGAGTCTGACTTTTATTTTTATCCCCGATGGCTAGCAAATGAAATTTTCTCGCCAACCAAACACACCCAAGACAAGACAAGAGGATTTTCCAGATTTCTAAAATTCAAGCCATTAGAACCGAAAAAACAGTTTCAGTTTACCGCACAATCATTGCCTAGAGCAAGGAGCTCCCCGCTTGACTTCACTCAGCATTGCGTTGCTGGCTGGTTCGCGAGAGCTTAATTTGACTCTATTTGGGGGTAATGGGTCGTTCCCGCGGGAATTTCCAATCTGCTGATGAAGACCCCACCCAGAGGTTTGCTTCTTCTCCGCTGAAATTTATCTGGGAAATTTGTTCGCCTTCCTGTTTGCTTCAATTTTTGCACTCAAAGGTTTGAGCTTTGTTTGGAGTTCAACCCTGGTTCGGTGGTGCCAACAATCATCCAGAAAATGTTTGAGCTTTGCTTTCTTTCTGATTCAGTGTGGAAATGCCATTGTTGTTTCAAAATTTAGTTGGAAGGAGTAGGCAATTTGCGAAATGTGTTGGTGTGCAACTTCTGGAAGTTGAAGCTGATGTAATGAACTTGCTTGACTTTGTTGAAATGTACTTCGGCTACCTTGCTTCTCTGTCCAACTTGTTAGAATTGGCTTTCGTTTGCTCAATTGTGAATTTGTGATGTATATTTCTGGGTCTTCATTTGATTTTCTGTCCTTCCCTTCATTCATTATGGGAAGATAATGTGGTATTTTATTGTTTACCTTCGCCTCTTGAGTTTTCTACGGTTTCTGTGCAGATCAAGGAGGAAAAAGAATGCTTCTACTGGTGAGAATCTAGAATCCACCTCTGCAGGTATATAATCATCATTGCATAGCAGTGTGATAACAAGGAGAACAAATACAACCAACGACACGGAATTGGGGGGAGGGGGAGGTGGGGGTGGGAGAAGTTATCATGACTCTTAGATAACATATATCCAAGTTAAAACTATGACTTTATATCCAAGTTGATCTAAGGAGCTTAACTAACCAGCATTGCTCGTGCAAATTTTCTCAACCTTGGGATTCCCTAGTGATGGGGTTCAAGGATGTATTTTGTTTGAGTATGATTGCTTAACTTATGCTGGTGTAATACATATCCTTTTTCGGGATCCTGTTGGGAGCTATTGATGGTAATGTGAATCATTATGTTTGTTTGCTCCTTGATATGCATTTCCTTTTACCTAATCTATACCTTTGTCCTTTTTCCGTATCCCATTTGGGGATCAGGGCAAGGTGCTGGTGATGGGAAGAAGGCCTTGTACCATTGTAACTACTGCAACAAAGACATAACCGGGAAGATCCGTATCAAGTGTGCTATGTGCCCTGATTTCGATCTATGTATAGAGTGCTTCTCTGTTGGAGCTGAGATGCAACCTCATAAGAGCAGTCACCCTTATAGGGTTATGGTTAGTGATAACAAGTTTCTTAGCAGCAAATGACTATATATCATATTCTGCTCTTAAACTTAATTCGACTGGTTTTCCTTATACGATAATGAGGACAAAGGCATATTTTTGAACAAGTTATTTATAAATTCTGACCATCTGCCATTCTGTATCAAACTACAGGATAATTTGTCTTTCCCACTTATTTGCCCTGACTGGAATGCTGATGATGAAATTCTGCTTCTGGAGGTTCAGTGTCAATTGAGTTTGCTCTTGTTTGATACCATTCTTGTATTTTAAATTTACTTTTATATGTTACTAATAACGTATGATCTCTGGTCCATGGGATTTACTCAAATATTAGGGGATTGAAATGTATGGCATGGGCAACTGGACTGAAATTGCTGAGCATGTAGGGACAAAGAGCAAAGACGTTTGCATTGAGCACTATAATAATGTTTATATGAACTCCCCATACTTCCCTCTTCCGGTATTGCCCATTTTGAATATTCTGAATTCTACTTCTTTAGTAGCATGTGTTACTTGATGCTGAACATTCTACTTTTGCAGGACATGTCTCATGTTGTTGGGAAGAATCGAAAGGAGCTTCTTGCTATGGCAAAAGGATCTTCCATGCACGGGGAGCACATTTTGAAGGAAGATTCTCCATTTTCTCCATCCAGAGTCAAGTATGATTTATTTTCTTGTCTCTGTACTTGCATTACCTTTAAATCTATTGCCCTGACTAATGCCACTTTTTCTTGTTCATTCAGAATCGAAGGTGGTTCCTCTGGCCGTTTACTGTCTCCATTAAACACTGGTGATTTAGTATACATGACAAACTAATCCTGTTCTGTCTGAATCGTATTCAAACTCCTTGTGAATGAGATGAACTCTTCTAAACTGGTGCTCTTTCAGATATGGAATCAGGAGGGCGTCCTAATAACGCAAATGCATCAAAGACTGCTGTTAAAAAGGCATCTGGTATTGCCCGGGCTAAAGATAGCCCGGATAATGTTAAAGTCGAAGGTCTGAATTGCTCTATTTGTGATTTTTTTAATAAGGGTGATATAGGTTAATTTTTGTGATTATGTTACTTTTTGTTATACGGTAATGATGAGGATGCAGCTGTAGGATCAAGAAACAGAATTGTTGACTTCTTAACTCTTATGCAGATCCTCATATAGAAAGGAGTTCCATGGGGAAGAAACCAAATTGTCCGGTTGATGGTCCATCCCTACTTGATTTGAGTGGTTATAACACTAAAAGGCAAGAGTTTGACCCAGCATACGACAATGATGCTGAGCAGTTGCTCGCAGAGATGGAGTTCAAAGAAAATGACACTGAGGAGGAGCGAGAAATTAAGGTTCGGGTCTTGCGTATTTATGGGAAGAGGTAAATAAACATTATTATGCTCAGATAGAGTTCGAAGAAACTATTTGTTTTCTGCCACTTATTTATAGTGTGTGCTTCAATTCAACATTTGAGAGCTAGTTTTGATTGGCAGGCTTGATGAGAGGAAGCGTCGGAAGGATTTCATATTGGAGAGAAACTTACTGTATCCTAATCCTTTCGAGAAGGACTTATCTCCTGAGGAGAGGGCAATCTGTCGACGTTATGACATTTTCATGAGATTTCATTCAAAGGAAGAACACGAGGAACTGCTCCGGACAGTCATCACAGAGCACCGAACTCTCAGAAGAATTCAAGAACTCAAGGTACATTGCTCACCCTTGCCTTCATATGAATCTAAATATCCCATTAAGCACATCGACATGAAATGATGTCGCAGGAAGCACGTGCTGCTGGCTGTCGGACTTCAATCGAGGCAGATCGATACCTTGACCACAAACGGAAAAGGGAAGCGGAAGATAGTTCTCGTCGGGTCAAAGAAGGCGGTCAGCTTGTTCCGAATGTCGTAATCGCTTCAGAATCAGTTGGCAAGGACTCACACTTGAAAGGGTCGTCAAGCTATAATGTCAACGAGCTGGATATCACGGCGTTGTTCGACACCCAGTTGCTATCTGAAGCTGTAAGTTATCTAAGAACAAGGATAATAGGGGTGTGCATGGTCTAGGGTGGTCCAGAATCAAGAGACTCAGCATAGGATCAGATAAAAAATGAAGGGAAAATGAGGTTCAGTTTAATTCACACCCCTAGATAACACACATGCTTATGGTTTTAGCTGGTTAGTGAAACTGCCTTGTTTGGATGCATTTTGACAGGAGAAGCGGTTATGCTACGAGATCAGGCTGCCACCACCTCTTTATCTGCAAATGCAAGAGGTGATGACAAAAGAGGTCTTCAGTGGGAATGTTTCCAAGAAATCCGATGCTCATTCATTGTTCAAGATCGACACCAACAAGGTGGATAGAGTGTATGATGTTCTTGTTAAGAAAGGGATAGCACAACCATGAAAATGGGGAATGAAAAAGAAGCAAATCACTTCATTTCATTCTTAAGTTCTGATTTCTTGTATTGTAATTTAGGCATAACATAATAGATATAGGCTAGAAATGAAACTTGGGTAGAGCTCAGTTCCTTTATGTAGCTGCAGATGGTTGAAACTCGGAATTACCTAAAGGGGTTCTGTATAATGCAACCATCCACTCTACCAAAAATGAGAAAGAAAGGCAAAAAGCACTGAACTTCTATTTCTTTCACCATGGAGAAAGTACTGAAATCCTATCACAGCTTTTACAGTCAGAACCTGAGCTTTTGCACAAGTTAAACCTGTATAGAACCAAAATGTTATTTTGGTATATCACAAAACATAAGGCTAGTTTGAGGATAATTGGGAAACAGCTCCAACTGCTAAAGTCTTAAACTTTCAATTACTTAGTGACGGGTTAACGCTAAACGTTATATGTTGATCTCAGAATGCCTTACTACAGTGCAACATGCTCTACTGTTATATACACCAACAGGGGCACCCCAAACGTTCACCTATGATCAAAATTTCTACACTGTCAAGGGACTTAAGCAGCTTTGCTAACGAAGTTGTCTTTGTGATCCACTGCATCCTTACTCACACTAATCACCTGCAGATTCTGCATCTCATCCGACAGGGGTGAAGAACTTGGGAATCTTTCTCTCTCTTGTTCACTGGATACTGGAACAACCTTCTGCTCCAAATATCGAGCATCTCCACCAGAGTCAGAAGTCTTGAGTCTACCATTGCAGCCCATATTCAAAGATAGATAATCAACTATATCTGTCTTTGGCTTCACGTCAACCCATCTGTTCTCCACCCAGTCCCTGGAGATTCTGACATGCTTCTGACCAACACACAGCGACCTGCCTTCACCTAATCATTAACATCCCAGTTTTTTCAATCAGCTAAATGAAAGTAGAAGGAATCTATAGATGTAGAAAGGGTACTGCTTTCTTTCATATATATACCAGGTAAGTAAACTTGCAGACGGTCATTTCCAGCTGCAGAAACAACACCTTCCCACCAGCCGTCACACCACCATGCATCAATTGGCGCTCCAACCTCAAAAGTACAGTTCCTGAGATCACCAGGAGGAGGCGGGCGAACTCTTTGGCGGCCAACATGTCTTATACCCAACTTATCCGGAGCAGCCACTTTAGTAGCAGGGACCCATTCCTGTCGACAAAAACAAGAAAAAGAAAATGACAGAATTCTTAAGCCCATATCAAACATTCTACAAAGCCGCATCAATGATCCAGATTATCATGTCAACTCATGAAAAAGTCACTCAGATCACCTGATTGGTTACTGTAGGAAGGAATTATAGCAGCCTTGGGCAATGCGGTTGAAATTGGGTCGAGTAACAAGTTTGGCATGTGAGGATTGAAACGGGTTGTCCATGTCAGTTAATTAAGGTTTTTTACTTCTTTATTGTATGTGAATTGACACTCTAGTTTGGACAATTTTAGATCGAAAACTTGATTGAGATGGTCCAAGTGGCTATCATGTAAGTTATTCGAAAGAAGTCTGTTACAGGTTCCATTAGAGAAATGTACCTCTAGATTGCTACTGGTTTCCTCATCCAGCACATCGATGTACTGAACTTTCAGACGCCTCTTGGAAGCTTCCAGGACCTTGCACCTAAACCAACACCCCCTAATGCCGCTGTCTTCACACAGCAACTCTATCTCATCATCCGCCTTGAATGTCACAGGAGAGGGCAACTGAGGCGCGACCGAATCCCCGCTGTTCGTAGTTCTCCTCGATAAGCGGAACTTAAGCTTAGTAAGCGCAGGCTTAGTCTCTACCGGCTGATGGATCCCCGGGGCAACATTGGATGATGTACTCTTTCTCTTGCCATTCGCTCGTGCACAAATAACATCTTCATAAGCCAATTGATCATCGCACTCACCGAGAGAGGCGACGATGGATTGGTTGGAGTATCCATTCAGTTTTGCAAGAGCGAATGGCTTGAGCTTGTTGTTCTTGAGCTGGCGAAAGCACATGTGGACAGCTGGCGAAGATGATGGCGAACCGAGGTCAGCAACCGCCGCATATTTTTCGTAGTGCCAAGGTGTCAAGACAGTCGCTGAGCTGTCGATACACTCTGCGCTGATGACCTGGACATTAGACGTTATGACGACTTCTCTGGGATGAGGGTTTAGCTGAGGAATCAGAGTGTTGACTTCCTGACTGCGGTAGAACCAGCGAACCTTCACCTTTTTCTTGCCTTTCCTATCCTCGTACATATCTTCCAAGTAGCCAAGGTAGTGCTGTTCCTCTTCAGCCAAGATGAACACAAACGAATGCACCTAGAGAAAAAAAAAAATGTAATGGACGGATATAAACCACTAAAGAAACTGTTTGTAACTTAAAATTGAAGAAACAGAGTGATTTTATGACTACATACCGGTATAGCAGTGCCGTTCCTTGTCAAAAGTGGGTAATGCTTCAGCTGTTTAGCACAGATCAAAGCAACACCAGACCAATCGATGCTTGCTTTTTCGACTTTTGGTCTTCTCTGAGCCTGCATCGTGATGAAGAATTTGATGCAATGCTTAGAAAGTATGTTGAATAGTAGCAGGAAAAGCAGTATCAGGTTTCTTACCACATGCTCTGGCAAATAAGTATTGAACGGAGCCAATCCGGTAACAGCCTCAAGAGATCCCAAGCTGTCGGTGGAGTCGTTTATATCAACACCTGCAACAGAAGTTCAGTCATACACACGATTCTTTTTTTATGTGCGAAACATACAATGAACTCACTACAACAGGGTAAGAAAATAAATCTGTCCTGAAAGATAACAATCACCACTCAAGAATCAGATTCTAATGAGCCAAACATTCACAGGCCAAAACTGAGTAAAATCTCAAAACTCAGAGTGGTAGAGTTAGAGGTTCAAGCATATTAAGTTGAATTATATAACAGAAGGCAACATATCTAAGCTAAGCTGATTCACATAGGCAATTATGCTATATGACGAAAAACCCAACTCAGCTGATCTCCATTTAGCCTAGTCATTGCCTCTAGACCATTGATGATAGCCGAATGTCCAGTTTCACTTTTCAACAGAGCACTTCAGGTCACCTTTCGAAGTATTCCATTACTGAAAATCGTAATTAAGGTTTACAACATCAAGGCAGACAGCCTCTTGCTATCATAATAAAATAAAAACGGGTTTCCGCTGATAGTGCTGGCCCTACTTCATTAACTAAGACGATGAAGACATAACACATGAGGGGGGAAAACTAACATCTGGTGGTTTTATACAGATCTGGAAGTTCTAACCAAGAGGGCCAAGATCTGAATGCAATTACAAGAAGGCTGAACTAATTACTGAGAGGCATGAGCCATCATAGATCCAAACAAAAAGTTTTAACAAGAGGGATTCCTTTTACCTGCCACCATGTTAACCCCAAATTGATGTCTACAGTCTTTAGCTTTACCACGAAGCATAAGCTAGAAGAACAATCTAGATCGCCCTCACAACTCTGGAGGGTTTGTAATCACCCACACACTAAGCCTACCCACTAGAGTGACAGAGCATATATATAATCGCTCTTCCCTGGTCCTCTACGTGTACACATTCATGTGCGGGAGGTGCATGTAATATACGTGGCGCAAAAAATCTGATAGGATCATGTGGTTTTCAAAATAAATCAGGTTTAAGAACTAGATACAGTGAATGCGGACCTTCAAAGCACGTTTATCATACTGCAAACTAGAATACAGTTCTCTGATTTGAGTAATATGATAAATTATGTTTTCCAAAATTGAAGAGAGATGGGGGAAAATCAACGTTTTGCCGTAGTAAATTTTAAATAGAATTCAGATTTAGTCAAGACGACTTGCATCACAGTTGTAATTTCCATATTGTTCAAATGGAGACTTAAAGGGAAAACAGAGATAGCTTTCTTTTTCGGAAGAGAACCACAGTTATCCAACTAAGGAAAAAATATAATCTGTGACATTATAGAAAGACAAACAAACAATGGGATTGAGACACGTGATGCATAATCGTTGGAATTCAGGTCACATTGAACAACACTCGGCGTAGACAGGTATTAACTGGAAAAGCATATGGATACAGATTATCTAGGCATTTGAATATGAATTTAAAGCTCTTCAAAGTCTATATAGTATCGTTATAACATTATGGGAAATCATGAACTCTCAATATCTAATTCAATTGAAACAATGTCATTCTAACTTTAACAATCCCTGACACTAGTTTTCAACCATAGTATAATCAACTGAAAGTTGACAAGTAAGAATTCCATATTACAACTAAGTGTTAACAACTACAACAATGCAAGTTAAATAATGTATAGCATCACTTCCTATCGTTGTACTTCGAGTAAGTAGCTGTGTGTTCGTTTTTTCCTCGATACTTATTTCGAAATCACAATGCCAACTCCCAAGGGAAGTGCATCTACAACTAAACACGCAAGGTACATTAACATGACCAAGAGAAGTAGATTCAGCTACCAAATGGAGCTTTTCAATATCACAAACAATTATGCAGACTCTTCCTCTATATTCTTGACCCTAATGCAGAATCTTTCTCCAGAATACTATAGCATAAGTCTATCATAACCAAACACGTAACACTGCTACCGAAATCTGTTAAGGCGTGCAAGGCAGGAGCAGGTTCAACACATGCTTTTTGAAATCTCTAAATTAGGATGGTATCACAAAAACCATACACCAAAAAGTAAATCAAGAAAGCAAAGAACGATTCAAATCCTTAGCTACTATTCATATCACAAAAAAGACAAGTCGTGATGCTACTAAGATATCAATCCGCATACCTGCAACCCCTCGATCCCTGGATACCATGGCGGCAAGCCAGTCCACAACTTCTCGTCTCACTCTCCATTTCGTGGAGGCACTGACGCCAAAATCAGACCCATAAGCAACCAAGAACCCATCGCAAACAACGTATATCATATGCCTTACGCTCCGCTCAGACCCTATCACAGCTAACAGAGACTGCCCCAAAGCATTCTTCAAGTAATAGTGAACCACTCGGTTCCCACGCTCATGGCAAATAATGTGTTCTTCCCATTCCACAAAACTAACATTACGACTAACAGCCATCTCTCAACTAAGAATAGAGATTCCCCAACAGCCGCCAAACCTGAGACATACAAAATTCAATCCCAATTCAACAAAACCTGTTTTACTAAAACCCTTCTATATCATTTGCAAAATGCGAAGAAGAAAGGAGAGAAGACCTCACCTTAGCAATGGAATCCACATTCAAAACTGCCCCACTTCTCCTATAGACCAACCAGGTGGCCTTTTTGGCAAAATTGAGGGATGTAAAGAGAGCCCTGCTCAGCTGGAAGAAAAAGAAAGCTAATGCGAGTTGAATGGGTAGAAAAAGAAAGCTTCAAGCTTTTTCTTCTGTTGAGAAGGCTTCTTGTTTTGTCTAGCCCTGTTGTTGTCATGCAATCCAGAAGACAACAGGAGTGTGGCGTGCGGCGAGGAATTCTGTGAATAGAAGCGAGAGAATATGCGAGACAGGTGGAGAAAGAAGCGGAAAGGGAATAGGTTTTTCTTGGGGTTTGGAGAGACTTGAAAGAAGGGAGAGGAGCCCATGAAAGGTGGGGGAAAGAAAACAACCGGAGCTGCTGCTGCGGCGGTGGTGGGAGAGTGGGAAAAAGGAAGGGAAAGAAAGAAAGCGGGAGAAGGGAAATTATGGCGAAATTGTGAGGGCGGAAAGGTAATTTCGCCATAATATTAAGCGTAAAAAAGATAAAAATATTAACTAACGAACTACTGCGGGAAAATGGATTAGGAAAAAAAAAATAATCAGACCAAGAGAAGAGGGGATAAATAAAGGGCAATCTCGTAACTGAGCAAAATGAAGGGGATGTAAACTAAGTATAAAATACTCACGGAGAAGGCCAAATCGCCGGCGATGGGGAACTCTGCCACTCTCATTTGGGACGTGAATGAGGCTTTGCTCTCTGAGAAGGGGATCCCTTCTCCGAATGGCTGCGGAGCCGATGGTTTCTCCGATTGCTTGCCGCCTTCTCCCGTCACGTTGTTTGTTTGTTACTCTACTATGCTAGCTAGCCTTGCCTTCGCTTCTCTTTCTATGCCTTTCTGTCTCTCTCTGGAGAACTGGAAATGGATTCTTCTTCTTCCGCTTGCTCACTTCTTCTCTAAATCGAGGCTGTGATGATCCACCTAAAGAGAGGTTTTAATCAGACGGCAGCGCTGTTGGGCAAGGCGATCGAGCCAGCATCTAGCTGCTTCTCTGATTACGCAGCCAATGGCTGATTGTCGTCTGATAACAATGGCGGATTTCTGAGCCTTTTTAACAAGTTTCTAAAGCCAGAACAGAACGCTTTTGGAAGTGCATGGTTGCTTTTCTATTTCTCACCAATGGTAATACAATATCCAGTGATGCAGTTGAAAAAGCTAAGCTTTGACACTCTATATGGCTTGTCCAGTTCAGGGCTCCATAGCTCTGTAACCAAGTAGTTTATCAGCTGCTGCAGTAGCGGGTGAACTGAGCTTCTATTGGTACTTTCTAAGCTGGTTTGCTTTGAATGCAGCTCAATGGACTAACATAAAGATGCAAATACATAGAAGACCTACTTTGAATGTGACCAAAAATACCATTCACAGAAACAAATCGATGTGATAGGTAAAGGAAGAAACTTGTTTGATGAATCAATTAAACAGTGCTTACAAATGGTTTCGTGAACCTCTCAAAAAATGAAGAGCTGCACTTATCAACAACAGAGAACGAAACAAAAGCTCCACTTTTAAGGCAACTAACTGCCTGTTGAATTTAAGCCATATGGGAGATCAAGAAATGCGAACTATAACCTTGTTCTTTTTGCCAGCAGACAAAAGGAGAAGCTTCCCATCAACTATGTCTTCATTCTCGATTCTCTTACTCTCCTCATCAACTCTGCTATTGTTCAGGTACAAACCTCCTTGCTTCATCAACCTCCTAGCTGCCGATTTGCTTTCCAACAAACCGGAAGACACTGAGAGATCAACGACCGACAGATCGACAACTTCATTATATGCCATGGAACAGGAAGGCACATCCTCAGCAATCCCTTCAATCGTCTTCCAGTCCAACTTAGTCTCGGCTCCAGGCCTCAAAGCCTCAGTAGCCTTGATCGCCTCTCGAAGGCCTTCTTCGCCGTGAACAAATCGAGTAACCTCTTCTGCAAGCAGCTTCTGTGCAGTGTTTGGCAAGTAACCCGGACTCTGCATCTGCAATTCCATCTCATCTACCACCTTCATGTCGAGGAAAGTCAACATCTTGAGAAACTTGATCACGTCGGAATCAGGAACCGAGAACAAGTGCTGGTAAAACTTGTAAGGAGACAGCATTGCAGGGGACAACCAAATGGCTCCATCCTCAGATTTCCCAAACTTGGTCCCGTCGCTCTTGAGCAAGAGAGGGAAAGTTAAGCCGAACCCTCCTTCGCCTTCCTTCGGCTGAAGGATTCTCCTGATGAGATCAGTTCCTGCCGTAATGTTCCCCCACTGATCACTGCCTCCAATCTGAACATTCACTCCATGGTTCTGGAAGAGGTAGAGAAAATCATAGCCCTGTAATAGCTGGTAAGTGAACTCCGTGTAGCTCATTCCTTGTTCGGATTCAAGCCTCTTCTTCACACTCTCTTTCGCAACCATGGTTCCTACCCTAGCGTATCTCCCTACCTGTTTGAGAAAATCCAGCAATTTGAACTCCTTCCACCAATCGTAATTGTTCATAACCACGAAAGAGGTTGTCGAATTGCTCGAATTCAGGATTCTGGTTACGGTATTGGCTATCCCTAAGGTGTTTCTCTCGAGGGTTTCCACGTCCAGCTCGGGCCGCTCGAGGCTTTTCCCCGAGGGATCGCCGATTCGGGCGGTGGCGCCGCCGATAAGCGCGACGACTCTATGGCCGCAGCGGTGGAACCAGGAGAGGACTAGGATACCGAGGAGGTTGCCTAAGTGCAAGCTCTCGGCGGTGGGATCGAAGCCACAGTAAACCCTAAGTGGAGAAGATTCTGAATTGGAGGAAACCGACCTGAGATTGTCGCTGGTGAGGGATTCCAGCAAACCTCTTTCCTCCAATATGTCAATTACATTGCGCCGCCCGATTTCCTCCGAAACGGAGGTCGTTATCCCCGTGGCGGTGGAAATTTCTTCGGCTGATTGTACGCAGCGGATCGCGGAGAACAGGCGAACCTTCCCGCCGCGGCAGTTGCACCTAGCGCTGCTGGCGGGAAGATTTAAGAAGGCTGGAACAGTAAAGATGAACCTTTGATGGAAGGAAGAGAGCAGCGTCCGGGGAGATACCGCCGCCGATGCGGCCATTGCAGACTAGCTTGAGTTGAATAGAGGAATCGGCCGGCCGCCGGCTTCAAGGAAGTCTCAGTTCGATTCTACCCTCTTCCATTTCCATCCTCAGTCGCTAGTTCCTCATCCTGTTGTTGCGGAGAGGGGTATTAGTGTCATTACAATTTACCGCAGGCTTCTTGGGCCATGCTAGTCTCCGGCCCAATACTTATTTAGGCTTCGTTTTTTTTTTGCGCCCGTTTATTGTTGGGCTGCAAGCCTGCAATCGGAATTTCCCGCTCTATCCATCTAAATCCAATAACTACCACTACCGGTCAACTCCGATCGCGCCACGGAAAGGACGGATACGTTTTTACAAATTATTCATCGTTGTAAAATTTAAATTCCTTACGTTAATACATTTTAACGGTTATCTGATGTTTTGGTGTAAAGTAATTTGAAACGATCCATATGAAAGTTACAAACTTTTGCTACAAGCAAGAGCAAGAAACGGAAGAGACCGACATTGGGTAAGAGATTGGAGCAGCAGCCGGGTTGAAGATTAGAACCCTGGCACACGCCAAGCCTGTCGTCAGTAGTTATGTCTTAAACAACAAGTTTCTGCTTCAATCCTTAATTTTGCAATGGACATTGAACAATGCTCTGCCCCCATCCAAATCTATAAGAAATTGGTGATCATCAATTACAAAGGTGCGAATCTCCCCAACTGGTTGTCTACAATGACCAATCTCGTGGAATTTACACTAACGGGCTGCACAAAATGTGAGTACCTTCCGCCATTGCATCTATTATGCCCTTATCTGAAGAAGCTCTGCATCAAATATTGCACAAAACTTCAGGGCATTAGAGATAACTGCCGGTACCCATATGAGCTCGAATGGAATCAGCAGGGGGCTTATGTTAGTGATGACGATGCTGAAGACGACAACTACGGTTTTCCCTATTTTCCTGCTCTTTCTCGCTTGGATATCGTTCTTTGCCCCAAACTGGATCGGATGCCTCTCTTCCCAACCGTTGATGCTGAGTTGGAGCTGTATGGATGCAGTGAACGCCTGCTGCTTCGTACAATGATAATGAATTCGTCTCGTCTTGTTCGCCCGCCACTCTCTCAGTTATCGAGTTTGCTACTTTGGGAGATTTATGACTTGAAGTATCTCGGCGTCTGCAACCTAACTTCGATTCAGTATCTGGGTATCAGGGACTGTCCAAGATTAGCCACTCTGCCCCCTGCTATGAGATGCCTAACTCGCCTGCAGAAGCTGAGCATTCAAGAGTGTCCCTTGCTGAAAGAAAGGTGCAGAGAAGGAGTAGGTGAAGATTGGCCCAATATTTCCCACATCCCATCGGTTGAGCTCAGGGACTAATTTTGAAACTCTACTAGAATTTTTATTCTGCGGTTTGCATGCCGACATTGTTGTAGTTTTTGTTCCTCTTGTTAAAAAGTTATCATCGTATACAGAAATCCAATCGAGAACACAGTTAAGAAGACAGAGGAGGGAATACTCGTGAATGGGGAGAAAGAACGGCTGCTTCCTGCCGGATGTACTTCTTGGGATTGTTGGGATCGACAACCCATTGGATTTCACTCATATTGGGCGTCTCCACAAACGCCATTGTGAATTCCCCAACCTTCTTTATGCTCCCCCTCCTCCCTGCCCTCAGAACCATCATCTTGTTGTAGTCGCCGCCGCTGTTGGAGAAAATCCCCTTCTCCAATCGAACAATATCTCCCTCCTCAAAAGCGTCGCAATCCTCGCCCCACAGCTCGAAGTGCACGGCCGCGGTCTCATCGGCAACCAGCGCCATGCACGTCCTGCTTTCCCCTCTGTTCTTATTCACCCTGCTCTTCTCCAGCAGTATGAACGTCGTGTTTATGTTGTTCTGGGCGGCAGGGACTATGTCTTGCAGATGAATTGGGGTATCCATTCTTCACACACTATCACTATCCGATGATGGGGGATCTAGTAGTGTTTTGCTGCTTTATTTCGCTGCCGGACGGCCGTTGGTCGTACCTATTAGCCGCAGATCTGAGCTCCTTCTCTTTTGTGAGAGGAAGAGGAAAAACAAGAGCGGCAGGCGGCAGAGATTAGGGAAGTAAACCCTGCCTGTCCCGGGGGAGAACTGTTTCGTGGGTTGGGCCGGATGCTCGAATGGGCTCAGAATGTTGCGGACTGCAACTAATCAAGTAACAAAAGTTCATTTTGACTCAAACCAAGGGTCTTAACTATAAAACCAAACACGTGTGCTTCACCTAAAAACGTATAGAAAAAGAACACAGGATCATTAACCAGTTTAAATTGTCCGAAGTGAACAAATCATCTCATCAAAATTAATTTTACTAAAGTTATGTGGAGGTTTGCTGTTAAAATGTTCACATGATCATCGAATATATCATCAATCCTATATAGTTTTTATTAGATATACATTAGTTTAGATGTCGTTTTTACTAGGCTTTGGTAGGATAAGATTCAAAAAAGGGAAACTTCTTATCCTCTTTCCTAGGTATAGGTTCAAATCAAACAATGCCATCTTGGTTAATAATACAATTAAACAAAAATGGCGGAAAGATGTTTAATGTGACCCACCCACCCACTTGCTAAAAAATGGCTAAACTAATGATAAACCTACCCATCATTTAATTGAAGCAACGATAGTTAGTTAGAGGGTTAGGGTTCCCATTTCCTTAATCATGGAAGGGGCTATAGCCCTGTTAACTCTCCAAATATGATTTAGAGTCCTTCACAGCAGATACTAGGAATCACACTCACTCTTATTTACAAAGAGAGGTTAAAATAATAGACTGTTTAATATGCAATGATCATACTAATTTCTTTCGACTAATATATTAGACAAACATTGTATGATGACTCACTGGCTCACTTTCTTATATGACCGATGAATTTGTAATAGAAAGTTAGCATGATGTACTTGTTCTAGCTTCTCACCAAAATATCGTTACAACATAATTGAGTAGGTTGTAGCTAGGACTAGGATTATATAAATATGTATGAACTAGCTCGAAAAATATTTTAGGCCTCCTTAATCCCAAACGCTACTTCTGGTAAATAACAAATTGCAACCACTCAAAGGAAGGTTTTAAGTAAAATGTGTGCCGTTGTTAGTTAACTTGCCCATCAAGCCATCATTTATTGTTATCATGCAAACCCCCAATAGCTATTAATATCATCATTTAAGTTTTGGAAATGACCTCAAAATGGGGGGTCTTACGTACACCACAAGTAACTAGAAATCTCCGTATGGTGGTGTGAAGGGTTTTCCTTTTTCCCTCCACCTAAGGGAAGAATTCAATCTTGTAGGGTTTCCTATTACTCTCACGAAAGGACACTGGTGGGCAACGGGACGGGACGGGACGGGATACCCGTCCCGTTTTAAACGGGTACTCAGTCCTATTTGGAGACCAAAGTCCATCCCATATCCCAAACCCATAAGGGAAATGGGTACCCATTATCCGTACGGGACGGAAAACGGGTACTCATACTACCTATAAATACCCAAAGTTTAAATGACATTTTACCTAAAGACAATTAGTCAATTACATCCAAAGCATTCATTTCAAAACACAAAATGGCGGCGGCGGCGGTGAATGAAGGATTTTGTAATTTTAATGGATTTTGTAATTTTAATGGATTTTGAATTGGGTTGAGCCTGGGCGCATGGGCTGAATTATATGTCTTTTGTAATTTGAATGGGTACAACGGGTACCCATATTACCCAAACGGGTATTCGCGGGTAACCCGCGGGTACCCATATTAGGACTGTACAATCCCAAGTCCCATCCATTTAAAATATTACGGATAATATGGGTACCCGTAACCCTTAAAAAACGGGACGGGTACGGGTATACCCAAATACACGTTTCCCGTTGCCCACCGCTAAGGACAGATGCCTCTCTCAACGACCCTAATTGTTATAGGATCCCAAAGAAGCCGTTCCTACTTCCTAGCCATTTTTATTGCCTATAAACTTGGCCACGGGGCCAAGAGAATTGAAGGGAAACCTCACAATTGAATGATCTGGAGCTCTACCAATCAGTGATTGTGACCATTACATTTACGCCATTCTACATTCTTCTCGGCACAAGTAGTTTGGAGAAAAAGTATGAACACTAGCTATAGCCATGTATAGGGAAAGTTATGTGGTGCGTATAACTTCCATATGTTAGGAAATTTATCAAACAAAAGAGGCCACATCCTTATTACACACCCTACATGCATATCAATATTCTTAATACCAACATGGGCTGTTTTGATTACTAATGTTTGAGACAGAGGGTTATTTGATTTTTGATGGTTTCGGGAGTGAGATATAATATCGAGGGGTAGAAAGTAGAGCGAAGTCGTAGTAAATGTAGATAACTTGTCACTTGTGAGGAGATAACTCCTATTTGTACAAGGTTGGATGACAGGTACGTGGTGATAACATAAATTAAATGTTGTTTGTCGGGCGCCTAATCCATCACTCTTACTATCTATCACTGTACATTGTACTTTTGGTAAGACTTGTATAGATCGTTCCAGCGACCTCTTCCTTGCTAATATCAGATGTGTAAGCATGTCTCCTGACTTTGTCTTCTTCTTAGGCTTCTTTGATTCCTTCTATTGCCCATGTGAGAACTTAGGGTTTGCCTCTAGACTTTGTATTGGGGCACTTCATGTTGATTACTCCCAAGTATTTAAATCTTGACCCTTAATTAACCCCTATCAACTAATGATATAACGATTCAATGTGTGTTTGTTAATTGATAGTAGTTTAGTATATATACTACATCAGTTACTGTAAATTACGTTCGAAAAAATTGATGAAAAGTCCATTCGGACTTTAGAAAATAATATAATATAATGTATATGGTATAATTTTGGTGATCTAACTAGTAGTTAAGACGTTATAATTACTTAGGGTTATAGGTATAATATGCCCATCTACTATGACGGTTTATCAAACATGCCCCTCTATTATTTTTTATATCAAACATGCCCCTGTACTTTGAAAAAATTATCAAACATGCCCTTCTGTTAAAATTCTTTTGAAAAAATCGCCAATCATGGTTGAACCGAGATTTAGACAAGCCGACATAGGCAAAAGGGAGCGAAAATGTCAGTTTTGTCTCCCGTTTTATTTCTTTGGGTCTATTCAAAGTGAAATTATTCGAATTATTTGGCTATACAAAAGAACTAAAAAAATTATAAAAGTGAAATTATTAGGAATATTTTAGACATTTGTGCCGCCCAAACCAAAGTTCAACCTTGGTTAACATTTTTTGGATGAAAATTTAAATAAAAGGGTATGTTTGATCATTTTTACAAAGTACAGGGGCATGTTTGATATAAAAAATAGTAGAAGGGCATGTTTGATAAAACGTCATTGTAGAGAGACATATTATACCTATAACCCTAATGAATTATGATCATGATTCATGTTCATTTAATTTCATTATTATTTCAAGCAATAACTTCGAAATAGCAACAATGAAATTTATTATTATTAAAAGAAAAACAATAACAACAACGAATTAGCTGTCTCCAAACGAACCATGCAACGCAACCCCCAAAATATTCTCCCGCAAGCATCAAGAAGGAAGAAACAAACAAGAAGGAAAAAAGGAACCCCTCGAAACCCGTACGCGCGAAACAAGAAAAACGGAGGCTTCTCTAACTTTAAACCCCAACTACCTAATTAGTTGTCAATCACCCCTTAATTCTACTTCAAAAAAAAGGAAGAAAACACAATTAATTAAACTAATTAATTCCAAGCCGCATACAGAAACCTAGCCGCCTAAGCAGGAGAAAAAATAAAAACCGCACTATAAATCCCCCCGCTCCCCTTCCCTTCAACCTCGCTTTGCAACTTCCTCTCTAAAACTTTCCCTCCTTGGCTTCATTTTCTCTCCCTTAAACCAAAGTCTCGACAATGGCGGAACTAATGAAGGGCCTCCTCCACTCGGCCTGCCACGTTCTCGGCGGATACAACAAAGACGTCGCCGACGACGGCGGATACAGAGCAGCCGCGGCGCCGGCGGAGACGGAGGCAGGGTTCAGGATGCCGCTCCACTACCCGAGGTACAACAAGAGCGACTACGAAGCGATGGAAGAGTGGAGGCTGGATCTCCTCCTCTCGCAGTACGGTCTCCGCCTCGGCGGCACCGTCGACGAGAAGCGCGCCTACGCCATCGGCGCATTCCTCTGGCCCGACCAGTACTGAACGTAAACCAAAAATTGAGAGATGGAAAGGAGAGGATGGAATGTCGAATATGTTTTAATTATTATATGTATTAACTGTTGTTCTTTTTTTGTTTGTTTAAGGAGTGGTGTGATTTTAGAAGTAATTAGTAATTACCGATACGAATTATATGCCGGCGACGGCGACGTCGCGGTACTCTCCGGCCAGCGGCAACCGCTTTCTTTCGTTTCTCCAGATTGTTAATTAGTGATCGTAATTACGGAATCGTATTTAGTTATTACGGTGTGGCCCGTTAACTGTGGAGCCCATTCTATTGGGCCGAGGCTGATATGGGAGGGGAAGTACATGACGTGGGCCGGGCTTCGGCCCATTACGAATGAACTCTTAACCAGCTAGTCGACATCATTTACAGGCATACAGCCAACAGAGTTGTTGACTGACCCGCGTGGATGCTGTAGAAAGTTCCAAATACTGCTCTCTCTCTCTCTACTTTTGACCTGCCCAGGAACAGAATTTACTGTTGCCCACCAAACAATTTTACTTTTTTACCGATCAAAGCCTGGTCGACATGAATTCTGTTCTTTATGGCTGATATGGACGTGAGCTACTTTGCTGCACAAGTCTTTGCATTTCATCATTCATATGAACCCAAAATCCAGGCTTTGGAAATTAAGAATATCTGCAATAGCCAAAATATCTTGCTATAAGTTAAGAGAAGGTGGGAAAGAAGCAAATATAGATCTGAGGCTCAAAGTTGAGCAGCAAGTCAATACTGAAACAGTGAGATGTCACTCAACATTCACCATCTCTATATCTAAGGCCCAGGAAAAATAAAGTAGATGAAAAATAGGAGAAAACTGCATTGTTTCCTTGCTCAATCCTGATTTCCTCCCTGGCCCCTTCAAATCAGATTCACTCAAATAAGCCAAATCCTAGGTAAAAGCTCAAAGCTTTCCTCTTCATTCCCACAAAACCCACATTCCAGAATCTCGTATAGTTCATCACGAACAAAACCCAGAAATGAGAATGGATTCTAGTAACAGTCATCATAAGCTCATAGCTGTGGGTGATTACTTGTTCATGAGAAGGAGCTGCGTGCAGCTGGTGATCACATTCTCCCTCTTCTCTGTGCTGATATCTATCTCTTGGGTTACTAGTGGTATGGTTGCCAAGAGCTATGTGTACATAAAGTTCAATCCTTTCTTCTCGTCCTTCTTCACGCATACCTTGAAGAGGAAGTACATGTTCTTGATCTTCAATGGCATCCTTGCTTTCCTTGCCACTTCGGCATCATCAGCTTCCTCCACCACCGCCATTATCAGAAGCAGCATTTCGTCACAAACTACTTCAGCTTCTTCTTATGCTCATCATCATGATGAGCGCATGGTGGAGGAGGAGGGTTCAGCTGCGGTTCATGAAGATTGTGATGAGATTGATGATGGTTCTGATGTGGAAGAAGGGGTTGTTCATGAAGAAGTGGTTGTTCATGAAGAGAAGATGATGAAGGTTCAAGGTGGGGATTGTAGAAATCAATTTCAGCAACAAGGAGTAGAAAGAGTAGTAGAAGAAGAAGTAGAGGAAGAACAGGAGGAGGAGGAGGAGGAAGAAGAAGGGTCAGAATTGGAGGGAGAGGGAGGGAATGGATGTAGCACAGAGGAAATGAACTCAAGGTTTGATGAGTTGCTTAGGAAGATGAAGGTAAGGATGATGTCTGAATCCAAACAGCAGAAGCTGCTGCTGCAGAAGCTCATACCCTTTATCTAGTTACTGTAACCCAAATGTGTGTATTGAATTAGTTGGAAACAGATCTGGTTGTTTGATATGGATGTAGTGGAAAAAACTTTCAAGACTATGAACGGCATCATCATAAAGTGTTATTGGTGGGCATTTTCCAATTCGATATCAGACCTAAGTATATGTTTTTGATGAATCTGATTGTGGTCATTAGATTCAACAGGTTATAGTTTGATCAAGTTAATGTCCTAAATACTTAAGAAAAGTAAAGAAAAAACCGAACCAAATCAGAATTGAACTTCTAATCCTCATTTTCTCCTTGGTTGGATCCAAGCATATTAACAAGAAAGATCATTTCTCCAAATCAGAAATGAACTTAAGTGTTATTGGTTAAATGCAGAACATTACTGTTACTGGTTGGTGGAATGGGGCAGAGATGTAAGGTAAGATAGATCAATCTCAGGGATTCTTCTCCTTCCAATGGATTAGAAATTGGTTGCTGAGTTGTAACCTTCAGGGAGCTGGTCTAGTCTTTGCAGGGTTTTATTCATTACCAAATGCAACAGAGTTTCATTATAGCACAATAGTCATTGGTTCGGTTCAATCAGCATTACCATTGAAGCATCTAACCTTCGATTTCTTCCAAACAATTATTGCATAGTTTTTATCAGTATCAAATGCAAGAACAATGGTTTGAACAAAGATCACAATGATTGATTGATATGTACACTAGGAGAATGTTCCTTGGAGAAAACACAAACAAGCTATCCAAGGAACCATGAACCTACAGAGCATAATGGTTTTCATCAGGACGGCCTGCAACATAATCTAGGAGCCCTTCACCATTCCCCTGACCATGTTGCTGATGATTCGGACCGATATTCAGTCTCGAGACACCACCGAAGGCCATGATCAAGATCAGAAACACAGTTGTGGAAGCAAGGAGAGGCAGGAAGTATGCGAGGATCGTGAGGAGGCTCGGAGCTGCATACATCAGCAAGGAGAGGAAAAGGGAGGCGACGGCTGCAACTGCAAAATGGTACTTGTATTGCAGCAACAGCTTCTCTGAGATCTCCATGGCTGGATGGAAATGGTGGTGCTGTTTTTGCCTTTGATTGCAAGGACTAGCCATTGGGTGATGGGAATGTGGGGATGGAGAGGGAAAGAATGGCAAATTGGTGGTTTATAAGTGGAGAGGGGGGGGGAATATTGTGGTGTTTTACTTGTGAACATTTGCTCTGTTACTTTCCTTTGATTTGGTCTTTTCGTATGATGATTCTTAGTTGTCATAGGAGGATACATTTGGTTACAAAGAGACTTCAATCTTGAATTCTTTGTGCATGGGAATAGCATAATGGGTTCATGATAATAAATCGATGAAATACGGGCCTTTATTTTTTTGAGACAGTAAGTGGGCCTTTGAAACACCCCACTGGAAGTGGATTTAATATTTCTAAAATGGGGATGCTTAGGCCCAGGCCCAAGCCTAAGCCTGTCAAAGTTCTTGAATCAGCCCAAAATCATTCTGTTAGTTTGATGATCACTCTACAATGTTGTTCAACTTAGATGTGTATATACTATACTACTATAGAGAGATTGTTAGTTACTTCTAGTGGGTGAACTTATCTTGATGACCAAACATCACATAGCTTGAAATATCCTATTTGTTTTGTATATATACTTGAAAATAAAATTTTGTTATTTTATAGATGGGAGGATAAAGAAATCTTTGTAAGTAATAAATTAAAATTACAAACTCGGAAGTATAATGAATGCCGAGATAATTGATATAATTGAAATATAGAAGTTAAAAACTTTATAGTAGGCCGATTTTCAATCTCTTATACGGTGAGAAGCCTTATTTTTTTAGTTCATATACTACAATGACTTATTACCTCACGAAAGTTAAATGAAAATGAACAATCATCATAAACCAATTCACTTCATCTTGTTGGTATTCCAATGGATTTCATCATATTGTGCATATTTTCAATATATGAGGAACAATTATGCTTTGATATGTCATTAGGGATAATTAATTACATAAATTATATGTCATAATAGTAGCTAGAGATTGTTGTGGTCCAAGTAAATAATGAGTACTCTGCTGACTAAAGCTTTCTCACAAAACACAAGAAATCCTTTGAACCATCCAAATCCCCAATATAAATATGAGTCATGGCCCCAAAGTACAAGATTTAGTGGATATTGTTGACAAGAACATCACTCCTACTTCAATTGATAAAAATGTAATGAGGTTAACAATACATTAACCAAAGTTGGGGGTTTGACTATAAGTCCTCTATCAAATTGAATCCTAGTCCATTATGGTCATTGATGAATAAAGAAAGGGTTCAAGTTGTCGTCAACTCACATATCTATTTATGAGAGTAAGAACTCAGAACTGACAACCTCGTGTCACCAAATGAAATAAACCATAGAAAAGAATGTGAGTAAAAATCGAGAAAAATATTAGCTCTCCAAAACAATAAAGGACAATAAAGACATTATTGAAAGACAGTTGTTTTGGAGGACATTCTCTTTTTTAATAGTTTTTCGAGTCAGTTTCGTGTCTTTTTGTTCTACAGAAGTTCAACATAGTTGCTCATATAGTGAGAAAGCAAACTTTTTGATCGATAGTTCGGTTGCAGAGAAACTACCATATTTGGTGTCAGTCTTTGTAATGGTGTCTCCCTATTTTACTACGTCCTATGAACTTGCCTTGAAAAAGTAAAACAATAACGAGTAACTAGATAAAAATAATGACAAAAATGAAAGGATTGTGCTTCCATTGATTAAGAACAAATTCTAGTAAGTGACCCACCAAGAATGGCCTTCCAAGTGTTGCCAATTGTACCTTAACACAACAGGATTCTCTCAGCCAAAAGGCAATACTTGCTTTCATCACAAATATTAAGTAATGTAATTAAATTAAGGTTATAAACCAACCAAGTCATCTAGCTAAGCCTTTATAATATTATACCATAAATCACACATCAAAGCTAGCTTAAACCCACCCCACATCACCATCAAAACCCACATTGTCCATTGACAATTCAGACAGGCCATGATTGGGAAATAGATACTGTCATTAGTACAAACAGATTAAATTAAGCCCTAGTCCATCATTTTTCCAAGGTTGTTCATCAATTAATAATGGATCACCTTCCTTTTCTTTTGAAAAGATAAATGGTATATGAGTTTTTAGACCTGCAATAATATCTCGATATAACATAGACTACAGATCATCAGTAACTGAGGCATCAACGGAGATCGAATATCTCTTATTTACCTAAATAATTTATAACATGATTATGTTTCAAATAAAAACACAATCCACTTCTGGTAACTCGAGTTTTTTGCGAGATATCGGTGGCTTGGGGGATTCTTCCCTTTGTTCCTGATGAAAACACCAAGCAACAATTAATAATGTATTGCAAATCCAACATTTGGCATAGTTATCACACACAAAGCATCAATTTTTTGTACACTATTTGTTAAATTTTCACTCATCTACGCTTGCAAGCAAAGAAGATGATGGGATATGTGACAAAAATTCAGCTTGTGGATATCTCTGTCTTTCTCCCCCTTTGTTTTTTGGATTTTCTTTCTTTTAAGCCACTTTTGATTAGAAAGTCATTTTCACTATAGTGTCATATTATACCTCATTTCCTTAGTTTTGAGTTCAAAATGAAGACTTGTGTTGATAACCTGGGTTCCTCCAATGTACATAATTATATGGAGGAGGGAAAAGGAAGAGAAAGGAAGAAAGCATGGTTTAAGGAAGGTTTAGCGCTTAAGCAATTAGAATTACTCCAAGATAGGAGCTTTCTATGTGTTAAGTCAGATTGTGACCATCATTAGTTCTAGATAGGGTTTGATGTGGAAGCCTAAAAACTAGAGGTGGGAATCATCTATTGTCTCATGTGTCAAAAAACCAATCTCACATTGATTGAGATTGAAACAAAACACACAAGCTGGTTTAAGTGGTTGTATTGTTGAAAGTTCGACACACTAATTTCGAAATTTGCACAAACGGTTGTATATAATTATGTTTAAAACATCGATCTATTAATATTAGGAGACACTAGAATTCCTACACAAGAGACTTTAATAATGTATGCATTAAATCAGGACTATTGGTTCGATCATGACATATGATTCAATGCATACATACGGTCAGACATTCCCCTTACAGGTGGTATTCTCCATAGGGCAGGTGATCGAATTTGATATGGAAATCTCCTTGTTTAAAATTGATATCTTTAGTATTACATCATACATAACACACATAGTTGTGAAACAATATGCAACTTAGAAAATGTAAGTAGGAAGGAATGATGTCAACATGACTAAATAATTTGGTCCAATAAAATCAATCATACAGACACATACACTATGGAAGTAGTATTTTTTGTATATAATGCATGAAACCTGCAAGTTTGTTTGGTCAATGAGAGGAACTCAGACAGGTGGAGGATTCAGTAGCCTAAACTTGCCTCTTTATCTTCTTGTCTTCTCTGTTTAGGTTTCTGGTTTATTGGAGAATCAAATGGCACCTATAATCTCTACTCCCCCATCCACTAAGGAAAAGACAACAATTTACCAAATACATTAGAGATTATGACCAACAATTCATTTTCTTTTTTCTCACCAACTTTTATTCCCTTCATTTTCTGCCATCGTCTTACTTTTCCTATTGTCATTTTTAGTGAGGGAGTTCTTTACTTTCATAATTTCATTTGTGGGTATTTGAGAATAAAATTTATTATTATTATTGTACGTTTATTTGAGCAACCCACCAACCAATACTCTTACCAAATACTCTTCAAATACTATTGCATGCATATTGCTCCCTACCTCCAAGATATACTTTTCAATGGATTAGGTGCAAAAGATGATCCTTCATTTCTTCCTTGAAGTCAAGGTGTTCAACTCATCACCATTCACAACCATTTAAAGAACAAGACATATTTCCCCAAAAGAAAGCAATTTTTTTCCCCTTAATGTTCTTTTGTTAATCTTTACTTGAAATGTTCAAAGAAAAATATTAGTGTCCCTAAGGACATACACTAGTTATCAGCAATAGTTTGTAGACAAGTGGTCGTTAAACAACAACAACAAAAAATTATCTAATACTTCTATATCCACAATGCAAGGAATATACGCACAAGTGAAGTTATCGTATGATCTTTTATTATAAAGTATAACTATGTTTTTTTTTGAACCATGGATCTCTCACGTGTTTTGTCGATGTGGGATTTGCCTAAGATGTCACAAAAACTATATGTTTTTTTTGAATTGTATTAAAAAAGAATGAAAAGAGGAATGGAAAAAAAAAAAAAACAAAAGAAGCCTGTATATTGTATTGATTATGTTATCAAGATGATTTAATTTATAATATCTCGGTTTAAATTTTGAAAAGAAGGTGAGATTTTCTTGGCAAAATTGATTATTTTTCAAGAAGACAGTTATATAACTCAAAGGAGAGCTTATAAAAAAAAAAAAAAAAAAAACTCAAAGGAGGAGAGAGAGAGCAGGCAAAGGCCGGCTAGTGTGAACAATCCTGCACAGAAATACTTGAACACATTGCTTTGCTTCCCTGCCTGAGCCTGAGGAAGCTCCAGGTCAATTCAATCCAATCTACAACAGTCCCTTTTTTTGTGGCACTCTTTAAGGTCAATTCACTTTAAGGGATTGCACCATTTGGACTGTTGCTTTCCTGCTCTTTATATATGATCAACACCTTGCCATCTAATCCAAACAAAACCCCCACCAGCTCTCAAAGAGAGAGACTTCTTCTACCTGCAGGCTTGCCTTTGGAACTTGGTCCTTCTGCATTTCTACAATTTCATTTCAGAAGGGCATATACTTCTTGAACTGCCTTTTGTTATTTTGTTCAGAACTTGTGTTTGTTAGAAGTGAAAACAGAAATGATGGGTTTTGAAGAACAGCTTGTTGGAGTTGGAGTTGGATTGGAAGAGTTCACCTTTCCTCACTCCGACCCTCTTGTTTTGGAACTCAACCGTCTGCAGAATCTACTCAAAGGTTTTGGCTTTACTTTTCCTGTGTTCCTTTTGGTGCATCATGTCTTCATAACCGGATTGTCAAAGTCTCGAGCTTTAATCCATTGCTCAAAAACTTGAAGAGTCATTGCTGTGGTGTTTATCATGCAGAGAAAGATAGAGAGCTGGGGGTTACTCATGGAGAAATCAAAGGTTTGAGAACTGCTGATGCTTTGAAGGACAAGGCCATAGAAGAGGTAAGTAGGCTAAAAGAAAAGGACAAAATTTTCCCTTTTCCCCGTCTTATCTTTGTTCTATCAGAGAACTCCAGTGTTTGATCATGTCAATGGTAATCTTAGTTCATTTCCTTACCAGCTGAGGATTCAGATGACCAGACTAGATGAGAAGCTACGTGCCTCGGAGAATCTAATCGAGAACAAGGTTTGGTTCCATATCATTCTTGTCAAGTATCATTGGATTGTTTAAGATGATCGAATGTTTGCTAGAATTCCATGGTTGCTTAATTTCTTCAGAACCTCGAAATCAAGAAGCTAGTGGACGAAAAGAAAGAGGCTTTATCGGCACAGCATGCAGCAGAAGCAACTCTCAGAAGGGTTCATGCGAATCTCAAGGATGATGATTCTCCTCCCATCCAATCTCTTCTCGCTCCCCTGGAGGCGGAGATCAAGATGTACAAGAACGAGGTAATGAACACAGTTGCAGAAATAACAACAGTTTTAGTTTCAGGGAATCGTAGTAAAGATTGAATATTTCCTGGAATTTCTTCCAGATTGCAGCATTGCAGGAAGACAAGAAGGCGATGGAACGTTTGACCAAGTCGAAAGAATCAGCTCTACTTGAAGCTGAGACAATCCTGAAGAGTGCACTGGAGAGGGTTTTGATAGTTGAGGAAGTTCAGAACCAAAACTATGAACTGAGAAGACAGATTGAGATTTGTCAGGAAGAGAACAGGATTCTCGAGAAAACGAATCGACAGAAAGTTGTGGAAGTTGAGAAGCTTAGTCAGACCATTGGAGAGCTTGAAGAGAGTGTTCTAGCAAGTGGAGAAGCTGCAAATGCTGTTAGAGATTATAAGAGACAGATCACTGAACTGAATGTGAGCTTTTCTCTGACCAGGGAGTTGTAAGTTTGTAACTATGATTTTCTTGGAATGGAAATGGTTACTTTGAGCTTTGGGTTGTTTCAGGAGGAGAAGAAGACGCTGGAGAGGGAGCTGGCCAGAGCTAAAGTGTCTGCGAATCGGGTGGCGACAGTTGCGGCGAATGAATGGAAGGATGAGAATGATAGGGTAATGCCTGTCAAGCAATGGCTTGAAGAGAGAAGGCTGGTGCAGGTAGATTCTGTAAAAGATTAGAGGTGGCTAACTGGTTCGGTTTAGTTAATCGAACCAAAACCCAGTAAGGAGTCCATAGCTGAACCATTAACTAAAACCAGTAATGGATCAAACTGCTAATCTAAACCTGGTTAGCCCATAACTGATACCGGTTAGCCACCTATGATGTTCTTGTTCGTTGCAAAATCGCTTTAGAAACTGAAGTTGCAGGTCTTTCAGCTAATTACTGGCCATTTTATACACAACAGGCAGAGATACAAAGACTGAGGGACAAGCTTATAGTTTCAGAGAGAACAGCCAAGGCTGAAGCACAACTTAAGGTCAAAGTTCTATAGATTCAGTTTTGAATGTCAATTTCTTCAATAATTCTGAATTTTCTGACACTCTTACAATATTCTGAACTCCAGGAAAAGCTCAAGTTGAGGCTGAAGACACTGGAAGAAGGGTTAAAGCATGCTTCCAGCATCGCAGCCAACTCTAATAAGTTCCGTGAGTCCCCTAAACGAGAAAAACATGGCAGCAGCATCTTGGGGTTCTTAGCAAGCAATGCAGGGCTAAGGAAGAGATCTGCATCACAGCCAAGGGCTTCCATGGTTGCTGGTAGAGGGTTACTCCTGCAGCAAGCAAACATGGAAACTGAGAGGAAAGATTCGAGGAAGCAAGGCTCCAGCGAAAGCATGGGGAGGAAGAGTTTGTGGGCATCTAGAAGTAGGGTTGTAGATAGCACTGGAAAGGAAAATGCAGAAGGGAGAGCAAATGCAGATCCTAATGCTGATAAGAACGTGAAGGATATTGAAAATGCAGAAGCAGCTAATGAGGCACTACAAGAGAAGGAAAGCAAGAGTCCTAGAGCTGAAGATTCGGTTTCCGGGTTCTTGTATGATAAACTGCAGAAAGAGGTGATAAATTTAAGGAGAGCTTGTGAGGCTAAGGACAACAGTTTGATTGAGAAAGATCAACAGACACAGGTTTAGTAAAAACCATCACTTCCTCTCTCTCTCTTCTTTCCCTGAAAGCAAACATGAAACCCTGTGATTGATGAGGTTCTTACTTGTACGCAGATGCTGATGAGGAAAGTTGATACCTTGACAAGATCCATCGAAGTGGAGTCCAAGAAGCTGAAGAGAGAAGCAGCAGCAAGAGAAAAGGAAACTGGATCATCGAAGTTGGAACATAGCAGAAAGACAACTGCATCTCCAAACCCATACAGAAGGTATTGTCATTCAAACTACCCATGCAAAGATTCAGGAAATTTAACAACCCGTTTTATGAATTCAACTAAGGCTTATTGCGTTCTGACAATTTGGTCTGAAGCAGGTGATGCGAGGTTCTGCAGGCACGGGATAAAGTAGAAAGTGCAGCAGAAATGAGTTCAAAAACTACACTACAAGTTCCTTCTGATTCTTGAATGTAAATATGAAGCTGATCTCTCCTGATTCTTAGCTGGATTTTCAGTATGGTTTGGTTTTCAGTTTGTGTACATTCAATAAATGAGACAGAAAGAGAAAAGCTGAAATATTGAGGAATGTGTAAACAAAGGTAGAGTTCATAGTTCCAACACTAAGGAAAGCTGTTGACATATGTACACATATGCATAATAAGTTTGCTTGCAACACATCTGTTCTAATGAGGTTCAATTGTCATAGTATAATCTTTTGTATTGAACTAAAGTTCTGCTTCAACAGACCAACAATTCTACACTTCTACTAATCAAGCTAAAACCATGTCAAAGTTCAAGAACTCTTCTTTGACCAAAAAAAGGGGGGGGGGGGGGGGGGGGGGGGGGGGGGGGGGGGGGGGGGGGGGGGGGGGGGGGGGGGGGGGGGGGGGGGGGGGCAAAAGAAGAAAAGGTTTGGAGCATTGTGAAAAAATTGCTCTGTAAACATATACACATCCCATATAGATTTGCTTTCAAAATACAGCTGATGAAGCAGTCATTATGTTAACTCTACCCATCTCAAAATATCTTCACCTCCGGGATGGTGGCTAAAGACGGCTGCCATTTCCTGCTATTGCATTCCTTATGACTCTGGGAGACTCTTATTCTGATCCCCTTGTTCTTCAATTCCTTAGCATTCTTAAGAAGCAGCTCCAGCTGTTGCCTTGTCAAAACTATCTTAACTTTACCCTGCTCCAGCTTTGCATCCTTGGTCAGCAAACGGGCATACTGGTGGTCGGCCACCTTGGAGCTTCGACAAACACCATGACAGATCTTCTTAACCGGCATTCGAATACTACTGGAATCTATGTCTTCTTTGTTGGAGATGAGAGTTTCACTCTTTTCTTCTTCTGAACAGCACAGGACATTCATGCAATTTCCCATGGTAGTAGAATGAAATGAATGATTGCTTTGTGTTTCAGTGATGATTGTGTTTCAGAAAGACTTGACAACACAACATTATAAGGGATGAAGAGGGTTGACTTGATTTCACGTTGGTGAACAACTTGACGTGCTACCCATGACCAAGTTTATTGTTTATTAGTTGTTAAATGTTTTGGAACCCCATTTTAGAGACATAAAGTCAAGAAGGTCTGTGCCACTCCCACGTTCCTAAGCATAATTTCTCCCAAATAAAAAAGGGTTTTACTTTCAAACTCGGAAAGCCTTTTCTAATGCCTTCACCAACAAATAAGTCAATGAAAAAGCCTTCTTTCAATAATGTAAGGAACAACTAAGAGACAACCATACAAAATGGAGTAGTCATGGAATCCACAAAACTGTTATGGCATCTCCAATTCCTTAGGATGTCAACTGGGTCATCATCATAGCAAACTCCAATTATAATCTGTATATATATAAATGCCGTCTCTATAAAGGTACAAAAAGGAGAAAAAGAGCTCTACCTAGAAAGGTAAGGTAATCATGAACATACCAGTCGGGAATCATAGCAACCGAGTTAGCTTTAGTGACGAATGCTAATGCCTAGACAGCAGCTACCACTTCAGCTTCTTTTCTGGCTTCCAACCAAGCTTCAGCAGCAACCTTGGTTGTTAAAAACCAACCAACTTTATCAGGAGCTTCATGAAACGGAGCATTCAGCTCCTTCAAGTGAGACTCAAACACACTAGCTAACCCCTTGTCTGAGTACTTGTGCTTCCCATGCCCAGTATTTATTCCTAGTACTGGCGGTAGCACTTCTCCAGATTCCACTGCTTTGGTCAAGTCGTTTATCCAAACATGTAGTGCAGTTAGAGCTGCCCCAAGTGATAGACTCTTCAAGTATAGGGACCACTGAGTTGGGGACTTCGACTGTATGTCTGTATAGATGTCCAGTGTTAGTCCTAAGTCCAGCAACTCGCAAGCTCTCTCCAACGAGTTGAGATTCACACAGAGATCAATTAGGCAGTTGCAGTAAGCCTTTTTCACATCAGCAGCAACCGAGGTAAAAAGCTCAGCTGCTTGCTCCTTGAAGTTACCCTCATGGTTATCTTGTACCAGAAGTTTGACCACAGAACCAAGCTTGGGGTTACCCTTCTCGACACATTGAACAAGCTTACCGAGCTCTTCCACTGGAGTTTGAGTAACCACATTCAGAAGGCACCCACAGAACCTGTCGTCTGGAGTAATTCCTAACTCGAGGAGACGGTTAAAGGTCTTGACGACATCATCACTTTGCTGAGCTTTACCATAGCACTGGATCATTGAGGTTAGAACAAAAAGATTAGGCTCGAAACCAGCTTCCACCATTGCATTCAAAGCATTCTCTGCCTCAGACACTCTGCCACTGCATGAGAATATGGTGATTAAAGATGAGAATGTCCAACTATCGGGCTCCACTTTACAGCTCTTCATGTCCTCGAAAATCCTGGAAGCTTCATCGACATAACCAAGATCAGCACACATTGACAATAAAGTATTGTAGAGAACTACATTCAACTCCATGGATTTCTCCTTCATCTCTCTGTACACGACGAGAGCATCCTCTCCATATCGAGCTCTACCATAAGCACGCAGGAGAGCTGCATAGGTCGCAAATGTTGGGGTAAGTCCAGAATCGATCATCTCCTTGTAGATTATCTTGGCCTTCCAAGGTCTCTTGGCTCTACCCATGGCATCCAGCAAAGTATTCAAGGTAACCACGTTTGGTTTAACGCCAAGAGCCTTCATTTCCTCGTAAACATTCAAGCATCCATCATAGTTCCCGGAAATACCATAAATCTTGATCAATGTTGAAAATGTCACAGCATCAAGTCTCCACTTCTCTGCTCGAGCACGATCATACAAGTTCAAAGCTTTTTCCACATTGCCAGCTCGGCCATAAGCATCAATCATTGTGGAATAAGTAACATCATCCGGTGTAATACCGAAGCTCGACATCTTCTCAAACCACTCCACTGCCTTCTCAGGCAAATTACACATCCTTGCACAGCTAATCACTGTCGAAAACGTGACATTATCCGGCTTCACCCCTCTCTGAAGCATTTCATCAAACAGTTCCTCGGCTTCACTCATCTTCCTACACTTCCTCAACACCTTCATCGTCACATTATACATAACCTCCTCCCGGTTGAACTTCAGCTTATCCCTAAAATACCTCATCGCAAGCAAAGCCGCTGCAGGGTTCGTCATGTTATTGACCACAACCACCGCATCCTGCTCCAACAAATTATGTCCTAGCCCATTCAAAACTCTCGAAACTTCCTCCACGCTCGCCTCGCACGAATTCAAATCCTCGGAGGCTTTAACGAGAGAAGAATACCTAGCATCGTATGACTTTCTGCGGAGCTCGGAAGCTTTGGCGCTTCTGGGATTCACCCAGACGTAGGATTTTGACGAAGTCCCAGCTTCTTTTCCAATTGGGTCCCTGACATTTTCCTCCTCCTTTGCGGATTGCTGCGGGACAGAGTCGCGTAGAGAGACATGGGTGGTGGTGAGCTGCAGGAGCGAAGAAGGCTTCAATTGAGGCGGGAAAGTTGGAAGCTTTGTGAAATAATAGGTTGAGGGCTTTGTTTTAGGGTCTCGGGACGGAGAAGAGAGCGAATTCCAGAGCGGTTGATAGAGAGAAGAAGCCGAAGCGCAGAGATTATACGCCATTTCTGCTGCTGCTCTGTTTTCTCAGAGCTTTAGAGAGGAAGCGAACTAGAGAAGTATCTTATCAACTGAACTGAAATGGAAGAGATAGGGAAAATATTGAATTTAGTCATTGATCTTTCACTGGATGACAAACAAATCCCTTTACTGCGGAATGGGCCACCGTGAGCCCAAAATAATCAGGTGGACCGACCGGCCCAGAAGCATGCCCAAAGAGCTTCCGGATTGTCTGAGCAAAAGCACCGCCAATCGCCGTCGCAAATCTCTTCCCCATTCACTTTTCCCCGCTTCAATTTTCCAGTTGCTGCCGCGGGAACAACCGGAATTAATTTCTTCGACGGCGAAATCATCGCCTCCGTTGACGCTGCAAGCAATTGGTTCCGTATTCCGAAGGTAATTTTTCACAGAATCGATGGATCTTCTTCTTTATAGCTTTGGATTTGGATTGTTCTTTCTGCTGTTTTAATTGCCGCCTTTCTCAAATTTCTTGCCCATCCGAATGAAATTTTTTGTGATTAAGCTGATAAGTTGAAATCTTTTTGTTGTGGGGTTGTTGATAATCACAGTGGGAATGAGTAAGTATGGTTTAAACCTGCGGGTACCCAAGTCGCAGCAGAATAAGAAGCCACCGAGGCCGCCGCCTCCCAAGGTCCTGGGGTTTGGGGACGATGAAGATGACAATGTGGAGCAAGAGATTTTGCGGCAAGCTAGCAAGAACAAGTCTCTTAAAGACGTAAGCTTGGGGAGAAAACTTCACATTAATAATGTTGTTCATTGATGTCTTCATAGTTCTGTGTCCGCTTACTTCAGTCTTTTTGTTTTTGAAGGTTGAGGAGCAACATAAGAAAGCGTTGGAGGAGGACCCGTCGGCGTTTGATTATGATGGAGTTTACGATGAGATGAAGCAAGCAGTTGTTCGGCCACGGATTGAAGATAAGCAACAGAGAAAGGTACATACATCTCTTCAATTGTAGACCTCTGCTCAAGTAGTAATCATAGTTTAGAGTTCCAACCTTAAAGAGTGTTGGTGCTTTGGCAAAAAATTTCCTCTTGTCTATGTATCAGAATTTTCTCCACATTGCTTCATTCCAGTAAGAACTCATTTCTGGGTTCAGTGAATGTGGAAGATTAGCTTCAGATGTTAGCAATTTAGGATTGAGCTACAGATTTCTGATGCAATTGATGAGTGTTCTTTCTTTGCTAATTTGTCATTTTCCAGTCCTTATTGATTTCCTTGCATTGATAGAGGATGATGATAATGCATCATGAAGATCGGAATACGTATCAGAAGTAGGCAGTAGCTGCTCCTTTAGTAACTTGAATGAGGCTTGTATAAGATCTTGTTATATCTATGTTTCTAACTGCATGTTTATCCTTATGACCGTGCTTGTGCTCAAGTATTAACTCTTTGTTTAGATTTTTGGCTCTTGCCTTGGTCTAATATCTTCAGAAGATAGGAAACCAGGCGAAAATATTGTTTATTTGCAGGATGAAACTGATTATGGTGTTTCTTTTTGCAGCCCAAGTACATCGAGGCTCTGATTCAGAAAGCAAAACAGAGGGAACGTCAACAGGAGGTAGTGTTCGAGCGAAAGATTGCCAAAGAAAGAAGCCAAGACGACCATCTTTATGCCGACAAGGACAAATTTGTTACGAATGCCTACAAGAGGAAACTCGCTGAGCGCGAGCAGTGGTTGAAAGAAGAAAAACTCCGTGAACTCAAAGAGCAGAAGGACGACGTGAGTGCAACTTATTTTTCTTTGCTTACTGATTCTTTTATAAAAAAACTCTTATCTATTCTCTTTTGAATATGGCGGCGAAAATAATTGCCATGAATGATCGATGTTTTTGCCTTACTATGGGTGACTAAATTACTGTTTTTCCTTTGAAAGGTTACCAAGAAGAGCGATTTGACCGACTTTTACTTCAACCTCACCAAGAACGTTGCATTCGGTGGTCAAGACGCAGAGACGATACGGCAAGAGAAGCGGGCTGCTGAAGCCAAGAAGGCGGAGGAGGAGAAGCAAGATGTCGGGGAATCCTCAGCAGGAGGAGTAGGAGGATCAAAGGCAACCCCCTCATCGCTACCGGAGTCTGAGAAGCCATTGGATCAATCACCGGACCGTGATTCTCAAACACATCTCGAACCTACAGATCTCAAGCCAGCAGCTGATAAACCGGTCTCCGATGCTTCTTCATCAGTACCCGCAGAAGAAGTTACCACAGAGGAGCAACCACCGCTGGCTAAGCAAGCTACAGCTGACCATTATAAGAGAAAGCAAGATGAGATCAATGCAGCGAGAGAACGTTTGTTGGCCAGAAAGAGAGCAAAACTGCAGCAGCAGCTACTGTAGGGTGGTGGTAAGGACTAACTAGTCCTGTGCATCAAGGCGGGTGACTTTTGCTGTGAAATTGTGGGAAGTGAATTCTTGACCTGAAATTTTGTCACTGTAACTGCTTACTGATTGTTACGAGGTCTTGCCCTCATGTGTCTTTGAGCTGTTTGAAAGCATTTTGATAAGAAACTCAAACCAAAGCCATGAGGTCTGCACCTTACCGTGTGATGGATGTTGTTAACCATTGACAGAATCTATGGTTAGCTATCTTCTTCACCAGAGTCTTTGTGTTTAGAACCATAGTATTTTTCACTGATTTTCTTTTTCATACAATGCAGCCAAAATTGACAGATCATGCAGCTAGTGCTATGGCTTTTGGCAGCAGTCATTTGCCCTTCTTTACTACATGTTTGCAGACAGAGTTCATTCAAAGGGGGAAGAACAGTAAACAACTAAACTTTAGATCCTTATCCTGCCTCGAGATTGAAAGGAAATGACATCAATTTTCCTCTTACTATTGTGTTTCTGGAAACAATGAACGTTTACTTACATGTCACGAACTAGTTCGTTCAAATAATTCGAATTAGTGAAAGAAGTACAAACATTGGATTATCACATTTAAAGCAAAATAACACAAAAGAATTATAATAATTTAATTGCCCGAGATTCCATTGCCTATGTAAAGAACAATAATTAATTACTTCGGTCCTCATCATTTGCTTAAAGATGAGGGAGAGATAGGAGGATAGTAGTTGGGGGGAATATGGCAATTTCAAGTGGAGTACAGATTTAAAGAGAAGCTTATAGAAGATCCATTTAGGACAAAGAGATAAAAGGCATTTGGCCAAAATTGATGATGGTATTGTGATTAAGCAGTGAACATTTAAAATCATGATTTCATGAAACAAAGCAACAAACTATTAAGACTCTAGAAAAGTATATGGAAATGATACCCAAATCATGAATGTACAAAATTTGGGAGATGTATTTCAGTTGTGTTTTTTCAATTATATATTTTCGCAATTGAGGATAAATCATGATTCTTTATTCAAGAATAATGATAGGAGATTTAAAAATACACGATCTGATCATTATTCTTTATAGATGAATTTCTTCATTGATGTACATATGACTTGCACTATGAATTTTCTATCCAAAATCAATATCTTTATCATTGAGCGACATAATTTCATACACAAAAATACCAGTATCCATATTTTTACCACCAAAACAAGAATCAATCATCCAAACCATTCTAAAATTCTTTCCAACCCCATAATCAATTCGGTTGGTGCTGTAGATTAGCATTTTCTTTCTCCACCCAAAAAGTCTTACAGGTCCATCAAAACTCTACCACCTTAGCCCTTTACGTGTTTGTTTTTTTGACCATTTTCAACCGAAACATTTCATCATGGTGCTAATTAAAGGTCAAACGATCTTGTGAAGTGTCAATGAAGCCACCAATGAGAAAGCAAAACGAAACAAGACTTATATTATATACCATCATTCCTCCCTCGTCGATCTTAACTAATTACTTGGTTGAATCTAGGCATCTAGCTAGTTGGTGATTTCAGCACCAACAAATTATACTCCTCCGATCCATTATCTATTTTCCATAATTTACCTTACATTATTACAAATATTCACAATACAAAAATCGATTATTATGCATAAGACATCGAGTTTATTTTTACAACAAGGGATCACAATTAGGAATGGCAATGGGCAGGTTCGGGGTGGGTATCCTGATACTCATATTCTTCTCGTGGGTAGTGACAGGTCAGTAATTAGCACATGTCGTCAATTGGGGCAGGTCGACTCATATGTGTATGTAATTTAAAAGGAAAACATTGTAAACATTTCATTTTTTTCATATAAAAGAAACTCAGAGAACAAACTATAGTATGATAAATATAATTCAATTATTCTAGAAATTGAGGTTCTTAAATATGTAATATAGCTAAAATATGAGGTAACAAAGGTAAAATTCTAAGTAATTTGAGTAAAATTACATGTAGCTTAAGAAAAAACGGATCGAGATTAGAAATTGAGACGGATCAGGACATGTCAAATCAAGAAAAGCACACATGTCGTCGTACCAAACAAAACCAAACAGGTCGGTAAAACGAATCACGTAAAAATCATTATAACTAATCAACCACATATCTCTCAAGCTACATGATTGGAGCTAACATTGCCGACACCAAATAATTCAGCCAACACAATAAGAAAGACGTGTAAAACAAAAGAGTGCTAATTAAATAACAACTAACCTGTCTTTGGACAAATGTGACATCACATTTGTACAAAATTAGAAAAAAGGTCCATCACACTAAACTGGAAATAACAGGACGACCTTGAATTGGTTTAGGTGGATCATGCATGGATGGGCTCTCATCAACGAAAGTGATGTGGATTCATAATTCACAACAAATTGTAAGGTTCGTCTATGTCATTTTCGTTATGCAACTTAATTATTTTCCCTTTACATATATGATGTGAAGAAACGATATAATCAATACTTTTAATTATTTTCAAGTAGATGAATTTGGTGCCTGAAAAAGAAGTTAGTAAAGAATTTGCTTTAGCTATACCTACGAAAGTTTTGGTTAATGTATGCTTGGAGAAAACTGCTTATTTTGCTTAATCATCAGTCTAGTTTTGTTTGGTGGTTATGTATAATATACCTAATTACCCCAAATATATTTTCCCCATAGACAAGGTTAACCAAACATCTCAAATTTATTCATCTTCATCATCAAATTAGGTATTTTACTCTATCTACAAGGTTAGCCTAACCTATGTACCACTCTGTGTATATAGATTAGGTCACACAAACATCACTAGGTGGTTTGTTTTCATGGTGCATGCTACCTAGTAAGAGATCAAACCGGAACTAAGTTGATATCAAGTTCTTGTCACATCGATGTTTAATTTAATTGTGATTTTCATAAGAATTTCACATTCAATTTTGAATATTTCTTGTTATATTGTCTTCTGAGTATAATATGAGATATTGGGTTAATTAATTGATGAATTCTGCAGTTTCCATTATTTCTGGTGATGTAGTTCTGCAACATTTTACTTCTTGGCTATTTGACTAAGAATTGAACAATAAAATTTGATGCGAATCCGTATGAGTTGGATTCGAGGTTTAATGGAAAAAGACAGTAGTCGACTTACATTACATTTTATCAAAAGACAATCTAAAACAACCTATCTTTTTCAGACTTTTGACATAAAAACAAAATGTATTTAAATTTTGATGATCCAACTACACATGGCTAGAAGTAGAACCCTTTAAAAAAATGGTTCAAATCTTTGCCCACTCCTGACCAAATTAGTGCTATTTATTGTAGATTTTGAAGGTTCATGGATCTCTTTCAACCTAATGATACTATTGTTGTCTAACCTACATATCCACACAGCCACATATATATATCAATGTAGATGAGTAATTGGTTACACCACATACCACCACAAAAGAAAGAAACCTCCAACAACAACAAAAATGCTAAAAAGTAAATTAAGATGAACCAATAGCCAATCAATTTTTATAAAAGTACCCTTTTTATTTCCAAAATCCATTTCATTAAAATTTGTCAACCTCTTATTCTCATTTTTCCTAAGTATTAAACAACAACTAATTCCCCCAAACCCGAAATATTTCTCCATCTTTTGTCACCAATTCTCTTTATATATCTCTACAGTCTACATATATATTTTTCCCCAGAAACATAAAATTGAAAAAAAGAAAAAAGGAGGGATCGAGAAAGAGCGAAAATCGAACGAAGTCCCACTGCCATCCCATGTGCGCACCCAATCATGCCACGTGGCTGACGAGCGCGCGCACAGCCACCCAAAACGCCGCCGTCCCCGGCACCGTCCTCGCCACCGACGGTCTCTGTTTAGTCTTTACATGACGACGCAGCCCGACGGATTGTCGTCGCTAAAGCACTCCCCTCTGCTGGCGTAGTACCCTCCTCCCCTGTACCCGCCGCCGCCGCCCCAGCTGTCGTACACCGGCCGGCCGTACCCCTCGTAGCACGGCGGCATGCTGTAGCACGACCCGTACCCTTCGTAGCACTCCCTGCAGCAGTAACGCATTGGGTTCGCCGTCGGCGTCGGCATACCGATCGGAATCTGGTCGGTCTGCGGCGGAGGGGCCGGTTTCGGCTGCGGAGCTGGTTGAGGCTGTTTGGGTTTCTCCGGCTCGACGAAAGCCACCGTCTTGGGAGGCTTATCATTGCTATCCTTGGGCTTCTCAGGCGCCGGAGCTGGCTTCGCCGCCGGTGGAGGCCCCGCCGGCTTCTCCTTGGGTTTCTCTGCCTCCTTGGGCTTCTCCTTGGGTTTTTCCGGCTCTTTTGGCTTCGGCGGCGGGGGTTTGACGATCTCGATTCCCTTCACCGACTCGCCGCCTTTGCAGGCAATCTTGTCCATCACTTTCTCCGGGCTGCAGCACAGCACCGAGATAATCACCAGGTTGGCCTTATCGTCGTACACTTGATTCTGAATCTCTATTCGTCAGCAAAAAGAAAATTCCGGGAAATCGAATTAATGACGATCTTCGTAAAAAAAAACACTCAATTAAGAAGAGATCAAAATTGGAAACAATCAATCAAATCTTACGAGGGATCCTGCAGAGGACTTTCTTGATCTTCTTGCGGCACTTGTTGCAGTCCAGATCGACCTTGATCACCATTGTCGTCAGCTGCAGGAGCAACAAGAAAAGCCCATTAGCCAAAACAGGGGAGAAAGCAGAGTACGATGGAGAGGCAGAGACGGGTTTTCTTACACACCTTTTGTTCTCCTCCCATGGCTGCCGGAGGGGAAAGGGAGTTGGGATTGAAGAGATAGGAAGAAGGAAGAGAGAGAGAGTTAAAGGAAGGCACTTGAAATGCTGTGAGTCAGGATTTGTTGGAGGATCTCATTCATAGTGGGGAAAATGGTTAGGGAAGGAGTATATATATGTACTAGCAAACCAATGTATGGTGACGCCTACTTGGTTTGTACTATTGTATGATTGAAGGAGGTTGAGCCGTAGTTCTCCATGGTTAGAATGATTCATGGTATATTTTTCAGTATAAGAAAATGTAGCAGGATCTGCAGAATATTGACTATGGTAGGTGAATTTTGGAGTGTTAAAATAACATGTGTGATGGGATGATACTATATAGAAAATCAATATGATAGATGAGTAATTATTCTTACAAGTTGCATCTAAACTTTGTATTTGGACTTGAGTGTAATGAATGTTGTCATTTCACATGTTTGTTATAAACCAACTGGTTTCAATAACTCGGGTTGTTGAGAGAGGCCCATGCATGAATCTTAACCACTTCCTTACACGCCCCCTCAAACGAAAGCCAATGCATGGACTTAACTTTGCTTAGACCCGTCATATCATGTGCTTGAAGACAACGATTATTATTAGAAGTCGTGAGAACTTGAACACGTGACCTCAATAACAAACCAGCTCCGATACCATATCATAAACTAACTGATCCCAATAACTCAAGTGATTGGGCGGGTCATATATAAAAATCTTATCCACATTATTACAAGTTGCAAGTCAATCCAAATGAACTCCATTGGCCTAGCATTTGATCTTTGATAAGCAAACAGTAGTTGACAAGTGTAAATGCGTAGCTCTGAAATCCATGCAATTGAATGGGAACTCACTCGAGTCGAGAGTTGGTTGAAAGAGCCTCTTAAGTTGTAACAACTTGTCCTTACATGGGGGAGGCCTTTCTTTTCTTTTATGGTTGCCGACTGCCGACGCTTGTTTTCCCCATTCCCATGTGCCTTCTTCTTCTTCTTCTTCTTCTTCTTCTTCTTCTTCTTAAGGAAACAGGGGAAGAACGCCTTCGAATTGATCAATTAATTAAGCTTATCATGTGATGAAATCAATACGTATAAAATGTAACGTGCTTGTTGGGAAAATACATGTAGAGTACGTACATTGCTTTGAATAAACTTGGACGTACGTATGCAGTAGACTTGAGATGGGATGTGGCAATTAGACAAAACGATTAGACAAGCCAACCACACACTTGTCTTCATTTCCCTAGTTCTGCCACTCGTGACTCAGCCATGTATCTTTTGTCAACTTGGAATAACTACAATACCAATTCCATTATTAGTTAACGGCAATTTGTTTGCCCTATCGACTTATGAACTAGCTAGTGAAAATATAGTGTAGAGGTTGAAGTTAGTAGAAGAAAGTTGTTTTATGCTCAAGAAGTTAACACACAACCATCGTTTTCCGACGAGACAAGTTGTAATCTCAAGAAAAGTAAAGAAAAGCAAGAGGGTGAAAGTCACCGCTCTGATACCATGTCGTTTTAGTGAAGTAGTGAAGCCTTCAGGCAGAATTTTATTAATCACAAGAAAAGTTACAATATTCTTTACATCTCCATCTATATATACTAAATACTAATTACCTATACAGTACTTATAAAATATACAATTTACAATTAACCTTATGAACTAATTAAATCTACATCTAGGTCCTCGTCATTTCCTCCTTGGACAACTTCTCTTGTGGTTATGGAGGTGTAATGATGAACATTCAAGTCTCCATCAGGCACGAGATGAAGATTGGGGAAGGAGAAGAGAGAAAGCTTTAGAGCAATCAAAACCATGATAATAGAGAGGTTTTGATAGTGTGAGAGAGAGAAAAGGTCTCTTATCCCTTTCAATTTGGCTTGAATGAGGAATGAGGTGGTGCACATAACAATAACACAAATGGTTAACATACATTATTTCGTCATGTGTGGATTGTATTAGGAGAGAACAAACTAACTGAAACTCGATTCATTCGAGTCATTCGATCGATTATAGTTCATCTGAATACTAGCTATGTGGTTAGAAACAAATTTCACAATTAGATGAGGATGATGATTTGTCTGATCAATTCTTGTAGGTTAATTGAGCACAAAAAACTTCAAAGTTTTTATTCATTCACCATCAAATTCAAGCATTCATCTACTACTAATATATACCCAAAAGAAAAATGCGAAAGAAAGGACGAAAATTAGCTCACCAAAGGGCTGGTACTTTCAAAATATGTGGGCTCTCCAGAAAGTCCCAATAAACTTTTTTGAAGGTAAGCAACTCAAGCAACCAACCAACCTAGCTATGATTATTATTAGTATTTGTTTATTTTTAAGCCTCGTTAAGGTGAGGTCTAAGATAAGGTGGAAGCCACCTCATGTTCATGAATTGCCACATGGGTTTCCTTCAAAATTTCAGGCCATTCAAAGATGTTTGTGAATCTCAATGATCAAAATGGAATATATTAAAACTTGATCACAAATTTGAAAAAATTTGACAACCAAAGCAAAATTGGATTCTATTTTAGAGAGTTTTGGAATATGGGGACTGAATGCACCATTATAAATTCCCCAAAAAATTATATAAGGACTAAAAGTATATTCCTCAATTTATTTAGAACCTAACAGAAATGAATAATTGGGGCAGCCACATGATGATGTACCAAATGCTCTGTTTTCACACCACCATATATCAAGGAACACAACAAAGCAACCACACTAATCAATTATCAGGGGAATATACGTAAATTAAGTGTTTCTTTTATTCATTTCCAATCGTCTCGTCTGAATTTGATAATTTCGCAACTCATCGTTTAAGCAATACTCACGCAACATAAATACTTCTGTTAGTATTTGTGATATCGTAACTTAACAATCAGTGCTATAGGTTTTGGTACGATTGCATCACCATTCTCTCATGGTTTTGTCATTGAATACTGTTGGATTCACTTCACAAATTCTCTTGTTCACTTCACCAAGTAACATCATCACCAAGTGAATGGACTTCCCATAGAAAGAAGGCAGCCCGTCACTGGCCCACTTAGTTCGTAAGAAGAAGGCTGGCCCATTTCTTCATATGTAATCCGTGGGACTGATGACTCGTCTACTTTGTCTGGATCGGACACAAGCCCCAAATAGGATGCCGGAAAGCCCATTGAATGAAAGCGAAAGCAGCGACCCAATTTCACGAATTTGTTATGTACAGAATAAGAATATTAATTCCAGCTTCTTCAGTTCTTCTTCGTAAGCCGTTTTTCTTGTATCGTCGTGATGATTTTGTTGTTGGAATGTGTCATTATTTGAATAATTGCGTAGGGTGATGTCATTGTGATCGATCCATCCATGGCTTTTACAATACTACTACAATAGCTAGGCTTTAATTTGTTTCATGGATTCGTATGATCGCCATGTTTCATTGTCAACCTTTTCCATCCACAACAAACCCTAGCCTAGCTGGCTGGGCTGGCCCTCCATCGCCATCATCCTCTTGTATACCTCATATTTTCCCATCTTCTTCTCCTCACTCAAAGCTCTCCTTGATTTGCCTCTCGTGGTGGATATCGTCCAAGTTAACGACACTTTATAAATTATCATGATTTTAATTAATGAGTGATCTAGGACCTACGTACAATCTACCAAAACAATTGTTGTTCTTACAAATTTGAGTAAGAATAACATTAGCAACTTGCTAGACATGAACCATCATCAAGCTATACCAGTAAAAAAAGTACTAACATTTTTAGTTATTCATAATTTTAGAGATAAACACGTCAAAAGTAAAAAAATTAAAAATTAATAATAACTGAGTTGTCAGTAGCCTGCAAAATTAAATTGAGCTCTCATACAGGCAAAAGAATGTGCAATGTCTCATCAAATATATTTGATGAAGGACCCACAATCAACTAAACAAGTGTTGTCCTTACAAATCTGAGCAAGAAGAACAGTACTTGCAACTTGCTAGACATGAACCAACCCTCAAGCTATAAATCAACATGACCATCCATGGTGAGGGAAAAGAATAGTTGATGAGATTTTGTGTTTTCCCTCTTCTTTGCCATTTCTTCCATGTTCTATCATGAGCTATGAAAGTTGAAAAAAAAAAAGAGAGAGAGAAAAACGATGGCCATACATCACAATGAGATATATAGTTAGAGGGAAGGTTTGGCATTTTGTTTAGTCTCTATATATTGAGATTCCCTTTATCTTTTTGTGTAGTTAGCTTAGCTAGCTCCAAAACTTACTGAAATTTTACCTAAAAAGATGGCCGCAAAGCTTCAATCACGTAACTCCCACTAGCCCAAAAACTTGCATTTTGCTCTCTTTGGAGTTCCCGTCTTTCCTCTTTCGTGAATGAGTGTCGCTGGGTGGCTTGAAAGTGAGTCCTCACTCCATTGTGAATGTGGTTGGTGTTTGCAAATTGCTCACGGACCATTCAATAGCCGATAAAAATTAAAGCATGGTTGTTCTTGTTCACACATTTATATTGTCTAGTCACGATCACTCATTGCTGAATATGTTGGGAAAATAACTGGTATTGTGTCTTATTTATTGTCCATATCGATCTACAAGTCAGACCTATGATAATACTCAAGTTTCATCTCGATCTCGAGATGAGATACATAAACCCTTCATGCCGATATTCCTTTAATCCTGATCGAGTCGAAGGACACAATCAGAACAAATCCATATTGAAGTACTTTGGGGTTCAAACTAAACTCTTTAGAGACCATTTGTGGAGTAAGGACAAAGTTATAAGAAGCATACATACTATTTTACTTTTATCCACCGGGCCACGACAAAACCTAATTAGTAATTACAAGGGTGAATGTAAAATATTATTATTATTTTTACAAAGAGAAATGACACGTGTCGTGCAATGGATGGGGACTGCAATTGAGGAAGTGCTAATTCATCGCCGGTTTTCTAAAACTTGGTACTTTGTTTTCTTGTAGCAGGCCGGCGGTTTGGCCCCCTAATTTGGGGGCTTGGAATTTATCTTTATGCATGGGCTGTGTAGTCAGCTCAGCTCAGCTCAGCTCCATCCATTATTGCAACAATCGAGGTGGTCAGCACAGCAATGATCCAAACCGGTCCAATTGGGGATAGGATATTGAGATTAGAGCGTGATAAGAAGGGGGCGATGACTTTAGATCCTTTGAATTAGATTTGAGTGGATTGGGATGAGAGAAATATTTTATTTAAATTGGAGGTACCTATTGCTGATTTACTGATTATGACAAACAATGCTAGATCAGCCCAAGATAGATATATAGGAATGCATGCACCAATCAAAGGATTTGTAGAATTTTGAAAATAATTAGCCGTTCTATTATTGTCTTTTTTGCTTGAATAATTGATCAATCTCCACTAATTTCTCCACTCTCAATGATCAATCAAAGTGAAGTGATAATGGAGATCATAAGATAGACAACCTTATCATGCAAAAGCTTCAACCATGAAATTAAAGTTTATGATTTGTGGAGGGCAACAAATATGTCCAATCCAATGCACAAGCAAAATCAAATCGCTATAATTTTGTTTTTGTGTTTTCCTTTTTGTCTATAGCTCTCTCTCAAGTCTCTCAAGTCTCATGGAAGGAAAAAAGAAAGCTAAACCTTATCGGCTTTATCTTTTTTTTTTTTTAAATCTCGAGTGTGACCCTTTTTCCTTTTATCATATTCAAGAAATGCTTTACATAAGTACAAGGGAAAAAAAGAAGCTTTGTGTAGAGTATATTTTTACATTTGCCAATAAAGTTTGTGCTTTGAATTGCCAATTCAATGAATTCATACCCACATGACCTCGCCATGCAATGCATGCACTAGTGAGCACTACAATACTCTTATAGTCTCAGTGATGAACTGTCAAATTCGAGTGAGAGGTGTAAAAAACAACAAAGTGATATTATACTTAAACTATGCGAGTTGGCCGGCGAGGGGAGGTTAACAGCTTACTATAACTTCTTTAATCCAAAGGTTACTACAAGTTCGACATATAAATTTTAACTATACATTTGGTGGCCTTCTGTTTTTAAAGTGTGGCTCACCCACTGATTCTGATCAAAGAAACATTCAATTTTGATCATAGGAGTATTGCTCAAGATGATGAAAACTTAAATCATTGCTTTTCATACCGAATCGTCGACTAGAACGATAAGTTAGTCAGTGGGTTAATACGTACATATATAATATCAAGAAATGCACACTCCTTTTGTTTTTATTATATATGGTCAAAGATCAATATTGTATGAGTGATGCAATGTTATCATTTGATCCTTGAATACTTTAAAATACGTAACTTGTCCCATTTTCTTTTAATTTACCCATAAATCTAGAACTAGAAGTTTCTGTACCATGCACCAGCTGGTGATTACGTATCAAATTGGAATGATACGAACTGATTCTGTTGTTGAAACGGAACCTAGTTAGCTTAGTTACTTACGTGTGGTACAATAATAACATGTATGAGAACTAGACTGACACATATCGCGCATTTGTTGCCATCACTACAAAGAAAAAAAATAATGGGCCGACCTATACTTATGTACGTAGTCGCACCCACTTAATGTTAAGAAGAAAAGACCATGTAATTTGGAGTAGAAGCTATATCGACGAGGCTTATCAACCGAATTCTCTAAAAATGAGTATAATATATAGCATTTAATGTCACACTGGTGCGCGCATAATATATATAGATGAACATCATTTACCTTGCTCTTGTGGAACATTTAACGCTTAGAAGGTTTGAATATCTCATGTCCAATAGGCTGGACACATAAGGCAAAGCTAGATGTCCGACTTAGAGATGTGTACTCTTCATGACTGATCTAAATAATCTATCACAACTACCCTTCAATTATTAAAATAGATGTAGCTCGATGGATCAATTCTTTTCCACCGAAAAATAATATTGTGAACTTGTATAGATCGCATGTTGCGTGCTAGACTACATAAATCATGTGTCTGATTATTTTCTTTTCTTTTCTATCTACTATCTCTTCATAAAGCTATATATCACGGCTATCAAACGGCTCGCCTCCAACAAAATTAAAGTGCACTGTGGTACGTAGTAGTAGATGAATGAAACATGTGGGTGCCTGAAATTAGGGCAAAATTACGATCAAAAGAACACATGGTTGGTGCATATATATGAAATGGTCCACGATTGAAACATGGACGGACCTCCAATACACCATATACTTGGTACATATGGTTGTCACGCCGGCCGGCGTACCACTGGTTGAATCTGGTTCAACCTGTACCGGTCATAAAACCGGTATGACACCATCGGTATGACCGGCATGATCGATATACGAATCTCTAAGTAAAATGATCTTATATTAGTGAATTTATTTGATAAAAAGTCATTTATTATTTATTTTATGTGTTAAAAAGTTAAATGTTGATGTTATTTGTTTGATTCAAGTACAAATATTTAGATATTGACGTTAAATGTCGTGCTTAAAATATGAGTATTTGTAAATTATTTGTAATATTAACCGGCATGAACCGGTACAAACCGGTATGTACCACCGGTCGAATCATTCCACTTGCTAAACCGGCACACTGGCACAAACCGGTTTGACAACCACGTGGAGATGGGGTACAATTTTAGTAGGAAATATAAGGGCAAATTTTTACTTACTAGATGATGAGTCAGCAAAAGGACATTTGTCCCACTCCTCCATTTACACCCACCAAAAAATCAAACAAGGAAATCCACGTCAGATACTACACCATGCCCATAAATAAATAAAAAATCATCCCCTCTCCTCCTCTTCACCACAATACAGACCCAGAGGGAGAAAGAGAGAGAGGAAGGAAGGCAACAGTTTGGCCATTGTTGGAGCTCTGCTTTGTTCTCTGAAAACATCACAGAAATAATGGGTGAAGTGAGTTTTTTTCTTCTTTTTTCTCTCTTAATCATCAACTTGTTATCATCAACCCTTCTTTTTTCCCCTCTGGCTTTCTTCTTTTTATGGATACATGAGCTTTCGTACTTTGCCTACCATTTGCGGTGATGTTTTTGGTGTAGGAAAAGAAGGAGGAAGAGAAGAAAGGAGAAGAGGAAGGGAAGAAGAAGGAAGAGGAGAAGAACAAGGATGGAGGAGGAGGAGGAGAAGAGAAGAAAGAAGAGGAACCACCTCAGCCTCCTCCTGAGATTATGCTCAAAGTCTATATGCATTGTGAAGCTTGTGCTAGGAAGGTCGCTAGAGCCCTCAAAGGCTTTCAAGGTTTCATCTCTCTCTCTCCCTCTCCCTCACATCATAAACTTTTCTCAACTTTGCAAAATTCCGTTTTCGTACTCGTCAGAATGAAACCAGTTGATCCGTATAATCCGAGTTCGTAGACACAATGTATTCCGGGTTTGGAACTCCATTCAAGGTCTCTTCAAAGGATGGTGGAAATTTTGAAATGTACCTTTGGTCATTTGGAATAAGAACACTAATACCCATGTTTTTTAATTGATTAATAGATATGAAAAGTTGTTTCATTTCCAAGTCAAAAAGTGGCTACTACTATACATTACACACTCCTAGTCCTACTACTGCTCCCCATGAAAGGGGAGATACAATAATATTATTAATAATTCAATTCTCCTCTTTTTCAATTATTTTTTATACTTCATTTGAATTTCAAAATTGAATAATTAAATATTGTTTTTTTTTTTTGTATATTTTTTTGTTGGGTTGTAGGAGTGGAGGAAGTGAGTGCAGATAGCAAGACAAGCAGAGTGGTGGTGAAAGGGAAAACAGCAGACCCATTGAAGGTGTGGGAAAGGCTTCAGAAGAAGAGTGGGAGAAAAGTTGAGTTAATCTCTCCTTTGCCTAAACCACCCGAGGAAAAACCCAAAGAGGAAGAACCTCCCAAAGAAGATCCACCCAAAGAACCTGAGAAAAAGGATGAGGTAAATTATGATTCAATCAATAACGAATAATTCGTAATTTTCGATGTTACTGGATCGTGTATGATTGTTTAGAGATGTAAGAAATTAAACTCAGGTTGGTTTGTGTTTATAAGAATTTAGTGTCGTCATAAGGTTGAAAGATATTGATTAATCATTACACACCCAACTTCTTTTTTACTCAATTCACTATTAGGTAGTCAAAAGAACACATGATGATGCCATATACCAAACAAGCCCTACCTAGCTCACCAATCAGTCAAGTACTAACTCAACATTTGTCTGTGTTTCTTTTCTAGCTCTCTCTTCACTTCCATTTCTGATCACCACCGTTAAAAAGTAGGTGTAAATGTTTGCCAATTTTACATGTTTTGAATTTCATTGTTTTCATGTTAAAGAGATCAATGTATATATGGGTAGTAGTTGTGTGTATCCTTATGATGATGATGGTGGTGAGCAGAAAATGGCAGGCTGGAAGGGTAGCTGCCCTTATTAAATTTAGAGAAGGGGACAAGATCATAGTGCAAGTCAATTTGGGGAAAAGATAGGGTTGGAGTGATTTTTCAGAGATTTGAAACTAAAGGAAGGTAGTTAGATAGATCATTCTAGAGAGTCGAGATCCAAGTTTTTGACTTGGGTACCTCTAGCATGTGTCCGTTCAACGCGAAATGATAACGTTAGATCACCTTACAACTTATCTCAACCATTCATTACTTGTGCAGATGACGTTATCTATTAGGTGTTGATCTAGTAGTAACGAAACAATAAACATCAAATTCGTCTTGGATTCGAATCTCGAAATCGACATAAGGCTACATAGATGGAAACAAAGTTGAAAGTTGAAAGCTTTGAGACCCACCTTTGGTGAAAATTGAGGGTGATGGGTGGTGGTAGGAGAGTGGTGTTTGTGTGGTGGTGGTGGTGGGTGTTCCAAGGCTGACATGAAAGTAACAAAACAAGCTATGGGGGGAAAATATTGGGGAAGGGAAGGGCACCTTTCTCAATAAAAACCCAGTAACCCAAACCCACCCACTATTTTTAGGGCCTTTCGACCCCACAAAAGGGACACTCTTTTAAAGCCTTTTTCTCCCCACCTCTCCTTCCCCAACCCCATCAACTTGCCTCCTTTTCACTGTAGTGAAAATATTTTGTTCTTTTTCATACATATAATAAGGTTATTATTATAGCAGCAGTGAATTAGCTCTCTGTTGCTGCTGCTGTTGCTTGGGGACTGGTGGTTTCTGCTACAATTACACAGTCCATTATTGTTCATCCCTTGTTTTTCAACTTTTCAGTTTTCACCCATTTTAGCCAAAAAAAAAAAAATCTCCTCTTCATTATGCTTTTGGTGCATTTTTCGATGCATATACAATCAAAGCAAGTTAAAGACGAGATTTTGAAAGAGTGTGAATTCGAGTTCTCGTGTCGCGTTGTGTTGATCCAATGACTAATCTCTTTCCCTTGTTTTTGGTTCTTATTGTGTGGTTACATGCAGCCTCCCCCAGTAGTAACAGTTGTGCTGAACATAAGAATGCATTGTGAAGCTTGTGCTCTAGGCTTGCAAAAGAGAATCCGGAAGATATCAGGTACATTCATAATCTCTCGTTTTAACAAACAAAAACAAAATGCAGTGAGCGTGGATCGAACACGCGACCTTCAGATCTTCAGTCTGACGCTCTCCCAACTGAGCTATCCCCACAATGTTCATGTTGCTAACAATTTGAACTAATAGGCCCTATTACAACATCACATTCTGTTTTTTTATTAACCTGGACAGGAGTGGAATCAGTGGAGACAGACATAGTAAACGGGACAGTGACAGTGAAAGGGTTGGTGGAGCCAGGGAAGCTGGCAGAGGATGTGTACAAGAAGACCAGAAAACAGGTCTCCATAGTCATCAAGGAGGAAGAGAAGAAGGAAGCAGAAGAGAAGAAAGAAAAGGAGGATGGCAAAAAGAAGGAAGAGGAAGAGAAGAAGACAACAGAAGGTGAGCAGCAGCAGAAAGAAGAAGAAGGGAAGTCCTTAACAGATGAGGAAATGTTGAAGAGTGAGATCAAGAGAAGTGAGTACTGGCCATCAAGGAATTACAGCATGGAGTACTATTCTTACCCTCCTCCCCAAATCTTCAGTGATGAGAACCCTAATGCTTGCTCTCTTATGTGACTGATCAGCTTCATAATGATCATCATCATGATCATGTGAAGGTGTTCATTTTTAGATATCTAAGATGTTAAACTGCAAGAGTACTTCTTTGTGGGAGGGTTTGGTGTTTTTTTCTTCTCTTAGTTGAGTTTTAATTTTGTACAATCATCTTATGTATAATGGGTTTTGTAATAAGACATGGAGTCATATGGAGGGTTACAGGATGCATGTATGTCTGAAATGGATCAAACAGTTACTATTTGTTTGTAAATTGTTAGCACCCTAACTTTCTTTTACATTGTTAGCACCCTAACCTGCGTCTATTTTTATGAGATGAGATTTAGATACCTCTAATTCGTCATAATCCATCAAATATCTAAGGTTTGGATATTTACAATTAAAATTATGAATATCAAAAGGGAAAGAGTGTCATCTATTAGCAACTCATAAGCATTATGTTTTTGTATCTCCACATATATATCTCGATTTCTATTACTGAGTCTCCTCATTTGAGTGATAAAAAATCTTAGTTCGCGATTGAAAAACATCTCTCAAGATATCATGATGACAATTGGTGTTTAATCAATTTATGATTCAAGTTGAGTATAATCTCCAATCTTTTAGCCGCAATCTATGGCTATTTGTGGATTTTATGCCTTCATTTATTTTCCATTTCCATTATGTACATTCAAAATTCGACTCAAATTAGTACTCATAGAGTGTACTTAATGTGCTTTTATTTTTGACAAAATCATGATTCATGTATTACCTATGCAAAAAGAATCCATTTTTCTCCCTATCTAACTTGGTTAGTTCTCAAGTTTTTTCTGTTTGATGTCCCAAGTTCATGGTGGGCTCAGTCCAAGAAGACTTGATCGGATGGATTGGCAGCGTGGGCGAAATAAAAAGCCCATTACTTTTAGTCGTCATTTCCAGGTAGTGCAACCCAAAATTTTCCGAGGGAAATTTCCATGCACAAAGTTTGTATTTTTTCGGTGTCATGCAGTTTTACCTTCTCATGCAGTCATGCTTATCTGTGAACGGGTTGTTGCTCCTAGGGATGGCAACAAAACCCGAACCCACGGGTACCCATCCGACCCAACCCGGTCAACGCGGGTAAAATTCGTGTTGACGGGTTTTGGGTTGGGTTTGGGTTTAAACCCGCTACACTATTCACCGGGTCGGGTTGGGTTTGGATTTAGGTAAACCCGACCCATGGGTACCCGCCCACACACATATAATTACTTTCCCGTATATTTAATATTCTAAATAATATATTTTCCCTAAACAATTAATATTCTTTATGTTTGTGGAGACATGTATAATTTGTTCTTTCTAATTGTTTAGAATGAAATTGATATTATGAAGTGGAGAGTGAAGAAACTTAGTTGACGAGGAAGAAGCTTTCAATTAATCTTTTAATTATAGATGTTTATCTTTAATTTTGAACAATTTGTATTGATCATTTGCGGTTTGCTTGTATGCTCTAGATTGGTGTTTTTTTGTATGATTAATTTGTATGAGAAAATTGATCTTAAAATTTTATTTTGAAAGAAACTTGTTATTGTAAATTTTTTACCACAAAAACCCACGGGTACCCATGAACCCGCGGATACCCAACGGGTTTTATCCCGGGTTATTTTGGCGGATAAACCCATGGGTTTGGGTTTGACAAAACCCGCCCCAACCCGACCCATTGCCATCCCTTGCTCCTACTTTCTGTTGATAATTTCATCTCCTGTATAAGCCATCGCCATAAATTCATATGATTCATGATATTCATTAATAGTTACTTGTCAATGTATCGTGCTCAAAATGTTTTTTTTTTTTTTTACCTTTCTCCAAAAGGGTGTTCTCCATATAACTACTCTAATTTTTTGAAGTGTTTAAAATAACGTTTATAAAAGTATGGAAAAAAATCTCAATAATGCAGGTTGTGGGGCTCAAAGCCACGCACACTTATGTGTGGAAGATATTAAGTCTTATCCCTTAAACTCTCGGGCAAACCTGTAATTCATTGATAAATTTGAAGCATTTACTATAAACATCAATAAATTTAGTTGTTAAAGTATATTAAAATTGTCATTTATGTTATGTTATGTAATCAAATTTCGATTAAAATCACTAGTAAGTAGCTTCGACCGAGTTCTTAAGGTGTGTATCTGCTAAGTACACAAAGTTTTCCGTGAGAATTCAAATATCTAAGGTAAGGGTTTAAATTTATTTAGTTTTGTTACCTTATCTGAAGGTTCATTGCTTATGTCACGTAAAAGTTTTGGTTCATGCTTATTTTTGTGTTGGTTTTTGAACTGTTATGTGGCAGACACAATGAATCTTGTGTGGAATTTCTTTTAGAACAGGAAAAAAATTAGTTAAAATTAAAATAATTAAAATCGTCGCCTAAGAGATTCGAACTCTCGCGGGAAAATCCCATGTACTTAGCAGGCACACGCCTTAACCACTCGGCCAAAGCGACTTGTTGTTGATTTGATTACGAATTCGAATGCACATCAAAGTAGAAATCACAAAATGCTATACTAAAACAACTAAACTTACCAATGTTTCTACTACATTCTCACATGTCATTATTGAATTACAGATTTATCCGAGAGGTTAAGGTGGAAGACTTAAGATCTTCTACAATGATTGGCATGGATTTGAATTCCATCATCTCTGCAGTAGCGCGATCTTCTTATATTTACAAATTTTTAAAACTTTAAACAAGTCTTCTTTTGGGTCATGTTTAAGGTTTGTATTTCATCTTCCGCATGAATTTTATGGAACCGTATTTTTAAGTACTAGCAACTAACGGTGTTGTGAAATGTAAATTTTGATGGGTTTGGTATCTTTCCCAAGTATGATGAGGTGAAGGTGGTTTCGAGGATTCATTTGTTGATGTTGATACTAGTTGATGTGAGATTCAGTAGCCATCGGAAATTTTCTTCCATTCACACTCACCAAGTCCAGTGTGGGAAGTTTTGTTGTCAAAGAACTAAATCTTCTAAGTAGTGTGTGATTACCCTACAAATTAAAGCAAACACGCCACGCTTATTCGAATATGAGGAAAAAGGTTCTCTTCATGATTGAGCTCAATCAACAAGATTGCCTATCCGCAATTGTAAATTAGGAACCAAATCATGTACTGGTATTATGTGGTTTGATCTATTACTATCAACTTATATCTGATTTACAACGCAAAAATTCAATAGCGAATGAATTGTTGCTCGTCAACAATACATTCATTACAAAAACGACATGTGCATAGCACATGAATTGTGATATTTACCAAGTTTGAGTGGTACATACATGTGCCAAGAGAATATTGTACCCCATTTGTAGCTAGCATAAAAGATCTATCATCAAACCCTTATGATGATTTTCTTCGTTTTATTCAGAGTATATATATAACTAAAGGACCACAAGAACACTAGTATAGTAGTGGGGATTGTTACACTAGCTAGGATTATAACTTATGGAAAAAGAAGGGGAAACATTACAGATTCATTGCTTATAATTTTGAAATATTAAGGTGATAAATTATAATAGCTATAGTTTTTAAAAGAAAAAAATTTGTGACAACTATAATTAACGGATTAGTTTGAGCAATCTTTTTAATAGATTTTCATAATTTTTAATAAAATGCAGGTTTGCCCGAGAGGTTAAGGGGGAAGACTTAAGATCTTCTGCACATAAGTGCGCGTGGGTTCGAACCCCACAGCCTGCAATTTTATTTTTTGGTGGAATTTTCAGAAATTTCTATGTTAGCTCTACACATATATATGAAACTTATTATATTTATATTTTGATCTTTTTCTTAGCATCGATCCCTACGGGAAAGGTCCAATAAAGAAACATTTGCAAGTCACCTACATTTGCAAAGAGATACAAGAGTTTTGTGATACTACACATCGAAATAAGCTCGAAATCAATCATAGACACGAAATTTTTTTAACCTAATTCCCACTCGCCTCATAAGAAAACATCATCGTGTCATCTTATTGTAACAATACCCAATAAAACCTGGTAAACTAGCTTTGTGATCTCACTTATTGGCCGGACATCTCTTATGAGTTACGAGATGACACTAATTACAGTTAACCAACTACTTATCCCAAAACCCACAATTTCCCCCTGAAAATGTAAGCTACTCTTCATTCACCTCAATGAAATACCATTGTGTCATCTAATCCCTAGTACGTTACTATCTACCAATACAAGAGATATATATATAAAGATCCCCCTCCAAAGAAAATTCTCCACCATTAACCGTGGGCATTTCTTTCTACCTCTTTAAACACAAATAAAATCCAACCTCAATATATTCCTTTTGCAAGTAACTAGACAAAAATGTGAGTGTAGCTAGCTAGCTAGTTGCAATTGGTTAGTGCATGATCCTCAGCTAGAAAAGGGGTCCATTGAATTGAAGCACACTCTCGATGGCCAGAAACTCTCTGTCTGTCTAATTGCATCCTATCTTCTTCCTTTCGTTTATCTGCCCCCACAGCTTTTAGACACAGGGAATCAAATGCAGGTCAACAAGATTTATCATTACCATACTTGTTCGCAGCTTCCAAAGATTTTACACACTCATTTCCGATTCACAAAGGTGTCATCTTCTCGAGTAATAAAAGAATCTATCATCGTTCAATTCAGGAAAAACTAACTTGATAGTCATCATATTTCATTTTCTTTTATTCGAGAAAATAAAGTATAGAGTATAGACATTACTGCTCTGGACTGTTAGTAATTAACTTATAATGATAAAATTTACCCGCATCTCGATTTAAACCAGATCCATTGATTACTCGATCTGCATGACCAAAAGCACCTTACAATTTTCTTATGCAATAATATAGTTAATTGGAGGGTTTATAACAATATTTTTTTATCATCGATCTTGTTGAACTAAAACAACTTATATTCTTACTTTGACAAAAATGATTGACAAAAATTCAGGCATAATCTACATGCCAATATAGTGGACCAAAACAAAGTAATAATGCCAAGTTATGTATCTATCTCTCTATGTGCTTAGCTTATCCAAATTTGCGCAAGTGCGTGCACTTTTGTAAGTTTCAAGCAATTCAAACAGGAACGAACTAGCTATAATGCACGACGGCCAACTGAAATTCCCGGCGCCGCCGGCGTGAGAAGACGATGATTTAACCACCACCAGCCGCCGCGGCCTCCTCCTTTCCATATCGACCTTCTTTACATCCACCAATGATATGATGTCCACTTTTTGGGTTTTTTGCTTTCTCTTAATCAGTATTAGCATTAACATTAGGATCTAGCTAGGTGCATGTCATGCCCATCTTGGCTAAATAAGTTTATAATATTGGATTAAGGCCCATACTTTATCAAAAGAGCAGTTGCTTTGGTTGATCTTCGTGACGAAACATTCCCTTTGATTGCTTTATTATTGATTAATGAAGAGTAACCATGCATCTATTATAGTGCTTAATTATTCACTAAACATAATTGTCTTCTAATTGAACATGACGATATATTCGAGGAGAAGACTAGAAAGAAGAAAAAGAAAGAAAAGCTATGAGAATTTTTCTGAAGATGAAATTTGAGATTGACAAGTTCTTTTAAAATAAAATAAAAATTTGAGATTATCGTCAATGATAATACTCATACTTGAAACTGAGAATTTTAAAATCGAATCTCTTAAATATCAGCTAATTAAAGACAAACCTATATCATTTGTATAAAAAATCTCCTTATGAAAGAAAAAAAATAATAATTTAGAGCCTAAGCAGGAAGGCCGATAGTAAAAGTGGCAATAGCACTTTCTTCTTTCCTTTTTGCCTATCATTTCTCCTTTATTGCTTTCCTCTCTAATTTCGCCACGTCTTAAAACTCCAAACTAGAATCAGCAATATTTAATACATTTGTTATCACTTTCATTGCCTCGTGGCATCCACTTTGACCGTCGCTCCCCGAAAGTGAGCCCGAGCAGTCCACGAGTCCCAATCCGAGTTGGCAACTCCGTGCGGCTCCCTGCTCCCGCATTGCTGACCTGGTAACCCAACCAATCACCAAATTGCCACGTCTTCCAACTTAAAATAATAACAACTCAACTACGCTCGCGCACAAAACAAGATTTAGTATTTCCCCCCCTAAAATCATGAAGATATAATACTTAATTAACTCAAAACGTGCCAAACTCTATTGGGGCCTGCGCTCCACGTCGGCCACGCATGGGCCCGGCGAGTGTTCGACGTGGAATTCCGAGGTGGCATTGCGCCAGTTTGACCCCGGGAGTGTGTCGGCGCGGGAATTCCACGTGGAGGGCGTACGAATCCCATAAACCAGACTCAACCTCCACGTCACTCCCACCGTCTCCTTCACCGCACTATATATTAAAACCCCCAATTAACCCTCTGTTCTTCCCTCTTCACTCTGCTTCTTCTTCCCCCCCACACACAAAAATCTCCAAACACCGGCAACAATGGCGTCGACGACCAAGTCCGAACCCGCCGACGCCGCCCAATTACCCGACCAGAATGACCGGTGCCAGATCGAGGAAGTCGCCCTGGTCGTGCCCGAGACCGACGACCCGACCCTGCCCGTGATGACGTTCAGGGCCTGGTTCCTGGGTCTGACCAGCTGCACCCTGCTCATCTTCCTCAACACCTTCTTCACGTACCGGACCCAGCCGCTCGTCATCTCGGCGATCCTCATGCAGATCGCCGTCCTCCCCATCGGGAAGTTCATGGCGAAGACACTCCCGACGAGGGAGTTCGATCTTTTCGGGGTTTGGAAGTTCAGCCTCAACCCGGGGCCGTTCAACATTAAGGAGCACGTCATCATCACGATTTTCGCCAATTGCGGGGTTTCCCAGGGCGGCGGAGACGCTTACTCCATCGGAGCGATTACGGTGATGAAGGCGTACTATAAGCAGAGCCTCTCTTTTGCCTGCGCTCTCGTCATTGTCATCACTACCCAGGTAATTCGTCGCCGGCGAGAACCCCAATTGTGTAGAATTTTTTTTTATTAATTTCTACTCATTTTGATGAAATTTTATCTTTGAGAATCTCGAATGGTGAAGCTCATTGGTTGGATATTTGGGTTTAGTTGATTTCATTGGGAAAGAAATCAGCTTTGATTAGAAAAGAAATTGTTATTTTCCAATTTCTTCGATTTTATTTGGTGGCTCTGTTTCGTTTTTATTTATTGAGGTGGTTGTTTTTTTTGGGGAGGCGGTCGTATTGCAGACAGACTGCGCCGCTGCTGCTCTGTTCTTTTTGTCTTTTAATGTTCTCTCCATCATTTTTTGGGTTGGACCAGTCAATTATTATGTTACTGAATTCTTTAGTTGGATTGCTTATCAATTTTTCGAGCAAGTTGTGGTTAAAACTTAAAATGCGATAGAGGTTAGTCATTGTTGTCGTCGGTTCGATTATATCACGAAACTGACAGTTTTCTTATTTCAGGTTCTGGGTTATGGATGGGCTGGACTGCTGCGGAGGTACTTGGTCGATCCGGTTGAAATGTGGTGGCCGGCGAATCTGGCTCAGGTTTCCCTATTCAGGTTCGTCTTCCTTCATTTTCGATGTGTATCGACCGTCGAATTAGTACGTGATACTAATGCGAGAGTTATCTAACCACGTTAAATTTGATGTTGGTTACGATTTCCATTTGATTCTTTCCCTTTTGCATCTAAAAAGGCTACTACCCTTTTGGATACTGTTCGATCAGCATCTCTGTTTCAAAAATCAAAAGCGATGGCGATAAACAATTGCATCCGAATTCTTTCCCGGCTATATTCCAAATTCCTCTTTTGTTTACTTGTGGTTTGGATTGGTTCGATTCAATTCATATGCTTTCATCCTCATTCATTGATCACTACTACGAATGCCCATTCTTGTCCCACGGAATAAAGTGGTTGCGAAAAAATGTAGTAACGTGTGGAAAAAGGAACTTCATGAATGTGTGGTGCTTGTTTAAGTCAATTCACTTATTGATGATGGAAGTTTAATATTAAGTTCTGTTTCTGAGTGTGACAACTGATTGATGCTTAATGGCTCAGATTTTCCCCTTTGTACGGTCCTTGACAATGATACACATCACTTATATATACGAGTTTGGTTAGCATTCTTAGTCGTTCGATTATCCGATGGATGATTACGATGAACTATAAGTACTTTTATCAGAAATTGGACGATTGAGAAAGTATATACACACGAGTTTACTACCAACGAATCGATAACATTGCATGTTTTCTTGTCTTGTTAATGACGCAGAGCACTTCACGAGAAGGAAGTGAAGAGCAAAGGCTTCACTCGAATGCAATTCTTCCTCATCTTCCTAACCCTAAGCTTCCTCTACTACGCACTCCCGGGCTACCTGTTCCCCATCCTCACCTTCTTCTCATGGGTCTGCTGGGCCTTCCCACGCAGCATCACGGCCCAACAGATCGGGTCGGGCTACCACGGGCTCGGCATCGGGGCATTCACCCTCGACTGGGCCGGCATCTCAGCCTACCACGGCAGCCCGCTGATCACCCCCTGGACCTCCATAGTCAACGTAGGGGTCGGCTTCATCATGTTCATCTACATCATCGTCCCACTCTGCTACTGGAAGTACAACACTTTTGATGCCCGGAAGTTCCCCATTTTCTCGAACCAGCTGTTCACGACGGCTGGTTCGAAGTACGACACCACCAAGGTGCTGACCCCGGACTACGAGCTCGATGTGGGAGCTTACAACAGCTATGGCAAGCTCTACTTGAGCCCTTTGTTCGCGCTGTCGATTGGGTCAGGGTTCCTTAGGTTCTCCGCGACTATTGTCCATGTCGCGCTCTTCCATGGAAGGTACCGTAACAACAGTTTTTTTATGTTAGAACTCAAGTCCGTGGTTTGACCATCATGATTCTGAGAGGTTGTTTTTTTTTTTTCTTCATTTCTTGTGGGGGCAGGGATATATGGAGGCAGAGTAGATCGGCCATGCAGAATGCTAAGCTCGACATTCATGCTAAGCTAATGAAAGCTTACAAACCGGTGCCAGAATATTGGTTCATGATCCTGTTAATCGGGAGCGTTGTTCTGTCTCTGTTGATGTCTTTCATATGGAAGGCAGATGTGCAGCTTCCATGGTGGGGGATGATCTTTGCATTTGCACTTGCCTTCATCGTTACACTTCCAATTGGTGTCATTCAGGCAACAACCAACCAGGTAGATTCACAAGACTTGCTCCGATCACCATGTTTTGTTTACGACGATGGAAGATTCGTTTATTCGCGTGATTATTACTACGAGGTTTAACGGTCTAGTTTGTGACTTGTGAATGCAGCAACCGGGGTATGACATCATAGCCCAGTTCATGATCGGTTATGTCCTGCCGGGGAAGCCAATAGCCAACTTGCTGTTCAAGATATATGGGAGGATCAGTACAGTTCATGCTCTCTCTTTCTTGTCCGACCTTAAACTTGGTCACTACATGAAGATTCCACCTAGGTGCATGTACACAGCTCAGGTAACAAATTGCTTCTTAATCACTTAGATTAATGAATACTCATCAATGATCCATTTCATCGACGTTTTTCGATTGATTACTGACATGCTGCTATGATCAGCTTGTCGGGACACTACTATCAGGCATTGTGAACCTCGCGGTGGCATGGTGGATGCTCGAGAGCATCAACGACATCTGCGACATCGAAGGAACCCACCCGGACAGTCCATGGACGTGCCCCAAGTACAGAGTCACCTTCGATGCGTCGGTCATTTGGGGTTTAATCGGACCACACCGCCTGTTTGGCCCCGGTGGACTGTACCGGAACCTAGTGTGGCTCTTCCTAGTCGGTGCAGTGCTCCCGATCCCCCTATGGGCACTGAGCAAGGCCTTCCCTGAGAAGAAATGGATCGCACTGATCAACATTCCCGTCATATCGTATGGATTCGCAGGGATGCCACCCGCCACACCAACCAACATCGCGAGCTGGCTGATCACCGGGATGATCTTCAACTACTTCGTGTTTAAGTACCACAAGAGATGGTGGCAGAAGTACAACTACGTGCTCTCCGCGGCACTCGATGCAGGGACGGCGTTCATGGGCGTGCTGCTGTTCTTTGCTTTGCAGAACTCGGGGCACAACTTGAAGTGGTGGGGAACGGAGGTGGATCATTGTCCTCTGGCTAGTTGTCCGACTGCACCGGGGATTGCCGTCAAAGGGTGCCCTGTTTTCAAGTGAGAACTGAGAAGATAAGAGGCAGCCAGGCAGCCTGCCTGCCGCCACTGTTTTGCATTGGGGAGTTGAAGTTTTGTACATCTGTTATTAAAAACCTCTTTTCTTTAGTATATGTTAGTACCCACTGCTGGAAGCTGCAAGTGTATCTGGTGATCATTTGGGTCTTCGAATTCTCTTTCTTCGCATTTAGTCTATTGTCCTACTCCTAGTCTTAGTAGTATATGAAATTTCATAAAGAAAAAGGGTGGTAAATGTTGGACAGATTCCATCTCTTAGTATATGCTCAAGTCTTCTTTTTTTCATCTCGTTCAGTAACATATTCTTAGCTAAAGATCGACTGACACATATGTTCGTCAACTCAAAGTTCAGTGGCTGTTTCTGTAATAAACAAAGGTATCCTTCTCCATCTCCCTCAAGCCCTCTGCTCCATTCAAGATAAGCCAAAATGGACACTCAATTTGAGCTAAAGTTCATTCCTTTCAGGACTACCCAAAGATTGAACAACAGTAGGAACAAAATAAGGCAGAAAGACTCGAGCTTTGGTTAGGAGGGGTTACAAAGGAAGCAGTTTGCATTATGGTGACTACAAATGTAAGGAGGACTCCTCACTCCACATCCTCTCCATAATCCTAAAGCTCACTTTATAAAATGAGCTATTAGAGTTGGGCATTAGTTCTGTTTACCCTCTTGAATAACTTTGTATATATACTAGTAAAAACTACAATTTTTGACCGGGGGATTGTAAATTCTCTCCAGCTATATATATATATTTTTTTACCTCTGCAAAGATTTGTAGAGCACCACTGTAACATACTTAGCTACAAACCGATGGGTGGAACCGAGTGCAACAACTGCAGGGCTGTTCCTCCCCTTCTGCATGTAGAGGTGGTTGAGTACAACATGTTGAGGTCTCGACGGGATCTCCATGTAAGTCGAGGGTAGGTTGAGCAGCGTCATCTGTAAGTGCGGTGGAACAAATGGTGGCTCCTTTGAAAAATCTTCATTTCCCAAATGAGAATTGTTGTAGCTCGCCTCTGGAGACTGAGGAGGTTCGAAGCTCGATATGCTTTCCAGGTCTTCTGGAACATAGTCCTGCCGAGGGAAGTGGAAGAGTGTATCAGCAGATGATAAAGAGGCGGAGAAAAAGTATTAAGCTTTCTAGTGCATCGTTCTAAGGAACATCATTGCCTGAAAGATAACTTATGTAGATATGAAGTCATGCCTCCCTCTTCATCACCAACCGACTCCTCCCACCTGTACTCTATTCTCTTTTTTCCTTGAAGTTTAATGTTCTTAAGCCTAGATCTGTATTGTGGATTGTAAGCTACGGATTTCAGATGCAAAAACAGTAAAAATCAATGTGATGACTGATGATGATTCAAGTCATAGGAAAAGATGATACTACTGTTTGATCATGGTTTGGACACACATTATTGGTGCACATGTGATTATTGTGCTCTTCGTTTTGTTCGGGAAATCCCAAGGAAAGAAAGAAAGATTGTGAAGGTGGTGGTTCGGTGACTGGTCATCTTGTTCGATCAAGAGGCAGAACATGGAAAAACAACAGGAAGACTTTATAGAGCAACAGACAGCATAATCCATACCCCATAGGTGACATTGTGCAAGTATGGCGTGAAATGGTCAAACAACCCCTAAACGGCTCATAGGCACACAGCTTTTCTACCTTTGAATGTCTTCTGTTTGCTACTAGAGCATCTCGGAACAACCAATAATAGTTCGCCTAGCCAAATAGGGAATGAGGGCAGACTCTCCCAATAATTCCTTGTCTAAAAGCTCAGAATGAGACTTTAGTTACCTAAATGCAGGAAAGATCTCAACTTTCTGATCCTACTATGAAGTTACTCAAAAACCCTGATCGAACTATCAGCATCTACCGAAGAAACTTCAAATCCTTCCAAATGAACACCAGAGTAGGCACGAGACTAAAACAAGAAGAACAGATCAAACAAGCATACCTGCAGATCCAAAATGTTGTAGGCATTTCCAGCATCATCTTGGGTCCAGGGCAAGTCAGGGGTATGTCTCCACTGCCCATCCACGATAAAACGATACTGGTAAACTCCAGAAGGCAGCACCTTCATTATTGTGAAGTCCTTACCGGCTTTCTGCAGCCGAATTCTGATCAACAAAACCAATACACAACAGATTAGACACACAATAGCAATTCACAATGTTCTAAAACCACACAAATTCCACAACCTTGCTTTCCAATTGTCCCATGAACCTTCCACGGCTACATCTTTACCACCGTAGCTCCAAGTAATCATCGTCGGAATCCCTTGCTCGTGGAACGGTTCCTCATAACTAGCAGAACTCTGCATCCACAATTGGTTTGGTAGTTGAGCCTCATCGGGCCTCTGCAACGGCAACACCGGGACCTGAAACAAACAAACAAAAAAATCTAGATCTACTAAATTGCATGCAAGCAGTTCCACAAAACTCTAAGAACATCCAACCTTATCAAGAAAGAGTGAAAAGAAAAGAATGGAGAAATTTTGACCTGTGGAGTGAACATGAGAGGCGAGTGGCTAGCTCTGGGACTGTGAGGAGGAGAATGGCCCATTAATTCTGGATGCGGTGGCCGGTAAACGCCGCCGCCATGGTGGCTGACATGAGGAACAACCATTACCCCACTCCCGCGGCGCCCACCTCGCCGTCCTTGTTCGTCAACCGCATCACAAACCCCGGAGCTACCCAATGCGCCGCCACCATTCCTCCTTTCTTTCTCCTCCTCTCCTCCACCTCCACCGCCTTCCCCATCTTCCTCTCTCCCATTCACATTCCCCATGGTAAATTAACTACCACCAAAACTGGAAACACGAACCTAAACAATCCAAAAGTAGACAAAATTCTACCGAACCCAATTGTGAATCATTCACAAACGATTATTAACCTTCGATTCCGATTCCCACCACCGATAAATTCCAGGGTTCAATCAATCGTTTTTATTACCGAACCCCACTACCTCCGAATCGATTAAAAAAAAAATCCAACAGCGACCCGTCAGGCAATCCCGCACAAAGATGCCAAATTTGGGGAAGAAATTGGTGATGGGTAACTAACCATTTGACAAATTTATCATCTTTTTGGGCCGGGCGATATTGGGAGATGACGAGGAGAGTGGAAAGGGAGTGTTTGTGGCCCCCCGGGTAAGATGAATGGCCTGGTGGTGGGTTTGGCGCGAGATGAAATGAGACGGGCTGCGGTGAAGGAAGGTGTCAGCGGCGAGCTTTACCGGCGTTGTAAGACGACGGCGTCTGGGCGTGGCCCAAAAGGTGAGGGAAGGAAGGTGGGAGATTGTGATTGATGGGAAGTGTGGGGGAGGATGTTTTGGACGGAGGGCGGAGAGGAAAAGCAGAAAGAGTGGGGAAGAAGAAGAAGAAGTGGGATGGTGGTCACGTCATCATTTGAGAACGTCCTTCCTAAGTCCCTATGGTGAATTTTTCTTTTTTACTTTGGTTGTATTTGTATATTACTTTACTATTTTAGTGATTATATTATTTTGTGTGACGTAAACATCGGAGAGGCACTGACCAGAGTCACATATTTTCAAAATTAATTCATTGTCAGGATAAGTGATTACTTAATCTTACAGAAAATAAGTTATTTATAGTTAATTATCGTAACTGGATTTGCGTCTTATGATAGTTCGAGACTTGGTTTGACATTAAATTGTCTGTTTTCAATTATGATCATTTGATCGTTCTTTGATTTAAGTTTCTTCAAATCACAAGGTCGATTTTCAAAAAAAAAAAAATCACATGGTCAATAATATCTGGTAAAGAATCCCTCACATTTAACTCAATAAGCAAGGCAACAATCAAAATTTTGATAAGGCTAAACGGATAGAGTTTACCTTCAGCCTTGTCGAAATTTTCACTATTAATTAAGATTCTTTAGTTCCAAACAAGCCCAATTCGAAGCTCGCTAAACTGGTTTGACCCAATCCGTCTTCTTTTGTTATCCAAAGCCCAATGAACTTGGCGGGAACAAGGCGCTAAAGCGCGGTCAAGTGTCAACTCTCAACTGGCAAGTGGCTAAGGCAAACTTGGTAAGGCTAGGCTAAAGCTAACCCTCCGTCTTCCCAAGTCCCAACCACGACAGTTCAGTGCGGGCAATTGATCCAACACTGAGAACGACGACTCAGAAACCTCAAACCAAAGGCCATCTCGACGGCCGAAAATCTCGTGAGTTTCCCTTTCTCTTCATTTGTTTCCTTCCCGTTGGGTGCTGGGCTCCTTTCATTACGATGTTACAGTAAGCTTTCTTGCTTCGGATGCAATCTCGTGTTCGCGGTAGGTGGGCGGGTAGTTTCCGTCGCTTATTTGATTCGACCCCCAACAGAGAGACTCTGTAAAGATTTCATCTTGATATCGTTTAAGGGTTGTTTGACATGACACCATAGGCTTGAAGGGGGATCTGTCCGTGTCACGGGAAATCAACGTTGGGAATGGATGTCGTTTTTCTTTATGAAATTTCTGCTAATGGAATGCGATTTTGATGCTGAACTCTGAACTATTTTGATGACTGAATTCGTAAGCCTATCAGTCGGGAATTCGTGATGATTTGTTCACCCTGCGCTTGTCTCTGAGTGGGTTATGAGTGAAGTCTCCTCTTTTTTTCTTTTTCTTTTTTTCGCAACTGAATTTGCTATCTTCGCTGTAGCTTATGCTTCTCAGGTTGATTTGTAGTCAATTGGGTTGATGCATTAGTGGAACATGATTAACTATGAACTTAGGACTCTCCAATGTGCTTGCTATGCATAGTCATGATGTTTTCCTCTTGCTGTTAACTGAATACCAAGTTAACCTTAGACCCGAAATGTGCCTTCTCTCTATGTTAAGTATTATTGGTTGGACTTCTAGGCTTCCTACCAATTCTGTGTATCTGCACTTTCCCCCTCTATGCTTTGACCCTGTGTGTGTGCGCGCGCGTACGTGCTTTTATATTTCCATCCTCCTGTGTCATATTTGACCTTCAATGCACTAAGATTCTGCATTTCCTTGCAGAACATTCACTCTCCTTTTCACCAATTTCAGCATGCAAATCATTAGGAAGACAATTCTGAGCCACATTAGGCTGAGGGTAATTCCTCAACAATGGTTGCCTTATCAGAGGGCTGCTGTGTTGAAGCAATTGCAAATGCCATATTGTGCTGCTACAGGTGCAATCCCTGAGCAGGTTATGGAGCGGGTGATTGGACTGGTTAAGAAATTTGATAAAATTGATGCCAATAAGGTCATCTAAACGTCATTTTTCATTCCCTTAATTTCTTGTTGTTTATTATTCTCTTCTTCTTTTGCAATGTACTAAACTAGGGAATCTTCTCTTTTGGTTTGACTAATTAACCTATCTTAACTCAACCAGGTTACTGAAAATGCCGATTTCCAGAAAGATTTATGCCTGGACAGTCTAGATAGGGTGGAGCTTGTGATGGCTTTTGAGGAGGAGTTCGCTGTTGAGATCCCCGATGAAGATGCAAACAAACTCTGTTGCTGTGCTGATGTTGCCAAATACCTATCTTCTGGCAACAGCGAATGAAGAGTTCTCAGCTTGCGATCGATTCTTAGTTTCACCACTTTATTCTTGAATGTTGTATCTTCTAGTCTTACGACTATGTCTATGTGTTAGCCATTCGCGGAATATATTTAAGGTCGGGAATATAAGATTCAATATGATCAGCAGTGTTATTTCCACCCTTAATCATATAGCAAACACTCAATATTTACATCCCAATCGCATCTATGTTTCCTATATTGTGCATCTTACAAACTTTCCAGACAATGAAAAAAGGAAATCAAGTCCTTTGAAATCCAAGCTGTGACTAGTAGCGCCATTACAAGGAATCCAAAAGGTCTGCCATGCCATCATCTACATTGCGATCTCTGTTTCAATGTTATGTCTGGTCTTAGAACATGCTTGCAGAGGTTTAGAAGCTGAATGCAGGAACTCTATCTTGCCAGTAGAGTAATTTCGAATGCCATTGCCAACAGAGGACAACTCCAAGGCCTTGTGTTTCTGGACATAAGCTGGTCTGCAAGTCGACGTCTTTGGCATCCTCAAAACCTTAACACAACATGTCTTGTCCATTGCAGGTATGCCATGGAGCTCCGAAGGAAGATCGATCGTGAAATCTCCGAATTCGTCTGTCACGGTTTGTAAAGAAGTTGATCTCCTTTGGTTCCCTCTGCTTAGGCAGTTGACAGCCACCAAAGCACCTGCAGAAATGATGAATTGATGTTTGAATTAAATTGAAGATGAAATGTGGCGTTATCATTGGTAATGACTGCATTTTTTTATTTATTTCATTCAATAGGGGGTGAATTGAAATCGATTAGTGATGTTAACTAAAGTCATCATTTATGTGCTAATGCGAATTTACTTCTGTAATATTCTATCAAGGAAATAGATCCTTGAGCAAATTTATGGTGAGAGGTAGCTGTGTTGGATGTTGATGTGCCCTTTTTGTCTTAAAGCTGAGAATTCATCTTGAACCCAAAGGAATTGAACATCAAAATTATATGCAGCCTTGCATTATGAGGTAACATCAGATTGTGGTCATATCTTTTATTATATTGATTCGACTCTAAATTGTAAATTCTGCTTGAGAATGACGACATTTATAATTGTGTCAAACTAGAGTATAACATTCAAACCTTAAGTTAAAAATATAAATTGAGTTTGAAAATGATAACATTTATAATTGCGTAGAACCAAAGTACAATTGACAACCAGGGAAGAATAAGTCTCTCCTAACAAGAGTCTTCTTCTTCTAACTTTTCTTGTTGTCTAATATTAACATAGAAAAGAAGATGTGTTTTATTTATTTATTTGGTCATCTCTTTTGGTAGGTAAGAAAATAAGAGATGTTGTATCAATTTGGTAATGCTTTAGAGCTACCTATTAATCTACCCAAGCTTATATTGCAAACTTCTTTTCTTTTTCTTTCATTGCTTCAAACGACAAGTTCTTAATATGCAAGTCACAAAGAGGCCCCAAATATTTCATAAGAGAAAGGGAAGAGATATGTCGTTCATAAGCCACAACGACATGCATCCTACTATTGTGTTGACACTTCAAAATATTTTTAATGTTAAATAGAATTCAAAATACACTTTAGTCCCTCCTCCTCCAAAAAAAAAAAAACACTTTAGTCCCGACCACAGCTTCACCTATTAAACAAAGATGACATATTACTTGTGAACCGAGTAACTTATCGATATAAAGTTTATATGTGCACAAGAAATTGCTTATATTTTCTTTACACGTTTGTTTCTTCTGCTCATTACACTTACTTGCGTTGCAAGAGATAAACCAATTGTGGTGCAAGACATAATAGCTAACAAAACGAGCTAAAGCAAATTATGGGGTGTGGTTTGTTTGGGTTGTTGTTTAATTTTAGTATACAATATATATGCTTGAAAATACCTATACATGTATGTTACTTAATTACCACCCACAACCTATCTCTCCATCTCTCACTACTTACGGTACTTCTCTTTGTTCATAAGTTCAATATATCCTAATTAAGTTCATCATCAAACCATGATTTTATGCCCCAAATCTTGGGAGCCGTTAATGCATCTAACCACACATAAATTTATTATGGTCAGACGCCGTTATATCAACTTTCACCCTGCCCAGATAAGAAAAACTAGCCCCAATTATTCCTAATTTGAGTCGTAGAGGGGTGTAGGACAAATCTTTGTTACTATGGCCCCTCTATCTCTTAGCAATGCGAGGCAGGTAACCTAAATGATGAGAATAATGCGTGCAATTGGACTAGTAGTAAACATGAGATTTTCGGTTATTTGCTCTCTAAATGGATAAAAGAAGAACGAGGAGGAGGAGGAGGATTGAAATACTCGCGATACCTGGAATGGGCCATTCATGGAGCTGATGATCAAGGGAAGATGAAAAAGAAGATGGTGGTGGTGGTGAGCAAGCGTGGCAGACGAGAGAGCCGGTGACCAAAACGGTTGAGAGCTTCTCTTCCCCGTAACCAGCCAACTGCACCATTTCTTCCCTGCTAGCAGAGGGTATTATAACTGCCTTTGTGGTATCACTATTATTGTTATCATTGTCTCCGGCGGCTCTCATGGTGGCCGGAGAAGTTAGGAGGAAGAAGAAGAGAAGAAGGTGGTGGTGGCAACTGCGGCCGCTGGAGTAGCTCATCTTCTTTGTGTGTGTGTGTGTTCTTTTGTTTCGTGAGGAGTTAGAACTTGCAAGAAGTGGTATTTATATAAACACTGAGAGAGAGGAGAAAGAAGGAAAGGTGTACGGTTAAGACTTACGACCAAGAACTTACAAGTTTTCTTTAATGTAATGGGGGGTTCTTGTATTTGTGTTCTAATTGCCCTTTCGTTTTGGGGTTTTATTACCATTTTGTCCACTTTGATGATCATACTATAATGACAGAGGAGAAATTTTGTCCACTTTGACTTGGGATATTGACTTGTTTTATTATAGCGGGTAATTGGGTAATTTAATTACGCATTTTAGTTCTTACGTGTTGATATATGAAGAGTGTTTTGAATCGATCGGTTATGAATCAATGAGAATATATTAAGCTCGATGAAATCCTATATTATTATGACATGTTCAGTAGTACTAATGGATGATTTGAATCGTATACGCTCGCTTAAATTTCTCTGTCCTCCCTATAATTCATGACGGTTTGAGAACTCATCGTCTACAGAGTTAAATACTTATACAATTTTTAATTGGCACAGACCAGAATTACATGTTTATCTCGTACGTAGCTCGATATATATTAACATGCACCGTGTGTATTTAGGATGACAATGTTACATCATGTATCCAAGAAAAATAAATAGAAGGGTACAATTACTAATACTATGTACATGTATGGCGACTCATCATCAATGAGGAATTGTGTTGATTGATCAATGTGTGTGACATCCCACCTTAATTATGTATATCACTATGATTATTAATTAGAATATATTGATCATTCATCTTAATAGCCTGATGGTGGTGGTAGGTGCACGTGGAAGGAAGGGGTATGGCTTGGTGTTCTCCACCAAAACAAGGGCCAAAATAGGTAATTAACTTGGTAATCAAGAACATAAAGAACTTGAGAGTGGGGAGTTAAATGTTGGTAGGTTGCCTACTTTTCATAACATTCTACTAACATTGCTTCTCAATTTTCATCCATGGAGTCCATTGACATAACAATAATATTTAAGAACAAAGGTTTTGATCTAACAATTTAAAAGTCTCAAGATACATATAATTTTACTTTTCGATAATAACCTACAATTGTAATTAATTTTGACTTACGACAAAATGAAATGACAAGCAATTAAAACTCATCCATCATGAATAACTCTAGCACCATCAAACATCAATAGCATCTTTACCAAATGCTTGACCCCCAAATTTTTGGCACTTCTCCAATACCCTTTGCTTTGTTGATGGAATGAGGGTTGACTATACTTTTTGACCCCTCAAAGGTTGACGAGTTCCCAATTTCAACTCCAAATGGCTTCTTGCTCTTCTTTTCTTTCTTGGATGATATGATTAGATGCGACCGGTAAAACTAACCCTTTAAATTTAGGTCCAATTGACCCAAAAGATAATGAGCAAACTAACACAAGCCATAATGTCATCAATGGTATAATGAAGAATCAATGGAAAGTTAAAAAGATTAGGTTAACCAAAGTTATCAACATGGTACAGTATACTTGAAATGTTGGTCAAGACTTCACCAAAAATCGATCTCATGTCTTGGTGTTCATTCGGGTTTCCTCTCGAAAATAAAGGACTTTACGGTATGAGAAGAGCCATCGAGAAAATAACGAAGCACTTGATATGGGACGGTTGGCGGCTTAAATGGATACCACACTTTTAAGCTCTTCAGTCTGGTAAAAGGAGAGACTTCTAGCCCCGCCAGCAACTCTGTGCTGCTGATAAGAGGAAACTCGTGTTGTTCCCAACGCCCTTGGTTCTTCGTCACCTACTTATCAAGGAAATCAAACAAACATCAGATTTAGAAAAACTGAAGCACTAGCTAGACACTCATGACTCACGTATACATATTTATAAACTGATGAGCTGCTGGTTAGCAGTTCAAACAGTCTCTCATGGTGATTCAGTAGCCATTGGAGCAGTTATGTACATAGTCTGTGATCTTGTTGTATTGTAGTTATCAAATATCATTTACATATATGAATGTATGGCTGCCATTATCATATTCATAGGTGAACATTTGCATACCTTGTCAAAGCGAAAGTTGAGAGATTCAACATTATGCAGTTGAGGCAGCAGCTTCACACAAGCTCGATTAGTAGCTTCCATCTGCTTGATCCGGACTCGGATACTGGCTTGGTCGAGAGAAGGAAGGTTCAACTGGCCGAGCTGCTCCACACAACCCCAAAAGCAGAAAGATTTCAGCTTTGGAGCAAAGACTTCAACTTTCCCAGATCTCTCAACTGGGTTTTGAATTTGGAGGTCGAGCAGCTCAGATCCAGACACTTTCAATAAGCTTGACGACCATGGATTGCAATCGACTAGCTTGAGGTGTTTTAAACAAGGGAGATCAACGAAAGGCTCTACAGGGTGATACAGATGGCAGCCTTTTAGTTCCAGATTCGTGAGAAGATTGAAGCCAGAGAAAGGTGTTGCACCAGTACCACCAAACGTCAGAGTGCATAACTTCAAATTTAGAGTCTTGAGAGACTCATGATGATGATGAGCCTTAATGGAGGCAGCGGAGTCCACAAAGTCTGGACGACAGTCCAATGTAGACAGGCAAATGGACAAGTGGTGAAGACTACGACGAGGACCTTGCGACGCAGCATGTTTCATGACCCTATCGAACAGGTCTAGAAAACACGATTTGGAGTCCTTACCTTTCCAACTCCAAGCTTTGAAGGTAACGCTGGAGACGGCTGCAGAGTTGTTGGATCGAAGCGACAGGAACTTGAGTACATGTTGTTCAAAGCTTGACATGCTTCTGAAGTAGTTGCAACTGAAATAGAGAGCAGGAACTTCTTTCCACATGCATCCCCACCTCCTAGACAGGAAGCCGGTCTGAAAGAGGGATTTCGTGTCGAGGAACGACAGAATGTGATGCAGAATGCTGTCGGGGAGATCGCTCAACCTATCGAAACCAACAACAACATCATCGTCGCCACGGTTCGTAATCTTGGGGGCTTTCGTCAACCCTTTCGAGTTCCCCTCTGCCATATCAATTCGCTCTGCCTCTCTTCTCTTCCAAGCAAATTAAACTTAGCTATACCCCGCGAAACTACAGTAGAAGAAAGTTTCATCCAAAGCGTCGAAAATTCTGTTACAGCAAATCAAGAATAAACGAACTGTGATTCACAAAGTGTGCTAACAGATTCAAGGCATTCGAACGAAATCCTAATGCATCTAGAATAAACAGTAGCTGCAAATCATGGAGTAGGAAATCAGACGACCAGCAGCAATACCTGGTTGGTTTCGGCTGATTCCGGTTGAAATCAATCTAAAAGACGACTAATCTTTCTCCAGCAACTCTGCAGTGGATTGATTTTTGTTCGCTCAAACCCTAGCCAAAATTTAGGGAAAATTCCTACGGAAGAGCGATGTTATGATGCACCACAGTTTGGCTTGAGCGAGTGGCGCGGGAAAGTAGTAGTTAGGGCTTGGGACTTGGGAGTCCTTTTCTTGGCGGGTAAGGTAAAGTTAGCGGTTCAATTACATGAAGGGTCATCGTACTTTGTAATTTGAAACAAAATCAGTCACCTAATTTTGGTTTTCAACAAATTTATCATTTACAGTTTCGAGTAACTTCATCAAGGTTTTCCGCATTAATGTGTCAACATGCATAATTTTGTATTAAAAAAAATGACCACATACATTAATTATGCAGAAGAAATATTACATGATATATCTAATTAGCTTATATGGATGGCTCATTATGATTATACTAAAAATTATACCTTGTGTTTTTCTTCGCCTTTCATTCTGACAATAAATTAGTTAGTAGGAGTGAAATTCTAATCAGTTGCGTAGAGGTTTAGTTTGTAGTAACTGTGGTTGAGATGGATTTACATGTACTATTTTTAATGAAATAATGTTGAAATATATGATATTCAAATCGATAGGATTATTTAACTGACCGAGCTGCTCCAGATAGCCCCTAATGCAGAAAGATTCCAGCTTTGGAGCACATACTTCATATGTCTGATACCTATCAATTATTGGCCTATCAGTTTGGCAGTGGCTATCAACTGGGTGGTGAATTTGGAGGTGTGTCAGCTCGGGTCCTGACACCTTCAACATGTGAGATGCACATTTGTAGCGACTAACTAGTTTGAGGTGTTTCAAACAAGGGAGAGCAATGAAAGGCTCGTTGGACACAGGAAAATGCAGCCAACAGTCGTCCAGTTCCAGATTTGTTAAAAGATTGAAGCCAGAGAATACTGTTGCACCAGAACCACCACCACCCAAGTTCAGACTAAATGACTTCAGATTGAGAGTCTTGAGAGACTGATGATGATGATGATGAGCCTTAATGGAGGCAGCCAAGTCATCGAAGGGCAAACTTTCCTTAGGGGAATGGCTCATGGACAAGTGTTGAAGACTACCATGGGAGGCAGCATATTTCATGACCCTATCAAACAGGCTTATATAGTTCGGTCGCACACGCTTTCGAGCTGCCAAAGTCCAACCTTTGAAGTTAACGCTGGTGACTGCTGCAGAGTTCGATCGGAAAGACAGAAACTTGATCACATGTTCTTCAAAGCTTGACAAGCTGGTGAAGGAGTCACAGCTGATATTGAGAACTGGAACTTCTTTCCACAAGCATCCCAACCTCTTAGAGAGGGAGCAGATTTGAACGAGGGATTTCGTATCGAGAGCTGACAGAATGCGAGGCAAGATGTCGTCAGGGAGATCACTCAACCTGTCGGCTCCTTTGAAACTTGAAACATCACTATGGCTCGTAATCTTGGGGGGTTTTCTTCGACCCTTTCCAGTTCCCTCCTGCCATATCAATTCGCTCTGGCCTATCTTCTCCTTCAAGCAAATTAAGCTAAGCTGCCCAGAAAAACCAGCAGAAGAAAGTTTCATCCAAGGCACAGAAATTCTGCAATGATCAAGGCAATTGAGTAATTCAAGAACACCAACGCAAAGTGTGCTAACAGATTCAAGGTATTTCAATGAAACCCTAGTGCACCTTATACAAGTCAGTACCAGCAAGGCATAGAGAAGGAAAACCCCGCAGGTTCGGCGGATTTCGGTTACCTGGTTGGCTTGGCCGGATTACGATTGAACTTGGATCAAAGGAATTCGTTTTCCAGCAGCGGGTTGGTGCTGCAGAAGAGCGATGTTATAGAATCGCAGCTTAGATTGGGGGAGGCGCGCGTAACTCGTAAAATAGTAGTTAGGTGCCGTGGCGGGTAAGGTACCGTTGGGGTTCAATTACATAAATGGTCCCTGAACGTTTTTTTTTTAATTACAAACAAATCCGTCATTTTAAGTATTTTAACTTTGCGTTCTAATGAACTTGTCAATGAAGTTCGAAATGACTAATGTAATACTGGGTCTGTTCAGTTTCTCTATTCTAGTTTTCATTGTAATTAGCGAACATGTACTACTCGTTTTGACTTATATCTGAAAATCATTCTTTGCTCTTTCCAATATCATTCATTCAGTATAAGTTAGTCGGAAAGAAATTCTAATTAACTGCCTCTTCCAGCATTTTCGAAACAGACTTTCGATACCGACTTGTAAAGATCATGCGTCGATAACTATGGCTTTTGCTGTATTAATCCTTATAGTTTGAGCAACGGCACTGTATCTAACAAGCATTTGTTCCACTAACACTGCATAGCAAAAACAGTTGAAAGGAGAGAAAACAGAACGCATTTCCTTCCCGCTTAAAGAAATCAGAAACACTTCCTGTGGTTGTGATAGGCCAACGCCTCTAAAGCGGCTGATTTTTCCAATCTACTCAGAGGCCTCCTCGTCATCTTCTTGCTCTTCATCTTCATCATCGTCATTGTCTTCATCTTCGTCTTCTTCGCCACCTTGATTCTTCTGATTCTCTTTTCCAGGTGTTTTCTTCTCGTTGGCAGTTCCTGAACAAATTAGATATTGACAGGAGGCTGTCATGGATCATGGCAACTGATTCGAAGCTTTCAAGAAGCACTTTCAACAATAACACAAGAGACGTGACCGGTTCATATTTTAAGGTTCTGCAGATAACATTCAGAGTAACGGCACAACTTATAGGGATGGATTATACCACGACAGGCGCGGTTAGTTCTAATTGGTGAATGGAAGACTAAGATGAGCATTGAGCAAGGAGTAGACATTTCTCGTGAATGAGTTATACAGTCAGAAATAAACAAGAGATTGTTGTAAACCAAGTATCCCGTGAATGGAAGACTCGGATACCCTAGAATAATTCTCCAGGATCAGGAGAATGAAGCACCTAGAGCTGATCATAACAAAGCAAAACAAAGGCAGCGAAGATTGATTTCCTAGAATGATCAACCCTTAAAATATTTGGTAAAATATTGTTTGAAATATGAGATAGGTACCGTATTCGCTGAAGATGACAGTTCCAGAGCACAAGCCCTCCTCCACTCTGAGGAGCTGAAGGGTCATCCTCGGGCCAATCTCTTGAAGCTTGACAGCACTTTTCGAAGTCGCCCGATTGACTCGACCAAGATCACAAGGAAGGGTAACAGTTGCTGCTTCCTCATCTCCTTCACTTTCTGATCCATAACCAGCCCTTCAAGTACAAACAAAAGAACAATAAGCCAAACCAGAACAATCAAGAGAATGAATTCCCAGGACCTAGTACAGTAATGTCAGCATGAACGCCTAGCATTAGACAGACAACCTTCAGTGGGTACTACAGACACACAACACGAACACTTATTTTCTCCGAAAAACTCAGTATGTTAAGATACTTCAACAAGGGCCTTACTTTGTTATGAAGTCACTCACGTCCTGGAGACTCCGGAGATCAGGAATTTGATGATTCTGCACAAACTTTCTGATTCGGCGGGAGACACCCACAGGTTGGAGTCGAATAGAGTAATGCCTAAAGTCAATGAGCTTTGTATCTTTATTATAGTTGAGTAGAACGATTCTTTGGCAAGAAGAGAGCTTGACCTGAAAACATTCAGCAAAGATGGTAAGCAAGAAGGTAAATAAGTTGATTTAGATATTTAACTTGGGTAAAATGAGTTCTCACAGTGTTGATGTCAATAGCTGGAAACATATTCTGAAACATTATAGTTGTCAGTTTTAAATGTTGTTCTCCAGACCCAAAGCCAGAAAGAACAATCTGCCAGAAAAGCATAAAGAATTTCAGTCTGATATATACAGCTGACGCCCATAACCAAAACACGGAGAAGCAAAAGGTTCAGATGCATCTGAAAGCTGACAAAACTATATACATACCAAAGGAGGATTCTTGTACAGATCCGATGGACATCTAGGGCGCAATTGAGACTGAGTAATATCAGATGCCAGTGAATACTGGTTTATCTTAAACGTAACAGTTGGTCCTTGCGGAGTTCTAGCAACCTTCAAATATGGCGCTGCATCTGTTTTGGACAACATCAGAAAATGTGTAACACCCATTGGACCAGCAACATTTAAGAAGTCCCTGAGATTGTTCCTCTTCTTCTCCTGCAGACGAAACAAGATACCATACAAAACAAGCCATTATTACCTCGAGGGAACTACATTGAACAACACCATCTACAACAACAAAATAGGCATTGAGGAAAGCAAACAAATTGGAGTATTACCTTGAGGTTAAGAGCTGTAAATGGCAACATTAACTTTCTCAAATCCATCTGAAGCTGCCTCAGAGAACCAGGCAGCTTCCCTCTGGAAAAGACAAAGCTCTTGGGAATCTTGTCGCCAGTGACATGATCCACGGTAGGTGCTGCCTTCTTTTTCACACTCGGCTTGGAGAACACCTTCCTGTTCTTCTGTTTTTAATCAAATCAGCAAGATATTAGCTGCTACACTAAAAAAAAGCATCAAAACTCAGGAAAGAAATCAACTGAGTTGTTAACATAAAAATTGCTTACATTTCGTAGACGAGCCATCTCTGCCTTCTTAACCGCCTACAACCCGTCTTGATAAAACTTCCAAGACGAAGACTTTGAACTTTTCTAAGCAAAGTTTGCAACAATTGAATAGGAGAATGAGCAAGAACCGGTGTTTGACGGCGAAGACGGTCGGAAGAGCAACGGTGGCAGAACCGTGCAGATAGCAAGCTTCCTCGTCTACCTTAAAACTCCTTCAAGACCCTATCTTCTCTTCAAATCGAAGCTTCGTTCCCTTCCTTCTGAAATGGCGAACCGCTCTCCTCAACCTGCAATCACAGAAATCCTCGTTTTCCCTTCAAGCCGCCTCTTAGTTCTCGTCTACCAGGTAGCTCCACGGCTTCCTTTTGATTCTCTTTGAACTATAAGCTTCTTCTCCCCAGTCTTTTCCCTCTCAAATGGCCGGCGGCAGGCGTCGACCTTGAGCCGTATGAAGTAGGTCGTTCTTCCACGGGCCGTCTGTTCTCAAGTTTTAAGGCAGCAAAATCCTCGCAAAACCCTGAAACACAAAAGCAGAAATAGTACCCGAACTGTCCAAACGGCGCCGCATACTGCAATCAGCGAAACATAATTACAGAAATGGTCCTTGAACTTTGTGATTAGAAGCAAAATCGGTCACTTAATATTGATTTTTAAGAAATTTGATAAATTAAAGTTTAGCATAACTAATATATTAAAATTAATAATGAGACGATTTCTTGATGTGTTGACTTTCATACATTTTTTATAATTACTTATATTAATTCGATAGAAAAAATATTGCATGATCTTAATTGATGAATATGGACGACTCATTTTAACTATATCGACTCACATAGCACCTCGTTATTTTCTTATCTCTCATTTATGTAATAATTTTGTTCGTTGAAATTCTAACTAACCACCTAGAAGTTCAATTTGTAGGAAATTTACCTGGTCGAGATGGAACTTGTATGCAAGGTTGTGGGTGAAAGAATCTTGATGAAAGACTAGAATTTAAATTATGGAATCATCAAAATGTTAGTTGTTTTTATAGATAATTTCAGAAAAATAATTGCATTAGTTTTGTCTTTCCAAAGTTGGAATTTGCGGAACTTACCTCTTGTTCCCCTTATTTCTTGGTTATGCCTATTGAGATAGTAAATTAGTGAATATTGGTGAAATTGTAAACAATTGCGTACGAGACTCCCCCTTCCTCATTTGAAGGGGAGTGACTAGCATAAATCACAGCGATAGAAGAAAGAGTTTTGAAATACTTTTTCAGTAAGTCGCCCATACTTATATCCTTTCTAAACACCGTTAGTGAATAGGTTAGTTACCGTGTTGGTATGTACAGAGAAAGTATGGAACAATTTCAGAGATAAAAGTTAGCGTTTAATAAAGTATTAGTGAATATTGGTGAAGTTGTAAACAATTGTATATGAGTGAAAATTGTTGAAGTTTTAAACAATTGTATATGAGTGAAAATTGTTGAAGTTGTAAACAATTGCTTACGAAGGAATTAATACTCAGTTATATCTTTATTAACAATTGGCCTATTAGCTCAGCTGGTTAGAGCGTCGTGCTAATAACGCGAAGGTCACAGGTTCGAGACTTGTATGGGCCATTTTTTTTCATTTTAAACGGAATCTATCCATCAATAGCCAGCAACCTTACAAACTAAAATGCAAATTTTCTTTTCCATCTTCCTTCCCTAACCTGCAATGATCCTGAAAAGTGAAAACTATAATGACATAATCCTCTCCCCTCTGCCTGCTTCAAACTAGAATGAAATTAACTTATTGCGAAATGAATAACTCTCAATCAACAAGCAATACTGCATCTTCTATAAAGTAGAACCACTAAAGTTTGACATCTTTCTTCCTTCTCAAAGGACTCCTCAGTACTACCTTCTCAAGCCTTGTGCATTCTGGTACACACAGCCCATTTGACCACCAGAAGAAGAAGTGGGGATCGCGGAGAACCCAGTGTAGTCCCCGTCAACCTTTGCCAAACATATGTCACTGATGTGCTTCACAAATCCAGTACTTTGTACGAATGGCTGAGCCACATATTCGTCCCAGGGCATCCACTGCATTGCAAATTTTATGAGCAAATATTGTAAGAGAGAAGACTTAAACTGGTTGTCCATGAAGTAATATTGGTGAAAAGGTTTTACCTTTGCTGCCTCTATCTCTGCTTCCTGCCTCTGGACGTCAACAGAGATGGGCCGCAGCATACACAGGAAGAACAAATCCGACTTCTCGAAGTATGCCTTGTGAGATTGCCTGAAGATGAGAAGAATGGATGGGAATCAAGAGAGTTTAAGAGTAATTGCATTAAAAAAAATTATGTAGCAGAAGAACAAATGGTTAACAAAGCACCTGAAAGCCAAAATCTCCATGAATTCTGCGTCGATCTGGTAAGTGGTCAAGCAACGTGAGAAAACCAAGATTAAATCATAATAGACTTCAGGGAAAAGGAAAAGTAAACAGACTTGCTCAACAATACTTACAGCTGTTTCCTCTTTGACTTCCCTTACAACAGCTGTGCAGAGGTCCTCTCCCTAAAGATGATAATACTATTCAGACTTAATCCTGAGAATTGCCAGAGAAATTATTATTGCACCATAATGAACATACCTCTTCAACAACGCCAGTAGGGAACTTCCAGATTCCAGTTCCTCGAAATACTCCACTGTTCTCTTGGACTACTAGCACCTGCGTTAACAAAGTTTGAGATTTGTTTGTGATCCCAAGACATGATAAGGGATATGCATTAATCTTTCAAAGGTTATTTATTTCAAAACCTCTCATGCATAAGCAGGAACTTATCTTAACTGGAATAAAACCAAAATGACAATGAACATTCGGCCTAATAAACTAAGGATTGAGCTTGTTCACAGTCTAGGAAGATTTTTCATTCAACACTTAACCAAAAAGACAGCTCTTTATGACAATCATACTGTCAATTTATCAATGAGGAAACAAAAAGGAAAGGACAGTTAGCTGAAAGACGTGAATCAAGGTTTATGAAACTACCTCTCTATTCTCATTCATCACAAATGCACCTACGCTGACTCTATGGCTGGCATTTGGTGGAAGAGGGTGAACACCTCCAGGAAGCCAACTGACAAGCATCAAGTATGTTGGCTCTGCATGATGGTACCAGAATCCTTCCTGCTCATTGAACAACAGATTCTCGGTTAGTAATCCATAAAGCATATCCAGGACAACTTCTAGTACTCGATTATATCGCAACTTTTCAGTCATTATGACCGGATCATGGAATGATATCCAGTTTACCTTTACTGCAATTTCAACAAGACTGCAAAGTTCAATTGGAAGTTTGATCCATACCCCCTTCTTACCCTGCACCACAAGTTCAAAACTTTGTCTTCAATCACACAATTCACATCTGATAGTCATGCTCCCTCTATGAGATAATCTGAAATCTACGCAAGGAAGCAGATCAGAATTGGCAACAGAAAAAAAGTTACCAGCTTTCTCCATTCGCTAATCGAAAGTCTGAGCATTGAAGCAAAGAGCCCTGGGTGAATGGGTTCAGACAGCTCCACTATGACTCCTCCGTGTTGATCATTAACTGAAGTGAGCAGCTTGACCTGTTCCATCGCAGCAACCACTTGCTCCATCGCAACTGGTGGATTCACCGAGTTTGACAAACACCTGACGTTGGTTGAAACTGTAGGCCTAAAGTTAAACAACGATCAACTCCAATCAAGTTCATTTATACACTCACAATGTTGAGACAACCCCACAACAGTAAAAATTCACCATTTGACAAAAGGCATATGACTAAACTCCATTTCCACTAGTAACGAAAATGAGACCAACCCAAGTCGGGAAAGCATCGAATTCGGGATACCCAGATGGTGAATCATCGTTCTACTATGACAAAGGCCATCAAAGTTATCAAATTGAAATGGAAAAAAGGCGGGAGATTGTACCGGCTGACGGGGGAGAAGCGCGCGCTGGAGGAGAGAAAAGGGGAATGATTATGGAAATGGAAAGCCAAGGAGATACCAGAAAGCGAGGGTGAGCGATCGGATGCAGGAGAAGAACAACAAGAAGAAAGCGCAGTGCTGAGTGTTGTAAAGGGAGAGGAAGCGGCCATTACTTTTTATAGCGGGAGAGGAAGCTGGGAAGTGTCGACGAGTAAAGCTGCGGGAAGCATCGTTGGACAATAAGTTAACAGCAAGTCGTTTGAAGTTTGAACCGAAACAGAAGCAGTAGTCCTTATTTCGTGTTGAAGCTTGTAAGAGCGCTTCAGTAGGAGTGGAGCATGGGTTGAGATTTGCTGTTGGTAATGGAGATATCTTTCTTTTGGCTTGATGATTTGACTGTACGGACGGGATATAGTGGAAGAAACTATTGAGAATGATCATTAACATAGGTGTATACAAGTCTAATCAAATGAGGGAACAAGATAGCCTGCAAACCATAGGTTAGGAGTGGTGCAAGCTTGTGATAGGTTTTTAGTGTTGTGCTTAGGTTTGATGAGAGGTTCATATAGATCATTAACATAGGTTTTTAGTGTTGTGCTTAGGTTTTATGAGAGGTTGATATAGATCATTGGCTTGGGTTATTAGTGTTGTGATTAGGGTTCATAATTACACACCATCTTCTCGTATCTCATCTTATTATATTGGAATTGTCTCACACAGATTATTGATGTATACAAGTCGCGATACTAGTACTTATTAAATACATCAAGATTTTCTTACAAAGTTTTTTTTTCTCCTCTCTACCAACTCTTTTTTTACTATCTATTTACAAATTGATTATATTATTTATATTAATATGGGGATTGTTGAGTTTAACCATTAGCATTTCGGACATTCACTAATTTGTTAATGGAAACATGATAGGAATCATTCTATATACTATAATCAAATGATTTTTAAGTCTAATCAAATGGTTTTGCAATTGAATTAAAACTTGCTATTTCTAGTCAATATTAGTGAGACTTGTACTTTTCAAAATTGGTCAATAGTCATGCCTCAATGTGATGCGTTCAATGGTCAAAGATTCTAAACTACTACAAATGGTTTTCAACCCTAAACCCAATCTAGAACAATTTGGTCCCCTTATTAAGCATCATCATTTATTTTAACCAACCATGTAATAATGATAATTTGAAGACAAATGATATACAACTCGAATAATTGCACACATCCCACCAAGTTATCTTTTAGTCATGCTTCAAGACATCAATTTAGTTATTACGTTACATATCGTATCTTCCATCATTAATGTATTCCGTGACAATTATTTCAACATAGTATGAACCAAGTTATGTTTGTTTGTGAACTTGTTATTTTTGTTAGATCATCTAAACAAATTCAAACTATAAAAATAATGTATTCATCTAGTTTGCAACTAAAAGAAACAAAGTTCAATCCTTTCTAAAATGGAGACTTTAACTATAAAAGGTGACTTGCCACCAAACTAAAAAAAAAAGGGTTAATTGCATGATTGATCACTGAGATTACAAAAAACGTTCATGTTTGGTCACTGAAAATATTTAAATCCAATCTTGGTCACTCAAATTAGTTAAATGGTTCAAGTTTGGTCACTCGCCGTCCAACTCCGTTAAATATGTCTGATGTGGCAGTCAACCCTCAAAGTTGACCGTTAACTCGGTGACGTGTCAATTAAAAAATAATAAATGAAATAAATTTTAATCTTCTACCATTTCCAACTCAGTAAAATAAAAAAAATAAAAAAATATTATAATAACAAATTGAAAAATGGCTTCTGGGTTCACCATTGCATTCACGTTCTAGTGAACCATCATCAATGGAGACGCCTCGAGTGCAAGTCTCTCTTGATTTAGGCCCGCTTACATGTCTCATTTCGGATTTCGATTTCGTGTTCCCCCACCTGTGCAGCGTCATCCTCGCCGGCTCCAGATCGTGCTCGCTCAGCTCCAGGCTCGCCCCGATCCCGTCGATCACCGCCTTACCGCCCCAACTCCCTGACCGGCAGGATTTTGGGGGAGATTTCCCTGAGATTGTCGACGTACCAATTGGGGTTGAGCGACTCGGAAGTGACAACGAGGGCGACCTTGTTTTTTTGTGCACGGAAGGTGTTCGACACAATGCCTACATCGAGTACACCGCCACGAACCGAACCAACTCCCTGACCGGCAGGATTTTGGGGGAGATTTCCCTGAGATTGTCGACGTACCAATTGGGGTTGAGCGACTCGGAAGTGACGACGAGGGCGACCTTGTTTTTTTGTGCACGGAAGGTGTTCGACACAATGCCTACGGAATGGAATGAATAGAAGGTCTTCTTCAATAAATTGGGGGTAATTAATTCCGTAAGTTCCTTACATTTTCTATTCATCAACAAAGCTAAAATATTCAAATCTTATAGTTTCTTTGGCTTCAGTGTTCAGATTGAGGGGGGACTTAGGCGGATGGTGATTCTCTGTTTCTTTGGCTTCGGATTGTGTGTACGGTGGCGACGGAGCTTTTCCCCGGAGACAGTCTGGAAAGTCTTTGCATTCGTTGGGAAAATCGCTAAGCACCTTCAAGCCTCAAGGATTCCAACGATTCCAACAGGACATACGGAGTGAGGGGACGACACAGACGGAGGTCGATTCTCTGTTTATTTTGCTTCAAATCGTGTGGTACAGTGGCGGCAGAGCTGTTCGACGGAGATAGTGGGCCGGTGAGGACGAGGGTTTTGTGCGTTTTTTTTTACCGAATAAACTAATTTTGTGCACGGAAGGTGTTCAATTTGTGATTATAATAATTTTTTTTATTTTACTTTATTGTGAAAATGAATTGAAAATGATAGAAGATTAAAATTTATTTTATTTATTATTTTTTAATTGCCACGTCAGCGAGTTAACGGTCAACTTTGAGGGTTGACTGCCACATCAGACATATTTAACGGAGTTGGACGGAGAGTGGCCAAACTTGAACCATTTAACTAATTTGAGTGACCAAGATTGGATTTAAATATTTTCAGTGACCAAACATGAACGTTTTTTGTAATCTCAGTGACCAACCATGCAATTAACCCTAATAAAAAACTTAATGTTTCATGGGCCGGGTTCAATCAGGCTCAAAATCGAAGTAAACTGTAAAAGGCTGTGAAAGGCCCATTTAACTCAAAGACGGGCCCATTTATGCAAGAAGTCCTCTTGTCCCCTTTTGAGTTTTGACCGCAGTTTTAAACTCCGTCCCCCATTTCATTTCTTTCTTCAACAAAAACCCTAATCCAAATCCCGCAAAATTTCCTTTTCAATTTTGGTATTAATTTTTTCATTTGCTATTATATTCCGCAGATTTTCTTCTATCCCAATCTGATGGAGCTAGAACTACTGATCGGCGGCCGACGAATTCCGATCCCAGAAAGCTTCCCGCCACCATTTCCCCCATTCCCCGCCGGTGGTAACCTCCTTCCATCCATCCCAACTGTCCCAGTTCCGCCGCCGGGCGACGACGACGCGGGAGGCATGGCTTTCCCTGGCTTTCCTCCGCAGAAGCTGCGCCCTGTCAGAGGGAACCCATCGAGTTCCGAAGTGAGAAGCGAGAACGGTCTGGGGTTGCTGCAGCAGCAGCAGCAGCGGCCGCCGATGGCGACCGATGCGATGGAGCTGGAGGGCACTTTCGACAAGTTGGGCGTTTTGATGAACGAGGTCTGCGGGGAAGGTGGCGAATACTTCCCGTTGCCGCCGGATGAAGCTGATTGCGCGACTGTTCTGAGGAGTATTGCCAACGGCGGCGGGGAAGCGCAGTGCTCTCCCGGGCTTGGGTCTCCGGGAGAAGGGTCCGGTTCGGGTCGGCAGAATGTTGAGGGGAATAATAGCGGGGGTGGAGTCTTGGAGGACGAATCGAGGTTGGTTGGTTGGTTGCTTCATTTCGTATTCCATTTGTTGAACTTTATTTTGATTCCCATTTTGGATTTTACTTGATCTCGATTCCTTCGATGTTCACATTCAATGTTTAAAGTAATGATCTTTTGGGTTTAGAAAATAGAATGTCATCACCTTAGGTTCACTAATAACAGTGCCGAAGTAACAATAGCGAGAGTTTGAATGTTCATTCCATTTTTTGGAGTGAGATCGAATGTTTATTCACTTTGCCAAGAACATTGATTAAAGTAAGGAATGGTTAAGAAATGTGGACGAATTGCTAGGAGGTTGAATGTTCCGTCCACTTTAACAAGAAGGAAATAAATTTAAGGTGGGATTTGATTGCTTCGTGTTGCCAGTGAATGGATGCTTTGATTTAGTTGGGTGTGGAAGTGCAACTACTACACAAGACATGCTGATTTGTGGAATGAAAAATGGATTGTTAGAGATGTTCGGTTTGGCAGTTTATTTGTTTCATCTTCTGCCATTTGAGTTGTGATACTCTGTTAAACCGGGGCATAAATGTGTGTTATGCATTTGAGAACTCAAGCTGTGTTGTCTTTCATTTTCTTAAGAATTCATGCTTTTTTGCAGCTCATCATCATCCGATGACGAGGAGGGCTCATCAGCAGATACAAAGAAGGGTTTGAATCGGAAGCGGAAGAGAAGAACTCGGGAGAAGATTGAGCATTTTGTCGAAAGGTTAGTGATGGAAGTGATGGACAAGCAGGAACAGATGCATGCACAACTTATAGAAATGTTGGAGAGGAGAGAACGGGAGAGAATCATGAGAGAAGAAGATTGGAGAAAGCAGGAAATGGAGAGGAACAAAAGAGAAGAAGCAGCCAGGGAACAGGAAACCTCGCGTAACCTAGCGCTTATTTCCTTCATCCACAAGGCACTGGGCGATGATGGAGACGTCAAAATTTCCGAACAACTTGCTGCCATTTCGCCAGATCAAGCTAAATATGTAAGCTTTGCCACTCCATGCGAAGATAAAGGGAGGTGGTCTGAAGCCGAGATCAATGCACTGATAACTCTCCGTACTCCAGTCGAGCCGAAGTTCCGAATCGTGGGACCCAAGTGTTCTTATTTATGGGATGGGATATCTGCTGGGATGAAGAAGATGGGCTTTAACAGGAGTGGGAAGAAATGCAGCGAGAAATGGGAGAACATGAACCACTACTATAAGAGATCGATGGAGAATAGAGGGAAAAAGGGGTTCAACAGTAACAAGGTTCCTTATTTTCATGAACTCAAACTTCTGCACGAAAAGGAGGAATCCAACTCCTACATTACCGCCAATCAGACATCCCGGGATGCCAGTGCTGATGATGTGATAGAAAATCAGCTCGGAAGCTGAAGCTTTTGCTACAGGCTTGGCCACATCCTTTCTTATTAATTAACTAACCAGACAGGATATACTGAAAGACAAATACAGTAGTAGAACAGTCACAAAAAGTGATGAAGGATGGATCCTTCCGTTTTCTCCTTATTCTTGCTATGTTTCTTGTGATGTGTTAGGGGTTAAATGCAATGCAGCTTGATACGCGAGTCGATTCGGCCGCATCTCCTACCAGACGAAAAGGGCAAGGATGAAGGAGTAGATAAGGGTGGAGAGAGGGACGAGGGAGAGGATGAAAGCCAAGATAGCAGGAGGTTGTGGAGCCATGTAGAGTGGGAAGATGAAGAGAGATGAGAGTAGAAGAGAGGCCATGAGAAATGAACACACAATTGTAGAGCCTGAAATATTGCTGCTATTCATTTTGCCCTCTATTCTTTTGTTTTAGAAGTTCCTCTCTGGTCAATTTGGGGTGAAGATGAAAGATGGAGAAGGTATATGTCTGTGAGCAGGGACACCCTTTTGAGTAATTCTGTAAAGGGAGTTACAGCATGGATGAGAATTTTGCATTAATTAAGAGATGGAAATTGTTGAGCAGTTACAGAATTGGGGATATTTAAGGATGGTTTCAACGAGTTCAATGCATTTCTCTTGCTTTCTAATATCTTTTTATATATATACTTGCCAATTCATTAATTAAATTTGTATGGGGGGGAGGTTAATTTAGGGTGTGAAGATTGTGTACGAAAGATTTAGGTATCAGCCTATCTTGATGATTCGAGTTTCTAGAAGCTGGTCCAACATTCAATTTCATATTATTTTCGTAAAATTTGTTGAGTGTAGTATATGAGAAAACTCATTTGCTGTATTTTGAAAATTTGCATTTTCCCTTTGTTCTTTTCTTTAGGCACACAATTAGGTTATTAGAGATTGGTGTATAATATAGGTAGGGTTTTATTACATAAGATGAACATGTGCAGAATTTTGCATGTCTCCTTTTACCGTTTATGAAGAATCAATATTAATGGTAATAAATCAGCTTGTTTGGAAATAACGGTTGTAACAAAGTAATTATGTCTTAATATACATTGATTTCTTTATTACCAAGTTCTCTAGAATGCAGAATGCTAGTGATGAAGATCCAATCCAATGTGTAATAAGTATAATAGACACCAACACAAGCTCTAACAAAAATTTATGCAGGAAGACAATCACGATCGTTAAAGAATATCGAAATACTTCAATAATTATACCAGAATAATAATAATAATAATATTATGTACATATCTTAACTTTTATTAAGAAGCCTAAATAAAGACTTGAAAATAATTGTCGTCCTCCATCTATATTCCATCATTAGTGTTTAGGAAGGAAATTTGGATGGAAGCACTTAAGTGGTGTTCGATTCACTTATTAGAGTTAAGTGGCATGAGTTCACCAAATAGAAAGTTTAAGTGGTACTGGCCTAGCGGGTGTATTTTACCCTCTTATTGACCCGGTAGGTATCTGAAAGACAAAGTAAAGATTCGAATGTTCGTCATCCAATTCTCCATCGTTGATAGTAACACTCTTGACTCTTGTGTTTTTGAAATAATATCATATCAATCATGATATACACACACCACCATTAGAAACGTACTCGTATAGAAATTAATTTAAGTCAATTGAACTTTTACGTATGAATCCTTCAATTGGAAGATCACTCCGGCCAATAATAAGAAAACGGACAAAACGAGACATGCACGTCAGTTTACGATCATACAAAAACGAGAATCTTATTAAGCGCAAAACAACCGCTACAGTATCAAATGCAGTACTGTATAGGAGTAGTACACAACATGTGTTCCCCCTCTATATGATCAATCAATCGATCAATGAAACGAAACACAACTATATATATATATATGCATAGAATCACAATAACCAACCACAACAAATCCCGTTGCAAAAACCAACCTACGAAGAAGTGTTGATGTGAAGGGAGACGAGTAAGGCGACCGGCATCAGAAACATGGCTAGCACAAGAAACCACGACGGAGGACCCACCACCGAGGAGCCAATGATCAGCGGCCCGACCAGCACTATTGCCGCCACCATCATCAGAGCCGCCGTGCAACCGCCGCCCCACCCTTCGAAGCCCTCCGCCGCCATTGGTATATATATAGGTATTCTATGTGTGATTATCGTAGTAGTATATCGTATGAATCTTGTTGTGATACGGACAGTACGTACTTATTATATAGAGATGAAGGAGGAGGCTGAATTCAAAATCTGAACGATCACGTCGTTTCCCGGTTTTCGTATTTCCCGCCATCTTGTGTGTCTACTCTACTCGTTCAAGCAAGCCGCGCGTTTTGGGAACTCATTAGAATTAGGGAAATATCGGAGAAACAGGGGTTGTATATATGGGGTTTGTCCAGATCGAGTATTTTGTTCGTCCAAATATGGAGTCTTTGTAACTCCCAAAAATCGTAATTTGGGATGTACCATGCATCAAGTTTAGTAAACAAGTTGTAATGTGATTAGATGCATGACTAACCCCGCAAAAGACACTTAATTACTCATTTGAATAACTCCACGAATCTATTGCATTTTTTACGAACGATAAGTACGGAATAAGACGAACATTTCACACAACCGGAAGGAGTTTTTTTTTTTTTTTAGTTCGAGTCCAACAACATGCTTTATATATTATGATTTTATAAGTGATATTGGTTTCATCAGGATTGCAACTCAAGTATTCAACAACGTGTGATCATATACTCGTATCTAGTTGAAGACGGAAGTTGTTGGTTTTAGTGATTACTTTCTTTCTCAAGACAAGATGATGGTTGTAAGGGTTGATTCGAGGTGGATGTATGAGATTTCTTAGTCTGGATGTATTTGGAATGAAACCCGCAGGAATCATTGATGCTCGAGGCCTTGTTTATATATCAAAACTCAACTCCTTCTCAAGGAAGGGAAGGGAAAGTTACCCATCTACAGTTGTATAACAGTAAGAAACGAAAAATACAAACTATCTACAAATCAAATAACGACAGGTGTAACTTGAACAGTAAAAATGGAACGCTATCAACACTAACGAAGACGACACCGTTCTTTCCCAGCTCTTCAACTGCTTCCGGGTGAGAATGCGACGTCGTTCAGGAGGCTCCTTAGTGCTGGACAATCGATGTGGTATAGTTCCTCCATTCAATATCTTCAATAGGATGGACATTATAAGTAAGTTGCTTAAGATTTGATTTTCAATGTACTACCAATGCATCGATTGTTGACCACGGTAATTAGTTACTGGTCATATGTGGCCACACAAAACGACTCATATATAAATGACGCGGCCTACCGATCGAGCTCTAATTGAAATCTTATAACATTAATTAATTAAGTTGAAAAGGACCAGACAATCAACCACCGCACCAAACCGAACCATTTTAGTTAAGCTTTAAGGTTGTTTGTCTCAAATGGCAAACGATATATGAAAAATTGGAGGAGGACAAACCAAGGTTAGCTATAGCTAGGTATTGGACTATATAATATATCTCCAAGTCCCAATACAAAAACCATTTGGACCAATCCCATGGCATGCAAATATACATCAATGAGATAGGGATAGGCTCAAGGAATAGATACTACAATATGTTATCGCCAAAGCATATAGCCATTGGCCGAAACTATTGTAACTAGCTAGCATTACTACAATTAAGTCCGATCCAAACTAGTTACGTAACTCTATCGAACTAGAACCTCTAGCTAGCTCCACTTCGACGAACACAGCCATGACATTACAGACTAGAGATGGATGTGTCGAGTGGGGGAAATGGAGTGGGAACAAGTTCATCAGTCATCACCGGCCAGGCCTCGTTGAGTTCGCCCCATCCCCACTCACTCTCGTACAACCAAAAAACACCATGCAATCCCATTCGCCACGTTTCCACGGTTTGGCTCCATGTAGATTGCCACTTGCCCGTTTCCCCACCCTACCAGAGAGAAAGAAAAGAACCAACCCACAAAACTACAATATGCAGAGCTCATTATAAAACAAAAACAGAGGCAGTGAGCGAGTGAGCAGAGACAGAGAGGGAGAGGGAGAGTTCAATGGAGCATGCAACAGCAGCAGCAAATGGATCAGGAGGCGGCTTCCATGGCTACCGCAGCAGCTCTAACAGGCCCCCCACCACTCCACCTTCTTCAGGTAAACCTACTCTGAAACATCATGATCTGCAGTACAATACGGTGGCAATGTTTATGTCGACACTGTTGGTTGGACTTGGATATATACCCTACTTCTAGTGATCAGCTGATCAGTCTCGTGGCAGAAAGATTACTTCTTGAGAGTTAGATTTGATGTAATTTATGTTCATGTATATCATTATCCATAAGTTTTCTTTCTGCAAGTTATTCCCTCATTATATCTTTGTGGAAGACAATACAATATAATGCAACAAGACAAGAAAAGGATCAATGTTTTTAGTACTAGTAATGTAGCTTGGGAATAAAAACACACAAAAAGAAGGGGGTAAACTAAACTAAAAGCAAGTTGAAGGTAACCAATAAAACAACAAACATGGTGTGGAACACTAGACATAGAGAGTGAACAAGTGGCAGCCAGGATTTCATGCATCTTATAATCCCTCCTTCACAAATGTCATCCATGCACTGCAATGTACCTAACTCGTACCGGTTCAACCGAACCCACCCGGTAGTTGGATTTGAGTCATGGGTTTGACTCATCTCTGTCTGTTCCTTGCCTTCCTTCCTTCACAGGAGTAGTGAAGCTGCTGGCGGAGATCAACAACAACCACCACCACTACACCAACAACAACAACTCCTCCTCGGCCGTTGATGTGACGGAGGAGTGCACAGTGAGGGAGCAGGACAGGTTCATGCCGATCGCCAACGTGATCCGGATCATGCGGAAGATCCTCCCCCAGCACGCCAAGATCTCCGACGACGCCAAGGAGACGATCCAGGAGTGCGTGTCGGAGTACATCAGCTTTGTCACCAGTGAGGCCAACGAGCGGTGCCAGAGGGAGCAGCGCAAGACCATCACTGCCGAGGACGTCCTCTTCGCCATGAGCAAGCTGGGGTTCGACGACTACATCGAGCCCCTCACAGTCTACCTCCACCGCTACCGCGAGCTCGAGGGCGACCGTGCTGGGGCCACCTCTGCAGCAGCCTCTTCCGCCCTCGGCCTGAAGAGGAGCAGCAGCAATGGGAGTGGATCAGGTGGTTTCATGGTGGAGTATCTTGGGGGATCATCAGGGTTTGGAACTGCATCGTTCCATTCCCACCACCACCATCACCACGCACACTCTCGTCACCCTGCTGGCAACGGGTTTTACGGTGGAGCCAATGTGGCAAGCACGTCATCCCAGTCATCGTCTCCGCGTGCCAATGGCAATGGTTCTGTGAGCAATGGGGAACATCGCCATCCGATTTTCAGTCACCGTGATAAGAAATGAGAGGAGGATGGAGTGGGTATGGCCGGGGGCTGGGGAGGATGAAGCTCTGTGGACTAGCTAGCTAGACAGTTTACTTGTGCTGACGACGTTGTGGCATTGTTTTGCCTCCTTTTAACTTTCTGCTAATTTTCGTGTGGACTGAACTCGGTGTGTGATGGATGAAGTAAACATGCTGCATCGACATTTTGCTCCTTGTGCATGCTTATGGATTTTGCTTCCTATTCCCTCGATGAATGCAATGTGTTGGTTCCTTTTGTTAGAGATATAGTTATGGTTGAATTCAAGGTAAAAAAAAAACGAACTAGAATCGAACCAGCTGATTGAATTCAGCACAACGAGATTCAGGATTTCAGAGTTAATTCATGAGAGGAGCCATAAAGATTGGGGATTCTTACTAGCTACTAGGAACCTCAGTACACTTCCTCTTACTCTCAGATGGCTGTTCATCTCCTTCCTCTTCTACTTCCCCATCGCCTGCCGGATCAGCTTCGCATCTTTTCCTCTGTGGAATCACTTGGAAGAAGGCCTCCTTCCAATCCCTAGTTTCCAAGTACTTGAGCAGAATTTCCATGACTTGGTTCACAGTAAGCACCTGGAATTTTTCAGCAATCAGTTATGAGAATAGCTTATAATGACCTGTGAAATGAAGCAAAATTGTGGGGTCTTTTGTACCTGAGAGCTAGACATCTTCAAGAAGTTGCCGATGGGGAGTTTTGCAGTCTGGATCCCTTGCTCCTCTGCTTTCTTCAAGGTTATCCCTTTAAACCGATTCCTGTCGACCAACCCGCCAACGATGTATACTTTGCTTGCATCAAGTTCATCTAGCACGGTTTCAGCATCTGCTGTGAGGTACACCAGGTTCTCCTTCTGACCTTCAAATGCTACGATGTATGATCGAGCTTCCTTCTCGATTATCCACTTGTCGAACCCGGGTAGTGTTCTCAGCTGGGTTTCCATCTCCCCCAGGCAACCCGTTAACCATAGATGCCCAGGTGTTTCACATTTTCCATTGACAGCATAGCAGTACATTATCTGCACATTTGACAGATAGAAAGATGAAGTCTTTACCAGTCAGAAAGAAGGGGCTACAATGAGCGACTCAAAATTGATCCCTAAGATCAAAGAATAACCAACTGAAGGTAGAAGTGTCGCCATCTTAAAGTTCCAAACTTCAACTCCATTTCGCACTGAATTCAAGATTAGCCATTAATCAATCATCATAACATTCAATCCATCTTATAGTAGCAAATGGAATTCCATTTCTGGCGAGTTTAAGATAGCCATAGATCATGCATAACTAAGACTCCAATCCATCATCCAGTACCAAAAGGAATTCCATTTCGAGTACATTCAAGAGAGCCACTGATCATCACAGCTTTCACTATGCTAACCCTTTGAGACCCAGAAACTAAGCGCCAATTCTCAGTGAACCCTAATTCAATCAGCCATTGAATCTATCAAACATCAATTGAATTCTTAAGAGGGGGGAGAGAAAGAAATGGAGAAATGACCTGCTGAACTAGGCTGTGAATCTCCGACGTCGTCATGAGATCGGAGAACTCAAGATCAATGACGATCTTCTGCCCTTGTTCTCTCGCCCTGCTCAGCCGCTCGAACTTGGCATTCTTTTCCTCCGATCTCTGCTCCATTCTCTCCTTCCTCAATGCCTTCCTCGACTCTAACAACTTCAACCTCTCTTCCTCCGGCACCGCCGCCAGCGCTTCCTCCCATTCCTTTCGCTTCCGCTCAACTTCCTTCTTCTTCTGCTCCTTCGCCTGCGCCTTCTTCTCGGCCTTCTTCGCCTCGTACCTCTGCTGCTTCAACAGCTTCTTCTGCGCGCTTTTGGAGAGCGCTGCAGGAGCAGGTGGATGAGTAGGTTCCTCCGTCGGAGACGGTGGCTTTCCGTTTCCGATTCCTTCGACGGCAATGTTCTCGATGACAGTTCCTCCGTCAATTTTCCCGCCGCCGTCGTCGCCACCCGCCATTGCTGCGTAAGGAGGAAGGGTTCAGGTTTCTGAATGGCGCTTCAAAACCTCCCTCCTTCAATTTCACTTTTCTTTTGGGCTTTCTTTTGCCCATGGGCCACGGGCACTGAGTGCTGGCGATCCTTTGAATGGCCCAAATCTTTAGGGCCTCGTTAATTCTGAATGAAGAAATGTCATTAGCTTCATTCTACCACTAAACTTGGCTTATAACAGATTATCATGTTAATCTTGTACTCTTGTCTTTGTTCTCATGGATTATACGCGTCTTCATTGATTTGATAGTAAGAATTGTTTTCTATCTCCAAAATCAAAATCACATAAAAAAAATGTTGCAAGAGTGTTTCGTGTCTTTAATGTAGTTATATGTGTTATTCTTCTCTTAATCGTTAGTGTTAATTGTAAGCGTTTGGATGTTCGATTCTAATCAATGCTTGATCAAATAGTTTACATATACGAGAAAGACGAAGATAGAAATAGTGTTGGCCGCTAACCACTGTTATACGATAAAATTATCCAATAAACAACATGTTTTTTTTTAGTGCTATTGTCTAATATTTTTTTTTACTCCTCGTGAAATACGGGACATCTAATAATCAATTATCTTTTATGCACACCTTTCAAAAATATCTCATCGATCGCACGAGTATATAACGTTCTAACATAAACATCGATCATTATAAATATAATGCATTGACACTAGTGGTTGGTATAACTAATCACTGGTTATGTCCTAGATCCTCAATTTTTTTTTACAAAAGATAATCATAAATTGATCAGAAAAATATATTGTTACATCTGGAATTTAGCGAGGCCATAAAATCAAAGAAGCGACTCGCAGTCGGATACAAATGAAGAGCCCTCTTAGCCACCAAATGGGCTACCCTATTATTACGCCGACCTACAAACCGCACGTAGAACCCACTATGGCCAAATAAACAACTCAACACTTCTTCAAGTATGGCTCCAAACCGGCTATCCCTCGTATCCGCTTGATTGATTTTATCAATAATCGTCTTCACGTCCCCTTCAAACCGCATTTGGTCAAAACCAGCCTCGATACACTAGAGAAACGCCTCCCGGAGCGAGAGGATCTCGGCAAGCAGAGGATCATAAATCCCAGCAAAATGGACCCCTTTGGCCATCAAAACCATCCCTTACTGGTTCATAACAACCATTCCTAGATCCTCAATACTAAGAAGTAAGAACCATTTTCTTAATCTTCACCGAACTTGTATTAGAAAGAAATCGGCAATTTTTGGTGTGCGCGTCTACAATCTCTTTTTTTTGTTTTCTTTCATTTCATCGATCGCACATACTACTATTAAATGTTTTAATATAAAATCAATTATCACAAGTACGATGTTATGTCGTTGGTATTACTATACTATACATAACGTACTTAAGTTAAAAAGGCAAAATCATTAATGATGTAGTTGTGCAGATTCTCTTTTCAGTAATATTGTTTGCGAAATTTATTTTGTTGTCAAATTTCAGAGTAGACGAAGGAGATTATAAATAGGTAGGCAGATAGATCTCTCTCCGACCAAGAACAACAAACAGAGCTCCGAGGTTCGAACTCTCGAAAGTCAGCTGCATTTCACTGTGAATTTCAATTTCAATTTTCTTGCATCTCTTCCGCTTGTAAAAGAAAAACAAAAAAAGAGACTCGAAAGTCGAAAGTGAGAGGGAGAGAGAAAAGCACGCGACGCAAGCGAAACTCTCTCGCATCTGCTTATTTGTCTCCCCTCTCTTCTTTCTTTTCTGCTTCTGCTTAACCCTATCGAAAGCGAGCAAGCAAAGCCTTTGTCTGGTTGCTCGATGTAAGCAGAGAGCTTCCTGTTCTTTGCTTACTGCAGTCAAAAGTTCGGAACTTGAAGCGTGGTATTTCCTCCCATCCTCTCTGACTATGGCGGAGAAGAAGCTCGAGGAGCAGCTGAAGGAAGTAGGATCGAAGCTCGAGCCTCTTCCTTCTTCCAAGGATGCGCTGGTTAAGCTCTTGAAGGTTTGGCACCCTTTCCATTCTCATTTCTCCCTTGTTACTAATTCTTCCAGTAATTGGTGGGTTTGTCTGCATTTAGTCCGGGATGGAATTCGCGGGTTCTGGTTTGAAAACTAGGGGGAAGAGGCGCCCTCTTTTTCGTTTAATCATTTCCCATATTTGGCCTCTGAGGTTAGAAGTGAGAGTGAGAGAGTAGCAAGATTTGGGGTTATGGCTTCGCGTTGTGGTTAATTCTTGTGGCCTATGGAGCTAAATTGTGGAAGTTTCTTGTTGAGTTCGACCGAGTGGTGAACTTGAGCTTGCTTGAATTGTTCGGTTGCCTTTCGGGAGCGTGAAAGTTATCACCTTTGGGGCTCAATTCATGATAGGTGGCGTTGATTTAGGCTGTTTCACTAGTTTCATTTATCGGTGGAGTGTGGTGAGCAGGTGAGAATGAAATTAGGGTTTGTTGTTGTATAGAGGTTTGATGGGAATTTCTTGGCTTGGTCCTGAGAACCAGTATGTCATTCTATGCACGTGCTGTTGCAGCTCATGGAATTAGTTTCATTCCCTTAGGATTTGGGAGTAAAGGTTAGTGTACTATTGAGTAGTTTCTGGTTCTACAAAAGTTTAGAATGTCTGGGAATAAACATCACTGTGGTAATTCTGGCCTATTTTTTGACGAAAGACAAGGAGAACTGGCCTCTGGAAACAAAATGAAACACGGAAGGAGGGCCTTAGAGAGGCAGATGATTGATATTGACCTGTTGGGATTCCGGAGAAACGATGAAGTGTAGAAAGGATGTCAATGGAGTCTGGGGGAGTAGCAGGAAGTGAAAGACAATTGTGAGGGCTCTTATGTTCTTATGGAGGATTCATTTGTGACAGGAGACACATGGACAATGCTGAGTTGTATAGTCTAGCGTAGAAATGAATGAGAAAGTGTCTAGCTTTTGGATTTTTTATTCATGTTAAACACTTGTAAACAATGTTCTGATAGCCGATAGATAGGAGTGTTACCTCCTGACTCATCCAGGGTCCTTAGAATCTACGTACCCTGCTTTCGTTTGAAAGTAAAGTAAGCTGCCTCTTTAGCCCGTGCTTATTGTATAGTAATAACTGCCTAAATGTGAATTAATGTTTGCCCAAATTTTCAGTTCTCGAGTAAAGATGTTTGGAGGTGGGTACCCATTTTATATCACGTCATTTCCCTGCTAAAACTTATGGAAGCATGGAACCTCTTTTTCTGAACATGATTAGGAACTTCCACATGGAAATAAAAAACATGATCAGGATATGGATAAACACTTTACGGAGTAAAGTTTCCACATAAAAGAGGTGGCACATTAAATGCTTGTTTGAATTTTTTAAATATTACCTAGATGATACATGGTTTTGTAAATTCTCTCACCAGTGGTGCTCGCTGGTTCCTGCGTTTCAGGTTCGAATATAAACGTTTCCTATCTCATGCATTTTTGTATGATATTTCCTTCTTAATATTGGTTTCAGTTTATGATCTCTCGAATTCATTACAAAAAGTCTCCTCAATCATGTCATTATTGCACTCACCGGTATATTGAGTAATGACAATTTGTCGTTTTCCTTCAGCAAGCTGCTTCATGTCTTTCTGAGATGGATCAATCACCATCCCCTACAATGTTGGAGTCCATGCAGCCATTTCTTACTGCAATTGTGAAGTCAGAACTGCTGAAGCATCAAGATAGGGATGTAAAGCTTCTAGTTGCAACCTGCATTTGTGAAATAACCCGGATCACTGCACCTGTTGCTCCATACAGTGATGACATTCTAAAGGTGGTTGTCCCTTGTTAAATTCATAGGCATGATGCCACTTTTCCTCTCATATCCTCTGCAATATTCCCTTTCTATAATCTTACTGATTACTTTTTTTGTGCAGGATATATTTCACTTGATAGTGAGCACCTTTAGTGGATTAAGTGATACTGCTGGTGGTCCATCATTTGGGAGGAGAGTTGTCATTTTGGATACTGTTGCCAAATACCGGTCCTTTGTTGTGATGTTGGATCTTGAATGTGACGATCTCATCAAAAAGATGTTCACAACATTTCTTGCTGTCGCCAGGTTTGTCTATTTCTTTCTTTTCACTTTGAGTTTGGAATGTGCATTGATTGAGTTACTAAAACTAGCTCATTGATGATCTGCTACCGGACTCATTTGTTGACCCGATAGGCATTTTGGATAGTTTCTTGCTTGTGTCTACTGTTGTCGTCAAATTAAAGTCTCTGCATCTGTTTCCCTAAGTTGGTGTTAAGATCCAGAATTTTTGCTTGTTTCATTTCTCTTTTGAGCTAACATTTGACTAGTGGGTAGCTATTGACTAATTAAAAAACTTTTAAGTGGTTTTAGAATTTAGAATCTGAAGCTTGGTTGTTTCAGATTTAAGAAAAAGTAAAGTTCTTATATTGCCCTCGATTGGCTATCAAAGACTTCTCCCAGATTTTTCACATGTTCATATGATGGGGTACCTTCTTGAATATGCTGTATACTGTTATTATTATAAAATGCATTGGTAGTCATTCACATGATTGCTGGTTGATTGACGAAAGGCAAAATCGACTGTACAGAACAGTTCACACTGTTTGTTCAATTATAAAAGGTGGCCCGATTATGTTGGGTGTTCGCACATAATGGCTATCATGGTTTATGTTTGGTTACAGAATTACCAGCTCTTTACTTGATGAGATAAGTAACTCATTGCTGTTTTTCACTGATTCAGGGATGACCATCAAGAAAATGTGCTTTCATCTATGCAAACAATCATGGCCGTTCTGATAGAAGAAAGTGAAGAAGTTAAAGAGGATCTGTTACTTGTAATATTATCAGTTCTGGGACGTAATAAAAGTGTAAGGATCGTTTCTCGTTATGGTGAATATATGTTTGTTCTATTTTTTATACTTGTTTGATGTTGCATAGTATGAATTATGTGAAATTTCTTTTCAGGATGTTTCTAAAGCTGCAAGAAGGCTTGCCATGAATATCATAGAGAAGTGTGCGGTAAAACTTGAATCTGGTATCAAACAGGTCCTGGTATCATTAATGTCTGGAGATAACAGGCTTTCAGATATTCAAATTGACTACCATGAAGTTGTCTATGATATC